CAGGAGATGTCGTCGCCCCAAACGTTATGATGATCTGTTCTGGGTGGGGTGGTGCGGGGCGTCCACACGTGGACTCTGCAACGGTTTTCCATCGTTGACGTCACAGCAGGATATTTTCGAGCAGCGGCATTTCAGCAATTGCCGAAGACTTGGCCTTGATTCGCCAGGAAGAAGACTTAGCAGCGAGCTTTATGAACAAGCTTAGGAAGAAGGCCATTTCTCAGCATGGAATTCTCGAATTACTTCGGACTAGTTGCCGGGTACATGGCAAAGTTGAGTCTCGCGTGGCACATCGGCGTCGCTCGGCAGTCGATGGAGACGTACAAATCACGATGATCGAATATCATCTGCTTTGCCATTGGCTGCTCTGCATCACTCCACTTCCAAGCGTGTCACAAATGCGCATCCGCTGTCCTGATACAGCTGCATTGCAGAAGCATTAGGCAACTCAAAGCCGAAGTGGAGCGACCACACGTCGATATGACGTCGAAAGGTAAACAGCATTTCCGCCCGCGACCACAATACAAAGATTGGCGCGTCGCGCATGGTAGACGCTCACCACACAGATTGACAATCGCCAATCGACTCAATCTGTACACATTCTCGACAATATGGCGTCCGAAATTCTAGGCAACGTCACGGAGAAGGCCAAGGGTCTTGCTGGTGAGAAGACTGGCAAGATGGCTCAGCTCGCAGCTGTTACCAAAGATGTCCATGACCCCAAGTGGCGTATCACCAGCGACTTTGGTGTTAAGCAGAGCAACACCGACGACTGGCTGTCTGTGGCGACGGATGATCAGCAAGGTCCCTCGCTGTTGGAGGACCAATTCGCCCGTGAGAAGGTAAGCACGCTGTCCTTCACTACCTTAGGATCGAACACTAACACACTCAGATTCACCGCTTCGACCACGAGCGCATTCCAGAGCGTGTAGTTCACGCCCGTGGCTCCGGTGCCTTTGGAAAGTTTACCCTCTTCGAGTCCGCCGAAGACGTGACATCAGCTGGCGTTCTTACCGACACATCGCGCGAGACCCCTGTCTTCCTACGATTCTCAACTGTACTCGGTAGCCGTGGATCTGCAGACACTGTCCGTGATGTTCGCGGTTTCGCCGTCAAGTTCTACACAGAAGAGGGTAACTGGGACATTGTTGGAAACAACATTCCCGTCTTCTTCATCCAAGACTCAATGAAATTCCCCGATGTCATCCACGCCGCCAAGCCTGAGCCTGACTGTGAGGTTCCGCAAGCACAGTCCGCTCACAACAACTTCTGGGACTTCCAGTACATGCATCCAGAGGCGACGCACATGTTCATGTGGGCCATGTCCGACCGTGCCATCCCCCGTTCATACCGTATGATGCAGGGTTTCGGTGTCAACACCTACACACTCGTCAACGCCAAGGGCGAGAGGAGCTTCGTCAAGTTTCACTTCACCCCCGAGCTCGGTGTCCACAGTTTCGTCTGGGACGAGGCTCTCAAGATTGCTGGTCAAGACCCCGACTTCCATCGCAAGGACTTGTGGATGGCTATCGACAGTGGCGCTTACCCCAAGTGGAAGTTCGGTATCCAAGTCCTCCCAGAGTCCAAGGAGCACGACTTCGATTTTGACATCCTGGACGCTACCAAGATCTGGCCTGAGGAGCTTGTCCCCATCCGATACATTGGTGAGCTCGAGCTGAACCAGAACCCCGACGAGTTCTTCACCCAAACCGAGCAATCCGCCTTCTGCACAAGCCACATCGTTCCTGGTATCGGCTTCAGTAACGACCCTCTTCTGCAAGGACGCAACTTCTCCTACCAGGACACCCAACTCTCTCGTCTGGGTGTCAACTGGGAAGAGCTGCCAATCAACAAGCCTGTTTGCCCCGTCATGAACTTCAACCGTGACGGTGCCATGCGACACACCATCACCAAGGGCAAGGTCAACTACTGGCCCAACCGTCACCAGACTGTTCCTCCTGCCACGGGCAAGGAGGGCGCCTACGTCGACTACCCTGAGAAGACTGCCGGCATCAAGGCCCGCATGAAGACCAGCAAGTTCAGGGAGCACAAGAACCAGGCCGAGCTCTTCTACAACTCCATGTCGGAGAACGAGAAGATGCACATGAAGGACGCTTTCGCCTTCGAGCTTGACCACTGTGACGACCCCGTCGTTTACAAGCGTCTCTGTGAGCGCCTCTGTGAGATCGATCTTGAGCTCGCTCAGAGCGTCGCGGAAATGGTTGGCGGTGACGTGCCCACTGAACAGACTCGCCCCAAGCACAACAAGAAGGCCAAGGGTCTCTCACAAATGGAGTTCATGCCCAAGACACCTACCATCGCTACCCGAATGGTTGCTATCCTCATCGCCGATGGCTACGACAAGATCGCTTACAACGGCATCAAGGCTGCATTGACCGCTGCCGGCGCTCTTCCCTTCACCATCTCTCCCAGGAGAAACAAGATCTACGCCGATGGCGAGGATAAGAGCGGCTCTGGTGTTGTAGCAGACCACCACCTCGAGGGCCAGCGCTCCACCATGTACGACAGTGTCTTCATCCCTGGTGGTGCCAAGTCCATTGAGACCCTTAGTAAGAACGGTCGCGCCGTCCACTGGGTCCGCGAGGCTTTCGGTCACCTGAAGGCAATCGGTGGTACTGGTGAGGCTGTCGCTTTCATCAAGCAGGCTGTCGATCTCCCTGGTATGGAGTTCTCGGCCGCCGCTGATGTCGTCAACAGCTACGGTGTTGTTACTGCTGGTCAGGTTCACGCCAATAGCTTCAAGGAGGCTGTCAACATGGCTAAGGAGGCCAAGGACTTCACCAGCGCGTACTTTTACAGTATCTCGCAGCACAAGAACTTTGAGCGTGAGACTGCTGGACTCAACCAGATGGTTGCGTACTAAGCGTGCGGGCATGGCGGAAAAGGGCAATGATGATGATGATGATGATGATGATAATGATGTAAGCTGAAGATGTCTTTTTACTTCTGAGAATGTAGATAGATATGAAATGATACCACATTAACACTTTTACTCGCAACTTCCGACTAACCTCCGTCTTCATCATTGTACTATCCACTACGCCAAACGATTTGCCCATTCCTCGTTCTTCTCTGCGCAAAAACAAAATATCCATCTAACATCTGCCCACCAACATCTTCCTTGCCATGTCTGATGCACACCCTATAGCCCTTGTAATTCTTCCCAGCACGCCACTTATCAACACAAGTCTTACACGCGTATCCCATACCATCTGCATCATCTGTGGATTGCCCGTCATAACGCTGGTTTATGCAAAAAATAGTATCGCTGGCTAGTCGATTGCGGTGGATGTACATGTCGATCAGAGTCAAGGTGGCATTGCGGATTTCGACGGGGATGGAGGCGACCGGGATGAGCGTGTTGCCATGGGTGAAATAGATTGGTGTTCCTGAGGGTGTTTGGAAGGACGTGGTTTGGATAGGGAGAGTTATGGGAGCAGGGGCTGCTGTGGGTACTGTAGTCGAGTCTGGTGCCGGGGGTGAAGCTGGGGGAGTGGTGGAGTCAGGATCTTTCATGTTTTCGTCTTCATTGTCCGCTGGTTCCTCTTTGGTTGTTGCATCGATTGTTGATGGGTCGTCATTTAAACCGTCATCCTCATCGTCGTTCGTTGCTGCGGCAGAGGAGCTATTAGGATCTGAAGATGGGTTGGATGAAGCATGATCCGCTTGCGCTCGTGATTGCGCGTCAAGTGCTATCCTTTCATCTAAAAGCGCAACGAATACCTTTCCGTCCTCATCCTTGTGACAATCATAGGTTTCCGACTTCTGTCTGAACTTTGCAAGTCTGTCTTTTTTCCCTTGGTTCATGAGAGGCTTCAGCTGTGTTGAAACTCGTCAGTTACTTGCAGGTGGACGTGACAGAGGTTGAAAGAAGTAAGCATCCGGGCTACCGGTCTAGGATATAAATAAAACGTGTTTGCTGCTTGGTAAATATGTATCTCGCTTCCTATAGATCATGCCCTAGTGTGTGGTGTAGCAAATGCTTGATGTGGACAAGCAAGTTGTTTCCCTGGACCTTCCGAGGTTTTGAGTGTCAGCCATACTCGCATGGTATACAAGATGGACACCTGCATGGTTATCGATGTTACTGATGGTTTACACGACCTAGCTAATGACGTAACTGCTCCTGTGAGACATAGCTAATTGTCATCCTGAATTCACGGCTCTAATAAATAGTTTGTAGCTCCTCTGGTCCATGGATCGGGTTAGAGCGGACTGGTACATGGTGATCCCGCTGGAGCAGACCTTCATGCAACCCAACATGGTTTTCGACATGCTATTGAGTAGCATACTATCAAAATGCAAGCTATGAATGACTCAGTCACGGGAGATATGGGGTTGGAGGTGGAGTTCGCGTTCTCCGTATCTTAACTACTGCAGCTCAGCCACAAGCCCCACTTTGCCCTGCCGACGCTAACCTGTTTTGTGAGGCTGCGCCCTTCCGAGAGGGAAAGGGCGATAGAGGAAATTAGCGCTTACGAACATCCGCAGGACGTTTCTTTTCACCCACGTTGAGAGCGACTTCGACGACGACTTCGACGACGCGCGAATAGAGCACTGACTTCCAACGCCAAGTAGCTAGTCAGGCGAGACGAATCGGCGGAACCAACTTAATATTTTGGTAAATCGTGTAGGTCTCCAAGCTCCACAATCGCATCTCGAACGACCGGCTTGGCGACGTCGTAAAGTTACAGCAATTCTCCACTATTAGTCTCACCGGTTGCCTAAACCTTGGATCTCCATCGCCCTTTCCTGGAGCTGAAGGGCTGCATGAATGACTCCAAACTCGATCGCAAACCTCGTGGGCGCAGCGCCCTTTGATCTAAAATACCGTGCAACAGGCCTCAGGCTCCTGAACACTCATTCTCCATCATACTCGCTCATTTTTTGGAGCTTGTGATTGCTAACCGTCTACCACGACGAAAGCAAGACGCCGTACCTAACGACGCCGCCCTCTGACAAATACACCACTCATAGTCATGGACCATCAGGGCGCAGGTTTCGCCTTTGACATGAACATGGACTTCAGCAACATGTTTGCGACGCCGCAGCAACAACAGGCGTACACGCCAGCGGATAATACTTCTGGCTTCCTTTTCGCTGACGAGGGTATCGATACTTCCGCATCAACATCTTTCATTGATCCAACCGTATTCGATAATACCCCTCAGCAGAGCACCTTTGACATGCAACACAGTCTTGTAAGCTTATCGAGCTCGCCATATCGCATGCGTGCTAACAACGTGGCAGACCTTGGATGACACCTCGGCGACCCCAGCATGGAATACGCAGCTCACGCCTGAAATGCAACTGCAACACATCGCGAAATCATTTCCACCTACACCACTACAATCTTTTGATGCCATGCCCACGCAATTCAATGCGCTCGGCAAGCGCCCACTCCAGCTTGACATGCACGACTACCCTCAGTCAAAGCGTCACGCAAGCTTTGATTTCCCTTTGTTCCCCACACCTCCTGCGACAACCACGTCCAGCTGGGGTCTGGATCCCATCCCCTCCGCGGCAGTAGACGGACTTCCAGATGAAGCAGCCGACGTCTGCGCGACATGGTTCAACAAATACAATGTACTGCCAAGTGACAGGCATATCGATTCCTTGAGCCAGCTCACCGGAGAACCAGCAGATTCAATCCGAAGCTGGTTCAGTCAGCTATTGAAGCAGGGCATGGGTGGCAGCCAAAGCGATTCAGCCTATAAGTCTCAAACAGCACTCATCCAACAAGAACAGCAACAAAAGCAACACGAATCCTTTTGGGATGATCACACGTACCAGACAGAGCTTCCGGGAGCATACAACGCCTATGGGAGCGTTGTACAGCCAACACTCGGAGAGACGTCTACTGCCGGCTCGTCACCAAATCGCGACAACGCTACCGTCGCCGTCCCGGTAGTCTCCACACGGGGTAGCAAGAAGCGATGCTGCCCTACCGAAGACCTAGAGTTGCTCGGTAGAGACCCCAGGAAAATCTACCAGTGCACAAGGAAGTGCGGCAAGCGGTATGGCCGTAAGAACGACTGGAAGAGGAATGAAGAGGAGGGCTACCCTTGCAAATCATGGGTGTGCAGCCTGTGTACGTTTGAGGGGGTCGAGAACGTCAAGCCATGTTATCGAAAGTACCACTTTGTCCAGCATTTCCGAAACATCCACCCGGAGATGAACCCTGAAGACTTTGATGAGGCTAGTACCGTGATCTCTGAGACTGAATTCCCACGCAAATGCGGGTTCTGTAGACACCGCTTCGAATCCAGACAGGAACGTATAGACCACATTGCCGACCACTTCAAGCAAGGCAAGTGTATGCTTGACTGGCGTGACGAGGAAGACAACGACAGCCACGATTCTGCGGACGATGACAACGACGACGGACCAAGCGATGACGGCTTTGGTGGCAAGCCTTCTCCTGACTCGCCGTTAGATCCACGGGGTGGTAGTAGCTCCAAATACTCTGGCAACGGTGGCAGCGGCAGCAGTTCTGCAGGCCCGCCATCCAACGGCGGATTCTTCCAATTCCAGCTCTCACAACTCGGTGAGAGCCAGTTGGATTGTGCGGACCAACATATCAAACCCACTATACTTTCGCCGAACATCTCTCAGTCATCGATCTCACTACCTGAGTCGAACACGTCAGGCTCGTCGCGCAGTGTGTCGACTGTTGCGAACTCCCTGCGAGATGGCCGCATTAGAGCAGAGGAGCATGACAAGGATCATTTGGCCGGAGATGTCCTCGCCCAGTCCGTAAAGAAGGAGCTCCTGACCTCATCCATGGATGATAGGACAGATAGTAGTCTGTTGGAACATCCTCACTGGAAGCATTCCAGAGCCGATATAGGTGCTGAGGCTCGAAGTTCGCCTACCCTGTCTCGTACTAAACCAGAAGACCAAAACATCCTGGGTGCCATCAAGGCCAACATTGGTCACGGAGGGGCTGTTTCTGGTACCAACTCTTTGATCAAAGCATTGATGATGATCCACAAGACCGCCCCTAAGGATCTTGGCCAGCGTCATGTTCAAATGACTCCTGAAGCCGGCAACATCACGAAGGACCAGACAACCTTCAATGTCGCACAGGGCAAAGCCATGGAATACAAGATGGGCTCCGTATCCGCCTCGCTCAACACGGGTACGACGACATCCATACAAGACAACATGTCGATGATACCGACGAAGAATGGGCGACCTCCTTTGTCATCGATATCGCTAGCTTCGAAGACGTCCTTCCTCAGTGTCAAACTACTAGGCTCAGGAGGCTTCAGTACAGTCGATGAGGTTGTGCATCAACAAACGGGACTACACGTTAGTCGCAAGACACTCAAGAATCGTAACCAGACGGCAATTGAGGAGCTGAAGAAGGAAGTGAGCGTTCTCCAGAAGTTACGACACCCTCATATAATTCGCCTTATCGGAACCTATGCAAAGGGCGACAAGATGTCGATGCTCCTCTCACCCGTTGCGGATACAACACTTGCAGTATGGCTGGAGCAATCAGCGTCGAAGAAGCCTGCCAATCTGTCAGAGACTATTGTCAAGATGTTTGGCTGTCTCGCCTCTTCAGTAAGGTATCTTCACGAGCAACGACCCGTTGTTAAGCACATGGATATCAAGCCCCAGAATATCTTGATCGTGGAAAGCGGCCAAGAATTCCCTCACGTGGTACTAAGCGACTTCGGTGTCAGCTCTGCAGAAGAGGTTGGTGACGACCAATACAAGCCGCTAACGCGCCAATACATCGCCCCTGAAGTCTTTGAGGGCTTCACTCGCAAGCAGGCAGCCGACATATGGAGTCTTGGCTGCGTCTTTGCGGAGATGGCATCCTTTTCATTTAGTCGAGGCAACATGGGATGGTCAGCCTTCCGCAAGGCATTTAGTGGGCGCACTGGCAAGCATTATTGGCAGGACGTATCTGGTATACAAGACAAGCTCGCCATATTCCTCGCGGAGGCGAAGACCACAACAGAGCAGACTGTCATTCGCACGCTTCAGAGCATGCTGAATGCTGATCCAGACGAGCGGCCAGACGTAGGAGCATTGACTATGATCTTCACTCCCGCACCATGCTGTCTCAACTGGCCCAACGACAAGGCGACCTTCCCTAGCCCACAAGAGGAGCTTGGTGGGGTAGAGATGCTCGCTCACCAAGGCGACATTGATACTTACGACCATTCTCACGGCCATGGTAGAAACACGGAGTCGGACGCCAACCTCTCGAATGCAAAGATTTGGCTGGACGAATGTTCATGCACGCACGAAGCCTGTCGTCACACAGCAACACAAGGCGCCAGCACACTACCGACACGTCTGATCGAGATCCTTCCTGGTGACAAGAATGGAATTCGCGCGAGAATTATTCAGACCAATTGCTTCGAATCAACCAACGACGAGGTGGATTACGTGGCATTAAGTCACGTCTGGAGCCACATACAGCCGCTACTCTCTAGCGATACACTATCGACCATGCAGGCTCGACTACCACTACAAACACTTCCGACCGCAGTCGCGGATGCGATCACGACAACACAAGGTCTGGGCTATAAATACCTTTGGGTAGACTCACTCTGTGTACTACAAGACTCGAAGGAAGACAAGGAACGCGAATGCGCAAGCATGGCATCCACCTTCCGCAATGCGGCACTAACACTCGTACTTGACCAGCTGACCGGCGATGGAGTCGGAGGCGAGATTATTGTCTCAGGCACGACTGACAAGACCAATCTGACGTCCTCACATGGATTAACAACGGGCAAGAGTCCGACGTCAGGTCGACTACCAGCTTCTTCCTTGCTTCCAGCTGGCATTCTGACAACGCCAAACTTCGGTTGGGATACACGTGCATGGGCACTACAAGACCGACTACTCAGTCGACGCTTCCTCCATTTGGGCGAACAGTTGTACTGGGAGTGCAATACCCTCAAGGCATCCGAAACCTTCCCTCGCGGTCTCTCAGCACTAGTCTGGGAGAAGATACATACTGAGTCTGGCAAAGGCACGCAGTTCGATACTGATGGACAACGAGCCGCTATTGCTACAGCCACGAGTCGCAGTGACAACTGCAGCAACAAAGCCCAGTTCAGCATGAGCAAGGACCTCGTCTTCACGTCTGTCACGACGCCAGGCAGGACCTGCTACGACAAAGACCACCGAGATGTTCGGGAGCCCGGCACCTTCGATGCCAGCATCGCCTGCCCCTCTTCAGACAGGCCGCCCCAGTTCAATTGGAGAAACTGCGGATATCATTGTGGAGAAGGATGCGGGAAGGATAGCGAGGGCCTAGATGCCTGGGAAACCCTCACCTCCGATGCCAGCACGGCCTGCTCTTCTGAGAGCAGCGAGCCACAATGCACCCTCCCATCAGCGAGCCGTCTACGCGATTGCCAATGGCTGAGGAAACAAGGCGATGATATAGGACAAGGTACAGAAGCCGTACAAGCTACGCTCAAAGTCAATGACGCCCAAGGGTCGCAAGTGACTTTGAACTATCAACCTGGTAGGAAGAGGAGTGGGAGTCGTCGGCTCAACAAAGCTTGCTTCCAGACGAAGACACTGCCTGGTCAGAACCCAGGCGGAGGTAATGGTAACGATGAAGGAATGGAAGATGGTGATGCGATTGAGCGCGGGAATTACATTGCGCTAAGCAATGGGGACGGGATGGAGTAGTGCGGATACACTGGTTACGCATGTCTCTTTTCTTGTTCGGCTCTCGAGCAAAAGAACTGTGTTGTTCGCTCAGAGCGCTTTCATGGTGTGTTTTTGATTTTTCATCATAGCTTTACGAGTGTTATTTCATGACCAAGAACCAGCATCTTGGATTCAACTATACTGTTCCTTGTGCCATGCCAAGTGAATGTGCATGTCAAGCGAACGGTCCGACAATATATGTACCTGAACACATTACTTGCGTGCGTCTTCGCTACAGTATTTCTGTAGGTATTCATGCCGATATGCTTTACCGCCTCAAGTCTCCGGCCTAACCCTTCCCCTCCTCTCCCTCATTCCCTCCACCCTCCTCCTGTCTTCCTCAAACTTCCTCTTCAGTGCACCCTCAGCCTCCTTCCTCCTCTCCCTGTTCTGGAAGCGATAGAAGTCATCTGTAGCCCTGTGATTCCTGCGCCTCTCGTCCAGCTCGGCCTTTTTCTTCTCCGCATCTTCGAGTCTCGCGGGCCCGACGCGGCCACCTCGCGTAACAGTCATGAAGCCTTCCTCGTCAGGGACGGATCGGGTTGTTTTGCGGAGGCGGTTTCGGGATGTTTCGAGGGCGTTGAATTGGGTGAGGTAGGCGTTTAAAGAGGCTTGAAGGAGGGAGGGGGTGGGGTAGAGGAGGGAGGTGTGTGATTTGTAGCCTGTTATCATCAGTCAGCATAGATCAAATGAAATGGAAAACAGATTATTATGGGGGGAGACTTACGATCAACGCCCAAGCCTTCTCCTCCTTTCCACACTACACTCTTGCCCTCCTTGACAGCTCTCTGCACCTCCTTCAGCGCACCCTTTGCACTCTTCCTATCCACAAACACAATAACAGCACCACTCCCACTTTTCCTCACTTCACTATTCCATAACCGCGGCAGTGCGCTCTCAGCATCTTCCACAACACCCTCTGCGATCACAGCCGCGTCATCCACCCTCTTCCTCTTCTTACCCCTCTTATCCGCTCCTCCTCCTCCAACAGCAACATCGTCTTCTATGGCAGCAGGTTTATCAGTATTCCTCCACCGCTTGTGCATCGGTTGCGCAGGAACACTCGCATCGAATTCGACGCGCTCGACCATGGAGCCGCCGAGTTGTTCTTGGAACAGCGCGCGTATGCTGCGTTCGGAAGCGTCAATCGGTGTGTTTGCCATGAAGAGGCTGCGGTCGTCGTCCGCAGTGGGGAGGCTGGGAGAGTGCGCCTTAATGTAGATGTAGTGTTTCGCATCGTTGTAGTGTGCTGGGAGTCCGGAGAGGGTGGGTAGTGTGAGGGGGAGGACGGTAAAGTCTGCGACTGTTTTGGGTATCGCTTTGGATTTCTTCGTTTTGGAAGGCGCCTCGGGTGCCATGATGGCTGTGGGGTGAGGGTGATTGCGACGGATGGTGCTGGGTGGGTTGAAGGAGTATCGATTGATCTCCGGCTGGGCTTGGCGTGAGACTCTATCACAGGTCTGAATTTGAGCGCGATATGTTGGAAAGCGCCGGCTTAGTATTTCGGAATAGAAATGTTGCGTGTGGAAGTCTTCACATATGTTCGCGCGCAAGTCGAGCTCGTGGTGGAATTCCGTTCACGAAATTTTGGTAGGGATGGCACGGTCGCGTTAGCGTCTCAAGCTGGCTAGAGCCTCCACTGCCTCTAAGAGTAGCCATGATGCTTAGTATCACATATAAGAAATGTCCAGAAGCGTGGTATCGGTTTCGAATCATGGAGTGATATTCATTCATGGTTGCTATCGCTGTACGAGCAAAGACATTGCTTATTTGAAATAGTACTGAATACACACAAATGCTCCAAAAGACTATGCACAAGTGAGACAGATAAAGCAATAATGTGGATATCAATGAGAATCATAAGTCGTAATGACGGTGAACGATGATCTCCAATTAGATGTACTGGTTGACCGAGAATGCTTGCGTTTTGGCCAAGCCGAATAAGCAAGTGGCAAGATGCAGTAACCATGCGCTTAACGTCGCAACGCGATGTTGTAGGCGTAGTCTAAAAGGCTGTAGTCAGGGATGATGCTATTATCCCAGTCGATTACTATCGCAGTAAAAGAGCGGTGTGTAGGGAGGTGCAGGAGTTTGATGATTGCCAGTCTCTGGCCGTTCAGTTGAAACCTCCCGGAATGCTCTTCATCGGAGACTCTGGGAGCGAATGGTAAGTATCGTCCTTGTCGTCTTTCTTCTCATCGTCGGGCGAAGGCTCATGCGAGTACTTGGGCTTGAGTCTGTTGCCGATTTGCTCCAGTCTGTTGTCCTCTACGGAGGACAGAGAAGAGGTCGAGTCACCACGCATAAGCGAGGGTGTGGATTCCGGGCTATGCTTTGGTTTGGTGGGTGAGGGTACAGGAGATGCGCCCTGCGCAGTGTTCAACGACCCGTCTGAGTTCGTTGAGACACGGTTGCGGAAGGGATTCCTGACAGGTAGGGCTGGGGCGACTGGCTTGGCAACTTGAACAACGCGTGCGTGAATGGCTTGTGGAGCGGCGGCCTGGTGAACCTCATAAACGACTGGCTCGTCTTCAAACTCGTCTTCGTCGTCGTCCTCCTCCTCATCACTGCTGCCGTCGTCATCAACGGCTTCAGGAGCTGTCGAACTGCGAGGAGAGCCGTTCAACTTGGGATCGACGGCGCTATCCGTCTTTGTCTTTGCAGCTGTGGGTGTTGCCTCTTCGGCTAGTCTGTCCGCACTCTTGATTCGTGGCGGAGTGGCTTGCTCGACCCTAGTCTCGGGTACTTCTGCTATGGGAGGTGTAGGTGTACGTGCGACACTCGTCCTTGGCGGTAATGTAGGGGGCGTCTTCTTGACGGTTGGAGGCGGTGGCGGTAGATCGTCAGTCTGTGTACTCATATCGACTGTTGGCGTCCGGGGCTCAAGCACGCCACTGATGGTGCTTGTTCGCCAACTCGACCGTCGACTGCCGGCAAAACTTAACCGATCCGTGCTTCTCCGAAACGTTGAATTTCTGAAAGTATTGTAGATTGGACTTGTTGCGCTTGGTTTGAACTCAAATTGTTCGCTTGTTGGCCGGCTGTGTGTGCCTGCTTCCCTGATTTCTAGGCCGGCTTCTTGCAATGCCAACACGCCATACGGATCGGGATCAACCGCGTCTGGGACACCAAAGATCTTGTCTTCAGGACCTGTGACCTCAAAGTCTCCGGGCGTTGCCTCATCTGGTATCAGAGACTCGTCCACGTCTGTATCGCCTTGAGCAGACTTGAGTGTTTCCATGAGCCTCTTTATCTCGTAAGGTGGATGCCTCACGTTCCCAGCCAGTATGTCCTTTACGCCTATGCGCTGGCCGTAGAAGCGTTCGTTCTCGTCTGTTCGCTCGATTATGATTGTTCCGTCCAGTTGAAGACCAGCGTAGAAGCCCCGCGATTTGATGTACGTGAATAGTGGTGACTGGCGCTTGTGAAGTTCGGTGTCGAGTATGCCGCCAACGCCGGCTGGACCTGCGACTGCGCTGATCTCTCCTCCCAAGGTGCAGCGGATGGACTGGAAAGCCTCCATTGCCTTGTCCGAGTTGATGACAATAACGCAGTCGTAGATGTCCACGCCAACGAGGAACCCTACACCCACGGTGTGCATCATAATACCAGACGGTGGTGACCATGTTCCATCCGCCTTGCGCGCAACCAATACACCAGCTCCGCCAGATCCGGAGACCCAGAGGCCGGATCGCATGGTTGTGAATATGCAGAGACCTTTGGCATTCTTAATCACCTTGGACGGTATCTTCTTGAGGACTCGTTGCTTTCCCTTGGGGACATCGGTTGTAATCGGCCGGTCTTCTTCTTGGTAGAATCCATCCTCTGTGACTGCGTTAGTACTTGGCGGTGCGTGTGGGGAGTTGACGTACTACAGAAGCTTTTGAGAATCCTCGCAGCCTTGTCCGACTCGATGTCTAGCGTTGTAGGCCAGAAGGCTTCGGAGCCGACCTTGTTGGACAGGCGATTGACAGGCGCACCGAGCTTGTCAACCCAGTTGTACACTTTGTCGAAGCCTTGTTTTGACTGCGTCTTCGCCGTGGACCAGAGGGCCATGTTTGCGGGCTATCGGTGTGTGCAGAAGCACTACGTCAGAGTTGGGCCAGAGTGCTATGAGTGCGGTGCAGCAACAGCATTACACATTAGAGATAGGGAGCATTCAAGTAGGACAACTCGTACGAAGAAAAGGCAAAGAGAAGGGTCAGCAGACGGAAGCAGCGGGAAAGGCAGTATGGTAGGCCAGCGGGCTCCAGCCGTTTTTGAGTCCCACTGTACGTCAGCTGTAGGCTAATGCTGGCGGAGGCTGGCGACGGCACCCTCTAGCATCGGGTACCTTAATAATGACCCTGGGCATTACCAAGTGACTTGACCCCTGCCCATCACGACTCAATAAAAGACTTAGTGACGGTGATGCGATATTGATTTACCAAATGCAGCACGTAGCGGGGTTGAACACGGGCGGTGGACACCACCATTTCGGAGGCTGCATGTCGCCTGATTCGTTGTGAGGCTGCGCTTTCATGGCGCGCCATCAGGAACGAGCAGAAAAAACGAAAAGTCAAGACAAGCGCATCAAACTAGGCATGCGTCGTGAATCGGACGCACGTGTCGTCGAGTCTAGATAGCTGGGCGGGTCTGCAATCTACCGGAAAGAAAAGCAAGACATGTCATCCCCGTCTTCACACCGACGCCCGGAGAAGCGTTTCGCCGAGCTCCGGGGACTGACGCGCCAAGCCATGTCCAACTAGGCGCGTCGATGGAAGCTCGTTCCAAACTTTATGTTTTGCGGCTGCGACAACAGCTAGACAAAGAGCAGTCCAAGGCGCTCACCTCGCATAAACAGCTCATCGGGGCGCACGTGAACTGCAACATTTGACGTGGAAAGTAAAGCACGGAAATCACTTTAGTTCTGGTTTCTGGTCCAGCCTGTCTCACAAGATTTGAACTCGCGCCAGCACGACTGCGATGTTTCGTCGTGATCCACCTTCAACACCCGGACGCGACTACTACTACGACTACGACCGCCAGCCGTCGACCACACCTGCCGGCCCCCCGCCTGACGATTCAAGATTTCCCACCTCGACCCCAGCTGGCCCGCCGCCAGGCATGAATAACGGTCTTTTCGGCAACACACGGCCGACGTTCAATCCCAACAGCTATGACTACGCCAGCAACTCGCTCTTCGATAGCTCGCCGCCCAAGCCGGGCTTGTTCGAAGGCATTGGAGCCGGCTCAATAGGCACTTCGACCTCCGGACGACCCCCAACACAACGAGGACGCATCACAACCTCCGGCCAATTCCAAGCGCCCACCAACACACTGCACCGAGACGCAGAAGGCGAGTCGGATGACGAGTACACGGAGGAGGAACAAGAAGAAGACGAAGACATGGATCAAGATGAGGGCACCGACGAGGACGAACCGCTCTCACCACAGCGCCGCAACAAGACACAGAACAGGTTCTCCCAATCCGTCGTCTCAAGAACGAGCGCAAATGATGTGGAGCCAGGCCCTACACTGGTTCGCTCAGGCGCAAAACAGACACAATTCGATCTCCTAGCGCTCGCCAGGGGCCTTACATCCGACGCGCCTCAAGGCCGCTGGCAGCCAACTGGCAAACCGCAATTCCTGCGCGAATCCGACCACACCATACTTGAGACGGAGCGTCTGGTCGAGAAGGTTCACGAGTCTCTCCACTCAGACTCGCCGGACAAGCGAACCGATGTGCTCGGCTCGGTCGCTCAGGAACTGACTGCAGTCTGGAGATCAATCAAGCCAAACCCCAACACCATGTCAGACCAGCGACAGGAGGTATTGCAAGGCAGTCATCTTGCCACTCTTCTGCTCACCCTTCACCACCCCCCACAGATCGACCTAAACCAACGAGCCTCGGCCCTTTCACTTGTACCTGCGCGAACCGATCCGAGACAATACACTCCTATTCCAAGAGTACTGCTCGACTGGCTGAACAACACATTCTCCGGTGTATCTGAGGTTGGAGAGGTGTTGAAAGAGACACGCGGGTATTCAAGACACCCTTCGTTCTGGGAGGCGGTGCATGTTTCCATTGTTCGGGGCAACTTCTCGCAGACTATGAAATTACTGCAGGGAGCTCGACTCGAAAACGCCGAGACAGCCGAACACGACGGACTGGGCACCACAGGATATGTCGGATCACACCTCCAATACGCAAACCACGCGCTACGTCAAGCAATCGATCTTCTGCGAGAATGTCCAGCTATTGCATCCGAAGATTGGGACATCAAGGGACATGACTGGAGTATTTTCCGGCAGCGCGTACAACAAGTATATGTCAGCTTGGAGGACTTTTCCGAGGGCGAAAGTGTGAACCGTCATTCTGTCTCTCAGCCTTTCAAGGCGGCACACTTTGGTATCTCGCAATCCCAGGCAAGCTTCCAGCTCAGTGTGGCCAGTCGCAAAGCTGAAAGCAAAGTGCCGTGGTCCGTGTATGAGAACTTGGGAAGGGTTTACCAGCTTTTGCTAGGCAATGAAGAAGAGATCCTTACCTTGTCAGCCGATTGGATCGAAGCAGTTGTGGGCCTGGGTGTTTGGTGGAACGGAGAAGAGGACGACTCGGCATTCGGCAGTCTGGCGGCAAGCCGTCGCTCCATCCTGCGGTCACAACGAGTTCGTCCTGTCGACGTGACTCCGGTCAAAGCGTATTGTCAACGGTTGTCTTCTGCGCTAGCAGCAGTCATCCAGAACAGTGACGAAGACTTCAGTGTCAATGCTGTAGACCGCTTCGAAGTGGGTTTAGCATGTGCCTTCGACGACAACATCGAGGGTGCTCTCGAAATCCTCCAAGTCTTGTCGCTCACCATGGCATCTGCGGTTGCGGAGCTTGCCAGCGCAGGAGAGTGGTTCACAAGCGCAAAGGGCCTGATGGATCAGTTCGACCAGAGTGATCTAATGGTCCTGAGCTACACTGAACAGCAGAAGCCAAAGGGCCTGACAAAGGATGACTTACTTGTTACCTACTCACAACTCTTACCTGCGAGAGGCGAACTCACTAGCAGAGATGGTCAAACGTCCAAAGAAGGATGGGAGATTGCCGTGCAGATTCTCGGCAGACTTGACGACGTCATAACAGCGAACGAGCGCATTGAGCGGATACTAAATGACCTGCAACTCGAGTCCTCAGCCCGTGTTGACAAAATCACTCAGCTTTGCCACAATCTGGGCCTCTCACAGCATGCTGTCATCATCGCTCAGGTAAGTCATATCACAGAAATCCCTCCGGGTCCAAACTAACTGTTACAGAAATATGCCGACCACCTCCGCACAAACACCGAAAGCTATGGCGACACACTGCTCTACTACGCCCGTGCCCACGACGCACAAAAGATCCAAGAGGTGCTACGTGTATTGGTCGCCCACTGCCTTGTCAAGTCAATCGCCTATCCGCCTCTAGACGAATTAGACGAGTCACTTAGCTCGCTCATTACTTCACCAAAGCAAACCCTGACCAAACTCGCGAGTCTAGACTCGGAAGCCGCTTCTCTGCTCTCGAACCACCTCAGTGGTTATGCGACAATACGCAAATACTACGATCTGCGAGATGAAGGGATATTGCTAAAAAACGGAGAGAAGCCAGCACATCGGCCCATGGCACGAAAACGAGCTGCAGCAAACGCGCTTATGGTTATCATCGCTAGCGCAGCGTCCAGCATCCGTGGCGGACTGTATGATCCAGAGATAGAAACTGTGGTTCAAGTCGATGTCCTGCTACCGTTACTGGGTGAGGCGCTTGTCTTCGTCAACCAACCCAAGCGCACTTTGACGCTCCGTCACTTATATGATCTCCTCGCAGCCATCGAGGACTTTGATACTGCACCCAGTATGATCCGAACGCAATGCGACGAAGTACTCGCTACTACCCTCCTTTCTGCACATGACCCCAACTCCTCACAACAACTACCGAACCCACACCAACTGCTATCGAAATCAACATCGAACCTAACGACGGCGTCCAGCCAATATTCGCTCATTGGCTCAACCGATTTCGGCTCTGCAGATGGTCAGAGTACAGAAGGTTCGACAGTCTTTGTTAAGGGCGGACATGTAGACGATAGCAAGCGTGGTTGGGACTGGCGGAAAGGCTTCCCCAAGGGTGCAAAGAGTGAGGATATCATTGCGGTGCTCAGGTTGGGGGTTGCGAGGGAGATTGGAAGAGCGTTTGCAGAAGGCGAGGTCACCGCTTGAGGTGTCTAGCTAGGAGAAATGATACCACAATGTAATAGTAGAAGCTTTTTGGCCTTGGCCATAAGAGTTGATGTTCAAACGTCATTAATTATGTCGCGTTCAAAGCAACAGCTTGTTTACGTGTGTAACTCTGCAATACTGCCCGAAGTTCTCCACTACCTTTTCATGACCAAGTGTGTGCCATGGTATGTTTGACTAATCATGCTATATAGCATGCATACAGAACATTTTTACAAAAGTCGTTCCCCTCGTCTACTAAACTTTAGCATTTGAAGCGAGCTAAGCTGTGCCGGAACCCACGCGTCGACGTCGAACACAGCCAACGCGTACCTCGGTTCCTCGTCTCCCCGCATCATCACCATCACCACAAACATGTCCATGCTCGCCAAAGAACATGGGGTAAAAGCGCATATACCACGCGCTTCAAAACAGCATTGCATACCTCTCAACTACCTTCCAGCGTCTACGTGATTAAAATTGTTCTGCCAAAATGTCACCAAAGCAATCCCCGCGCCATACCCCCGACATCACGCTCCCCTCGTCCTACAACACGCTCCCCTTCACCCAAATCACGACACGCCACCACGAAAAAGAGCCCTCAGTCATTATCCTCACCTTGCACAGACCAGGTAAGCACAATGCCTTCACCGACATCATGCGCGCGGAAATCGAATCCGCATACGCCATGTTCGATGTAGACGAGCGCGTGAAATGTGTCGTCGTAACAGGCGATGGAAGGATATTCTGTGCGGGTGCGGATTTAGATGATGGGTTTGGCAAGGGTGTGCATGGAGGTGAAGGGGCGGAGAAGGTGCAGGAGCATAGGGACGGGTATGTTTTGATTTCCATCTTTTTTTTCTTTTTCCGCCAGTTCTGCTTTAGCTCTTCTTCTCAGTGTTTTATATAACATGGCGTAACAAGTCTGTTCTGGCTGACAAAAGAATGAATGCATACAGAGGCGGACGCGTAACCCTAGCCATCCAACACTGCCGCAAACCCTCCATAGCTGCCCTCCAAGGTTCGGCAGTAGGCATCGGCATCACCATGACCCTCCCCATGAATATACGCATAGCCTACGCCAAGGCGAAAATTGGTTTCGTCTTCGCGCGCCGTGGTCTCATCATGGAAGCAGCCTCTTCATTCTTCTTACCCCGATTGATCGGACATAGTCGCGCTATGCAGGCTATAACGACAGGTAGCACATATCTTGCTGGCGACAAGATCTGGGGTGGTCTGTTTGCGGAAACGTGTGAGAAAGCGGAGGATGTGTTGCCGAGGGCGCTTGAGGTCGCGGAAGATGTGGTGAAGAATACTAGTACTGTTAGTACGTATTTGATGAAGGAGTTGATGTATAGGGATATGGGGAGTCCTGAGGGTCAGCATTTGTTGGATAGTAGGGTGATTTACGAGTTGTTTGGGTCGCCGTAAGTTGTTCTTCTTGCTAGTTTGTCAGAAGCTAACTGGGTGCAGGGATAACACCGAGGGCGTACAGTCGTTCATGGAGAAGAGGCAAGCGAAGTTTACGGGAACCATGGACAGTACGAATGTGACTGGTTATCCGTGGTGGATGCCAATTGACACTCTGGGGAGGCCAAAGATGGCGCCGACGGGGAGGGCGAAGATTTAATTACATTTGAGAAAGTGGGCCAAGACACGATATGTAGTGCTCAAGTGTATTGGCATGACTTCATTGTCTATCGTCCATTTCATCCCACACAACTGCTGTTGTTCAACGTCCCTGTAGGACTAGCCTTCACGCGCGTAGCTAGCCAGCACCCCAAAACTGCATCACGCGCACCGAAGGCTCGAATGGAGGTATCAGGGATTTTCATTCGTTCCTAGTGTACTTCTTTTCGTGAAGCATGCATAACCGAGGGAAACCCATATCATCCCTACCCATCCAGACCGCACTCCGTAATGAGAAACACGCTTAGAAGAAAGTGGATGGTCGGGTAGAAGAGAAGACCTTCTTGCCAGCCTTCTTGTTGATGCGGTGGGGCAGCGGGAACTTGAGGTTCTTGGTGAGGAGCTGCTTGATGTATGGTCGGCGGATGTCGTCGGACTTCTCGACCTCAACGACCTTGAGAATCTAGACGGAATGTGAGTGGGCTGACACGGGCGGTAGATGCGATCTGATCTTACCTGAACGGACCTGAAGCGCGATCGGTGACGGGCGGCCATGTCCTGGTAGAGAGCATCGACGGCGGCAACGCGGGACATCTCACGGTACTCCTTGTACATGTTGTGGGTACCGGAGCGCGAGTCGTACTTGAGCCAGATACCGAAGTTCTTAACCTTCTGGGGCTTCTTCTCGTGGATCTGAACCAGTCAGTCTCTCATGTTCCACAACTCTTGTCTAGTCTGACGTACCTGGTTTACGGAGACGATCTCACCGTTGGCCTTCTTGATCTTGCGGAGCTTGCCAAGGAAGTACCAGAACCGTGACTTGGCGACAACCTCGTTGGGCGCAAAGATGCGCATGCGGTAGATCTTAGGCGCGGGGTTGGCCTCTGAAGGCAGATGGCGCCCGATAATCTGGTATTCCTGGAAGCGTGCTGAAGCATCGTCAGTACTGCTTCAACCAAACAAAGTAGTCCTAGTCCAGCAATTGCAGCATCCGCGGTTGGGGAGTTCGATCGTGTTAGGGTGCTCGAGTACGGTCGTAATCGAATTTGTCGCATGCAGACGATTGCGCGTGCATTCGCTACCATCATCATAACGTTCGGTGTCGTTGACCCGCCCACTGTGCATGCACACGCCACTACTGCTCCTCCATAATCTGCCCCCGAACTCGTACTGTCGTGTATCGTGATGGCGAGAGGCTTGGTGAGCGGCCTCAAGATGGCGCGGGCCTGGTTCGAAAATTCCATCGGCTGCAATTGCTGGACGGGATGGTGTTGCGGAGAAGAGAAATTTGCTTACCCATCTGCGACTGGTTAGCAAGCGATATTGACAGAAGCTGGCGACTGTGACTGACCTTGATTGTGCTGTGAGGTTAGTACCTTGGGTTGAGAAGTTCAGTCAGGTCGTCTCTATGTTGGATTCACAAGCGAATTCGACACCAGCTTGTGGGCGCTAGCTGAGCAGGGACCCACAACAACTTGGCGGCAGGCACGAGGGACGTCGGCGAACAAACAGCTCAAACACCGACACACCAACATCGAGCATCACCAAACCGCCCGCCAGTTGGCTTCCTGCAAACCTAATCTGCAACATGTCAAAGGGTTGAGGATACCAGCTGAAGTCGCGAACACCTTCAGAACTACGCGACAGCCGATTATCCATTTCCGCCATCGCATCTCCAGAAGCGACGATGCAAGCCGCACTCGAGCCTTTCCATGAGGCATATGCCAGTGGTCTGGCGCAACCCGTCGCAGACTTCCTCAGTCCAGTTGCTCCTGCACATGATCCTGGCCGGCTGTACGACTTCTACCGCGCTTCCAGCGAAGACAAGATTGAAGGCGATGTCCGATATGCGCTCAAATACAACAAGAACACGCGAATGACCAACAAGGAGGCTGGCGCATGGGTCGACATCATTGCTGGTTACTGGCGCGCTGTCAAGGAAATCATCAAGACAGACGAAGCAGCGAACCAAGGCAGGCTCAGTTCGGTTCACTATGTCGCAGTATACGATGCATGGAAGGACTTGACTAGCAGCTTCATCAAGCACATAAATGCTGGACTGCTACCACCATGGGCCATCTTCACCCTGTACTTCACTGCGAATCATCTTAGGAAGATAGCAATCAGAGCAGACGAGCAATTGGCCAAATCGAAACCGGCAACTCCCAACACCGGCTACTCAGATGACATCGTGAGCACAGCCCCTCAGAATCAGAAGCTCGAGGAAGCTGCGCGAGTGTTCAACAGAATCTTTGCTCTTTGCCTGGGTGACAGGAACCCAGACATGTCAGAATCGCGAAAGTGGGGTGTATACTGCATAGCCAACCTTCAGTTCAAGACATACTTCAAGGTAAGACTTGTCTCGGCCTGCATTTCGTGACGATCGCTAATATAAATGTATCTAGTTGAAAGCCATCAGTTTATCTAAGAACGTTGTACGATCGATCGAAGCACAGTCCGACCTACCTACATTCGAGCTGTACCCACGAGCGCATAGAGTCACATACAGATACTACCTTGGAGTACTAGCATTCCTGCAAGAGGACTATGCTAAAGCGGAAAGCAGCTTGCAACAAGCATGGGAATCTTGTTGGTCAAAGTCACAACAGAACAAATCGTGAGTGTGATTGATCTGGGGCGGATGTTCTAAGCTAACTACCCAGGCTCATACTCACATACCTCATACCTTGCCGCCTGATCACTCAACACAAGGTTCCTACAGCTAGTCTCCTCGCCGAAGCTCCTCGTCTAGAACGTATTTTTGGCCCCCTCGTCTCATGCATAAAGCGAGGCGATCTCACAGGCTTTGACAAGGCTCTAGCGGAAGGCGAGCCCGAGTTCGTCAGACGGCGCATCTTCCTCACCTTAGAGCGGAGCCGCGACATCGCCTTGCGCAACCTCCTCCGAAAGGTCTACCTAGCTGGTGGCTTCGACGATCTCAAGGAAGGACAAACGGAGAAGGACCGGATACGGAAGTCGCGAGTACCGCTAGCAAATTTTGCCGCCGCGCTCAGAATGGGCATTGCAGGCGAAGGCAGCGGCCAAGCCGTGGAGGACGATGAGGTTGAATGTCTATTGGCAAACCAGATCTACAAGGTGCGTATACCATGTCCCCAGCGCTGGGCTCTCTGCAGGTCTTACCCGATTTTGAGGCAACCTCGTCACGGAGACCACGTCACATCTTGAACCCACTCGGCTAACCCATAATGCAGGGTCTTATGAAGGGTTATATTTCGCGCGAACACGGCATGGTGGTGATGAACAAGAAGGGCGCGTTTCCGGGAACAGGGGTCTGATGCCTAAACACATCCGTCTACTGCCTATCTACCCACCAAACAATCATGGCTACATGCCGCGACATGTCACTACCCAAGCTGGAACGCGAATGCACTGTTGCATGTGTAAGCAGCCTCGATGCGCATACATTCACGACATGAGGCATCACACCATCGCGACAAAGAAAAACTCATACAGAGCACCGATCCAATATATTCTATCGATATACCTCAAACTCAACTTCCCCGGCAATTCCTTTTTCTAACCTAACCCCCGTGCTTGCATGGTTCGTGAGACGAGCCGGCTCTGCGTGCGCGACCAGTCACTGTTGCAGGAGACCCAAGCCGCGTTCCCGCACAGACGCGCTGTCGCCCTCTCAGCTGATATCGCGTTGCAGGCCCCCGCCTACTACCCAAACCTGCCGCCCTGATCATCTTTTACCCCACTTGTGCTACCAGCCCAACGCGACGCCCTGCTTTCGTTCTCGCTTCGATGTGCAGCAATGGTGGTCCTTGCCGCATCTCGCATGAGGACGGGTATCGGCAGAGTTACTGTGTGACTGTACTAGAAAGTAGCCAGTACCACGCCTCGCGTCTGGGGGGTAATAGGTAAGCTTTTGATAAGATGAGTCAACGGAACACGATCGTCGGTGTTCCCTCGGGTACGCAGGCCATCGTGTTCCTATTGCTCTTGATGCACCTAGTCCTCCATCCATGCCACTCCGTCTTCGGGCATCGTTACTAGCCCTCAGCACATTGTATTCCTATCCTTTATCCTGCTGATATGGGTCATGCATGACTGGCGTGGTGGGTAGCGTTTACTAATTCCATGCACCCCAGCTCATAGCTCATCCCTTTCTTTACGCTTCTTGCTTCTTGCTTCTTGCTTTTCTGTCTTCGTTCGCAGCCCACATGTCTTGGTTCTGTTATAGCGTACCGGGGCTGCATGTGATTCGTTCACATCTAGAGCGACTCGACAATGGATCTTACCCCGCGGATCAGATTGTGCGCTACCTTGCTAGCGATATTGCCTTTCGTCTTGCTGTTATTCTTGTGATTTTTGTGGTACTTGCGGTACTGTTTGGGTACTTTCTTCCCGCCGACACGTTTTGCGCTGATGGCTTGGATGGAGTGCGCGGGTGGGCGTTCAAACATTGTGTGTTATGGTGTTTTAGGTCGTGTTGTGTGGTGTATGGTAAAACAAGAGTAAATTATTGGTTCTGTATGTATTTGGTCTTGTAGAGTATATGTGTTTGATTATATTGTAACCATCAAGTCCATTGCAACCGAGAAACCGTTACAGCTATATATCTTGGAGGTCGTGAAGTGTGCACTGCGTTGGTTATGCCGAGTTGCCGGCCAATGATATCAGCCAAGCGAGTGTGGAGACAGAGGAGGGCTGAGCATCAAGAGCCGGTACAAAAGGTTGGAGGCCTAATGGATTGCTGCGCCATGTCACTTGTCATTATTCGAAAATGTTTGGACTGATGTTCTGAAGAAGAGGCTTGATTCATTGTGATACGGAATGCTATCATTAATCGCTTGGAACAGGTTATAGAAACGACGAATGTATCTTGTTACAATTTGGTGCAGCTCTGCTGCCAAGAAAAGTACCTCCAAGCCGGAGCAGATATAGGTTTGGGACTAAGAGAAATGCGCAACCTGGGGTGACAATGGGGACCCACGGTGTTTTTTGTAAGTTGAAATGCGAAGAGGGAAGTTATACGAATGCGACGAAGGCATGTGTATCAAAGCAACTTTGAGGCCAACGAAGGAGGCGCGAGTGTCTAGGAAAACCAACCCATGAGAGATATGTATAGTACAACAGTGGCGTGAGTGAGAGCCAGAAAGGTATTTCCAAACCATAGCGCCATGCAGGAACAAGACCGTGACCGAGGAACAATCAGGCAGAGATAAGGCATAGCCGTGAAGCTGGGGCGAAAAGTGTATATACAAGAAGAACAAGAAAAGGCAGACAATGGGGATCATTAGTTGGATGCGACAAGGTGGATAGCTGTGAGCGGAAAGCTTCAGCGGATCGAAGGTGATGACAGGTCGTCCATGTGGTTGACCATGGCAACGAACAAGTCGAAGAAGAGTTTGCCCCCGTTCTCCATCTCGTTCTGCATCGTGCCGCTGCGCTTGAAGGTGTGCCTAGCTCGGATGATGAGCGCGAGGTAGTGTGCACGGAGCTTCGAGTCGTTGTCAGGAGTATTGGCGTATGCGTAACGGGCAGACGTCAAGATGGTCGAGCACTGGATGCCAGACTGGAGACCTTGCTTCTTCAGAGCAAGCTTCTTCAATTCTTGCAATCCGTACTTGTCGGCTTGACAGTAGATGACAGTGTCTTTCAGTATCGGTCCGACTGAAGACTGAACGACAGCTTCATGTGTGCTGTTGGCATTGCCGCCATCTTCGAGGTTCCAGCTGTTTCGCTTCTTGTCGTACTCCATACGCGGGTAGTAGTCACCCTTGTAGAGGTACTCAAGAATCGACGAGAAGACTTCGGGCTCTTCGTCGGGTAGGTCGATGCGCTTGTTGGTGGTTTGGAAGAACTGGCCGCTACAGAGGGTTTGAAACCAAGGAGAATGCGACAGAACATCTTCATGCGCTGCGAAGAGTCGCTGCTCGCGGCCGACGGATATAGTGATAATGGCACTAATGGGATTTGTCAGTAAAGTCGCTTGAAAGGTGATCAGGAAAGAATCAACTCACCTTCCTAGTGTTGGCGATGTTTGGTTTGATTGCGGAGATGATGCCTGGGCATGCTGTGCCAGCCTCTCTACTCTCCTTGACGAGTCCCTGAACGAGGGATTCTTCTTCTGAGATTTAGACTTGCTTGCGCGATGTTTCGAAAAGCTGCCTTCTTGATGACGTGTGCGGTTTGATGAAAACATGATGAAGACGATGATACGATACTGTCGTTACGACGGGTGGATGGTGTGTGAAGAAATGTCGTTGATACTTATAGGTGCAGTGGGTAGGCAACAAGCGTACGAATCTGAGTAGGCAAGCAGACGACTCAAAAAGATCCTAAGGCAGACACGTCGTAGGGCAAATGAGACAATAGCACGCAAGTACTAGGCGACTGCAGCCGTGTATATATACCTGACTCCTCACAGGAGGCCACTATCTGGCCCTCGGCCAGGGTGAGGGTGAATAGCGACGCGATTGGACGCGTCCACGGGCCTAACACGTAAACGCGATATCACATGTTCCACTTTGCCTATTCCAGAGCTAAGAGTCAGGACGGCTGAGCCCCCGGACCTGGGCCAGGTAGCACTTGTGCAAAGTTGTGAAACAAAGGCGGAACAAAGAAGGCTGATAGCGCTAGTTGTGCGCCGGTAGGATGGCATGGTCTTGGAACCGCAAGCAACTAGACATGTTAGAGACTAGCCATCAAGAGCTGAGGATCGATACTCGCGATGTCTCATCCCATGCTTTTGCTAGAGGGATGTGACGAGCATTCTAAACCATGACGAAGTGATGCAATGACTGGTCGCATTATTTGCGCAGGGCTTGATGCTTGCGTCGGGAAGGTGGAAGCTTTGGCCAGGCACCCAAGAAACTTTGAGAAAAGCAACGGCGCCGCCGCTGTGCAACAGCCAACGCCGGCTCATCGCTTGTGCCTGCGAATCAAAGAATTGCGGCCATCCACCGAAAGCCCTATCTAGAGGCCGTTTGCCGTTCCCCTGAGGGGCGAATATTGCATTGAAGGACCGATACCTAGTCAGAGAGGCGTAGCGCGAGGCTACGATCCGGTTCCGCGCGATGATGGGATTCGCGGCTGGTAAAGGCGATGTCAGCGACCATAACACGGTGCCTGATGCCGTGAAATTGTGCATCGCTGATCAATTAGTCTCGGACGCGAGGGGTGCATGGGTGGAGCGCGTTTGGGCATTGACAATGACATCGCCCTCGACGCGCCCTCACGTGTTCCGTTTAAACCCGGATCTGGTCTGGCGCACAACGCTACCAGAGAACCCAACGGCTTCGCAGTTTCACCACGTCCGTAACCATCATAACCGACGGCAGCAGCACCTAGTATGCTCTGGCGCATCGGTTGTGACGTATCGAATATGCGACAAAGCTTCCCTCCTCATTATACTGCTGTCAATTGTTTCTGCCTGCATTCATCACGCTTGAGTGCGGAGAACGTGGTCCGCATGTCGCGCACTGCATCGTCAACCATCTCATCAACGCACGAAAACAGGATGTCTATTAGGTATCTTGTTTTTGTCTGTGTCCCTCTTCCAGCTCGTCTCGCTTCAGATCCATCGTATCACGTTCCGACAGCGCATACAACCACTTCTAGACGGTGTGAACTCAGCATGGGTAGGCTTCGCGTTCTGCCGTGATCCGTTCGGCTGTCAGATTACGCCCTCCATCTATTTACTCCATCGTGTTTTTCGTCTCGAGATGATCGGGTCACATCAGGGATAGTGACCCTCCAATCAACTCACTGGGACGCCAAGTATCTTCTCCAGAGGGTCCTAAAGCTTTTTCATCTACTCAAACATCACATTTCTCCACAAAGGAAAAAGAACTCACTACCGCCATTATGCACTTTCGATAAGCGCCGTGCGTCTTCATACACGCCAACACCATCGAAGAACTCGCTGTCCTGTGCATCGCTGTCCTGTGCAGCATATGAGGTTTCGCGCTTCTCGTCCTCACCGCCTGGTTGTAGAGTGTTGAAACGCAGCTGACGAATACCACCATCTCATATATACTGGATTACAATCAATGTTGATGTCCTACAGTTTCATTCAAAAGTACTCAAGCTTGGCAAATGCCGCTTGCGCCCGGCAGAATCCCGCCGACTGCCAGGGGTGCCATAGCCGGTATTACACATCCGATATTGTCCAGTAGGGGCTCTCTGGACCGCAACGGATGGACAATGACGACGATCTTCATCGTTGGCACTTGCACATGGTTGTATACTGACCGCGAGAAATAGATGCTTCGGCTTCGTCTTTCGGACCAGGTCGCAGCTTCTTGCACAATGAAATAGAAGAGACTGAGTAGTATGGCACGATCCCTCACCAAAATGTACGAGCCTGTCCTTGTAGCTAATCTTCATGGAAGCTCCGAGTTCGATGAGAATCGGAGCTGGGCTCATGCCCCCAGTTCCGCGCTGTGCATTGCATACGCAAGGATGCTGACTGCCTCCTTCTGACTGCCGCTCAACAACACCGTCAGATGCAAGTCAAGTCTTGAGACCCCCAAAGGGTTTATACCACGACCACTCAGAGCCATCACGAACAGCACGCTGCAGATCCTATAAACGGGAACGGACAGACATTGAAATCGACGGTAAAGATAGGTGAACATCCTTGCTCCAACGGCGTTCCTTCGGCACGTGTGTCGGGTGTCAAGGGTACTCGTTGCAGAAAAACTTTGTAGAAATTCGCCCAACGCCGGGCAACCATCTAATTAGATGACCTCGCAAATGCAGTAGTATGGCACAGTAACAGTCGGCCTGTATCCAAGAAAGAGGCTGGCTATGCCACTTAACATAAGAGCCCCGACATCCATACCTAGCTGAATCGTCACAGCTCGATCAATGGCTGGCACCGTGGTTGTCAAGGCCCTTGTGGCATCTTTGCTTCTATTCTCAGGTGCTTCAGCGTCTCCTTTCGCTAAAAGGCAGACCACTCTCACTCTCGACGGCATTCAGAAACAAGCCCTCGCCAACGCGTACAAGGTACTGGATGGAACACTATCGGATGGTCTGAACAGGTCTTCGATATGTAACAAGGATACTGTTGCTGTGCGCAAGGAATTGTAAATACTTCAGGAACTAGTTTGACCACAAGCTAACACATGATAGTGGTGATCTTACCAAAGAGGAGCGGAAAGCATACACCACAGCCGTCAACTGTATCCTTAAAGCTCCATCCAAGCTTCCTGCTGGACAATACCCGGGCGCGAAGTCTCGCTATGATGATTTCGTAGTCGTGCATATGAACATGACACCAACCGTTCATGCCACTGCAAACTTCATGCACTGGCATCGCTATTACATATGGGCATACGAAACAGCGCTCCGCACGGAATGCGGCTACAAAGGCTACCAGTAAGTGTCAATGTACGAGGTGTATGTGAGGCAAACACTAACCTCATATCTCCTTTTGTCACAGACCCTACTGGAATTGGGCAAAGTATAAAGACTTAGTCAACAGCCCCATATTCAATGGCGACGAATGGAGTATGGGTGGTAACGGCGATTCAATCGGCCCACATGCAGGCATGAGTCTTGGACCAGGAGCAACGCTTCCCGGCGGACCAGGCGGCGGTTGCGTATCCAAAGGTCCCTTTGCCAACTTGACAATCCATTTAGGTCCCCTCTCACCTACAATGGATCCTAAACTCAACATCAAGCCCAACCCACGCGCTGATGGCTTCGGTGATAATCCCCGCTGTCACCGTCGTGACGTGAGTAACTTCTTTACCGAGAAATACCTGCGGCCTCAGGACCTCTTATCTCACCTCACCACCAACAAAGCCATCGGTACCTTCCAAGACTCTCTCCAGTCCAGCAATACAAACATGCTTGCAGCACTACATATCGGCGGTCACTTTTCTATTTGGGGTGACCCCGGCGGTGATGTATTTGTGAGCCCCGCTGAGCCAGCCTTCTGGTTACACCATGGTCAGCTGGATAGACATTGGTGGATGTGGACCATGTACCAAGAAAAGGAAGTCAAGTCCCGGACAAGTATGTACGAAGGCGGTACCCATTGGCAGATACCCAATAGTCCTAGAGGCAAACCGACAGATGTGCAGGAACTAGACGTTGTTGCGCCGCCGGGCATGAACCACATTGCGAGCAACCAATTCTTCTCTACCACCGCAGGGCCGCTGTGTTATGTTTACGCTTAGATAGTTAGGGATATTTATGTGGCCGCTTGAGCTGTGTGCTAGTTCAGCTACAGTGTGCAGGCCAAAAGCTTTACAGGACGAACAGTTTAACCAAATATACTTGAACTTCACTTGTCGTATCTGTTTTGCTTTTTCATCGGAATCAATGTCTCGTGTTGGATGCTGCAACCTACAGATCTGCCCCCAATTCTTGTTGTCAAGTCCCGAAAGCGATGCCGGGGGAGACACGTGATAACGAGGCTATAGCGCGACGCGCTAGACATCCGGAACGAGAAGCGACCGATGACATCGTTGGTCTTGTTTCACTCACTTACCACCCCACCACATCGATAATTGTCGGTACCAGATGCGCCAACAACCAAGAAGATGGCGACTCCGCAAGCGAAGCGCCGCCGGCTGAACGAAGCCACGAAAACGCTGCAGAAGCCTTTCAAATCGCCCTTCCGGACGCCGTTGAAGCCTGGTGCAGGAGACGGCCCGCCGTCCTCAGATCTGCCTGACGTACAAACTCCTGTCCGGAAAACTTCAGGAACCAACACCAATGCTGCCAAAGATGCCACAGTTAAAAGCAATAATGTACAGCAATCGACCACTTATGGGTCTCCTACAATGCCTCCTTCGACGCTGGCAACCTCCAAGGTCAACCCGCGCCTTTCGAAACCGCTTGTCTCACGTCCGAATACATCTACATCTTCACGAGTCGCGTCGATGAAGACACCATCGAAACCCTCAGTCGCACGCGAGATCATGCAACTCCGCAATGAGATCCAGATGCTTACACAAGCTCAGACCCTCGCTACGTCTACAAAAGACGACGACTTGGTTGTGCTAGTAGATAAATGGCGCACAGCAAGTCGTGCAGCTGCTGAAGAATTGTTTGGTAGTACTCGAGACAGGGTCAACAGGATGGGCGGGGTAGGCGCGTGGAAGGAACGTGAGAAGGAATCGAAGCAGCGGCAGATGCAATGGGATAAGGAAGAGATGGAGGCAGAGCGAGAGAAGATGGAAGAGGCTAAAGAGAGCGGAAACGTTTCGGAAGAAGCGTATGATCGGTATGCCGAGTTGGATTCGGAGCGAGAGAAAGCAGAGGAGGAGAAGGAGACGTTCAAGGAAGCAGACGACGATGTGAGTGCACGAAGACATGCATGCAATTCATTAGCACTAATATTGAACCAGTCATTTACGATGGACATGATGCTCAAGACGCTCAACATTGACCTCAAGCTCATCGGTTATAACAAGGAAGCGCAAAGGTGGGATGGAAGATAGTTTCGTTGAGCAGTTATCAACACTATCCGGCATACGCTCTACTCATACCACGAGCTCTGCTAAACCGACCTTCACAACAAACCGGACTCGCGTCGTTCACGGAACAGACATAGACGTTGTAATAGCAAGGCATGATACAAACTGTATGTCAACTCCCAATTCTGTTGTTGTGCGGAATTACTTATCATGTTAGAATGATTGTTTACGGCAATACCCTTACGAGCAACGGAGTTTATCAAACACTTAATGCAGATCTCTACACATATCGATCGATGCCATCTCAGTGACGTCATATTTACTCCACAGTATCGCTACTATACTACTAGCATTACTAATGTCCACACGTGTAGTCTATCCTTCTATTACCATGTTTCTGCTCCAGACTTAATAACGCAGTTTCCAACGTTCCAACCCAAGTCAAGCTTTACTTCGGACAATTCATCCATTCCACTTTTATACTACTACCACCGACCATGTCACTCAAAGACCAAACCGTCCTCATAACAGGCGCATCAATGGGTATTGGCGCTGCCATAGCCCGCCGTCTAGCTGCCGAAAACGCAACCCTCATCCTCTTCGCACGCTCAGGCGACAAGCTCAAAGCCTTCTCCGACGAACTCAAGGCCGAACACAAAGATCTAAAGATCTTCCTATCCGTCGTCGACGTCCAAGATCACACCTCCCTCAGCACTGCCATCGCAAACATAGTCCAAAAGGTCTCGCACATTGACATCCTAATCAACAACGCTGGTCTAGCCATCGGTGCCCCATCACGCTTCCCTGATCTCGAAATCCAGGATATCATCACCATGACTAGTACGAATATCAACGGGTACATGTTTGCTGCGTATGCCGTGTTGAATGAGGGGAAGATGAAAGAGAGGGGTAAGGGCACGATTCTGAATGTTACTAGTACGACGGGATTGGAAGTACCGCCGTTCCCGGGTGAGGCTGTGTATCATGCCAGTAAGGCGTGTCAGGAGGCTTTTACTAATGTGCTGAGGACGGAGTTGGTGGGTACGGATATCAAGGTGCTGGCTTTAAGACCGGGGGTTGTGGCGACGAATTTCCATGAACAACGGTATGGCTTGGCCCGCTTTCATTCGTACATGTCTTCTCGTACATCCCACTACGCACATCACGCACATGTCGTACATTCCGCTTCTATTCTTTCCTACGTTTGATTCTACATCGGAACCTCAGGCTAATAACATATTTAGCGTTAGATATGACAAGCAAAGCTACGACACTTTCATGTCCGGCTTCGAGCCTCTTGTTGCTCCTGACGTTGCGGAGGCGGCTGCTTTTATGTTGAGTCAAAAGGATAGAGTTAGTGTGAAGGCGTTGGATGTTGTGCCCACTGCACAGAGAAGTTTACAGGTTTTCGATCGGGAATGGAATAGCAGGGACAAAACGAGGAACGAGGAAACGATGGGAAACTGAAGATGGGTCGGACTGGAGGGATGAATGGCCGAGCGGAGTCAAACCTGCTCTATCATATGTAAATGCGTCTGACGTGGCGGATCATAGCTTCGAGTTTGGTGCTTGCGTCTTTTGAACAAGTTCAAGCACGCGCTCGGCGGTTCCCCTGTGAATGGCTTTCAGTATTTCTTGCTGGGAACAGAGCGAAGGCAAGTAGACAGTAACTTACCACGAAGACTGATAGCCCGCACCAGCATGTCCATAGCAATGCACAACCGGGACCTTCCACTTTCTCATCTCCGTTTCAATCCTTGGACCGCCCTTGCGCGAAGCTACTTATCGTCAGCCCACCGTCTACTATCCACAAATCCACTGCGATACTTACGTCTCAACCCCACATTTCGTGAAATAATCTGCAGATTCTCCGGCTTCCCCAACTCAGGACACAACTCACAGCACCGCTTCATAATATCCTGACCGAGTTCCTCATCCCACTCTTCACTCCAATCGTTGTCTTGTCGACTACCACCTAGAATCACACCGCCGCCCAGCGGACGAGGAAACACATAGGTTGTCGTTGGATCGATTCGCTTGGGAGAGCGGAAATACCTATTTTTATATCGTCAGCTCAATCAGTTCTATAGAAAGTTGATGGTGGTGAGAAAAGGCAAGTAGATAGCAGTGTCGTACTTGACCCGTTCCATTTCATACATTCGGCTGATTGGGGTTTTTGGCTCGGCGACTAGGAGGGTTTGGCCGCGTGTTGGGTAGAGATTTGTATCGTTGATGTCGGAGAGTTTGAGGGAACCGATGCCGGTGCAGTTTATCAGGAGGGTGGTTGACGGGTGATCGCTTAGGACTGCTGAGAGGGAGGGGTAGTGACGACGCACGAATGCTATGCCTTTGCTCAGGGCTTGGACTTGAAGCCTACATACAATGATAAGCTTCTGGGAAGATGAGGTCGTAGCTTGACGTTCTCGTGATCCGTGGAATGTGGAGAGGCGACGTACCATTGTAGATACACCTGCGTGTTGATTCTAAACACGCTCGGGTACTCGAAACCGAACGTCGCACCTTTGGGCAACTCTCCTTGCCCCAATTTCCTCAAACCTCCAACTAGCTGATCATACCACACTTTGCCCGTCTCTTCCGTCAAAATACCCGTCTCTTCGATGGGCGCATCGAAAACACCCCACATACCCATTCTTCCCAAACCTGCCTCGTTCCCTCCTCCGTTTACACTGTCTACAAATTGCGTCTCACCAGACTTCAGCGTCTGGCAGCCAAACACTCTCTTTCCGTCGATAAGCTCGCCAAAACGGTGAAAGGTAACCTCGTCGTATTTCTCTAGAGGCCCGTTGTCGTGGGCCATGGAAGACCAGTTCGCACCAGCCCAGGGAGATGCGTACTCTATGGAGCGGTCTCCGGGGAAGTGCTTTGCTACCACGGTTATCTTGGCGGAGGGGTATGCGTGGGATAGGACGAGGGAGGTGGCTAGGCCGATTACGCCTGCGCCGAGAACGAGGAAGTGTTGTTGATCTTTTTGAGATGCCATGATGGATTGGTAGGAACTATTGAATAGGCTCCAACTTTGATGAAGAGAATTTGAGGAAGTTGGTAATATGAGGGTTTGCCAACGCTGGCTGCTGAACCTTAAGTTCGCGGTAAGATCTTAGTCAAAGGTCGAGGCAGAATGAACTACGGATCGTAAAGTCGAATGCTCAAGCGTGATACCAAAACTAGTTCAGCTTCAGTAACTCGTCTCACTTATACATTGGAAGCATCGGAGTAAGGTTCACACATACCTGGCTGCACTATCCCGAGGCACACCAGCCTATTCCGACGGCAAATGCTCACTAGTTTCTCCACCGAATTGTCCACAACCAGTCGGACCTATAGCCAAATATGTTCGAACACCGCTAGGGAGATTGCGACCTACAATGTATGTATACTGCTCTACATTGGTAAGAAGTCATGCGAAGTGCTGTTCATAGACATGGGTTGAAGGTGCAGATGACACACCGATAAGATCAGTTCCGAGATCGGGATGAGCGGTTCCGCGCAGGAAACACTCCATGTAAACATGCGCAAGATGCCAAGCAGCTCGTAAGTAAAATTTATCAGTACAAGTGAGAATGTGTTGGTCCGTTAGAGAAAAACTGGGTATCATTTGAAATAATCAGGGTTATATAAACAACAATATGAACATCATCCCGAACGCAATATTATGTACTGACATGTCAACCAACTTTTACCATACTAGATCCATTCCTTAAGCGCCCAACGGCCCAGAAGCAAACACTAGGCTGACTGTTTCATAAACCAATCCGAGCTCGCATCGACCATGTAGTTCGTAATGTTCGACTCGTTCCCAAACCCGCCATCAGGCAATTGCATATTGCCGTCGGGCGCAGGATAGGTCATAGAGCCATCCATCGACACCGGGAGTCGGGGCAGGTTGAAAAAGTCGAACACATCGAGATACTCCAGCTCGTTTGGCGCAGGTGTTCGAGCCGGAGTAACGGAATTTACCTTCAAATTCTGGTTGCTACTGAGCTTGGGCTGTCGAGAGATGAGAAAATCGAGATCAAATGCACATCGTCGCATGTCGGCCAGAATCTTGACAGTTGAAGGTGTCACACGTTCACCATTCGCGCCTGTAGGGGTCTGCTGGCTTTCTTGATATTCGGAAAGTACGCGTGCAAGAAGACTGGCGTAACGCGTACCAACTTCCCAGTACTGACCCATATCCTGGAGAGTACTGACTAGGAGATTGATCGATTGGTCAACACGATGATCGATTGTGGATCCATGGACTAAGAGAACGCGTGCAGCCACCCAGAGCGAAAATGCGAAGGGCGGACCGAGTTTGCTCAGCAAACCGTTGTCGCGCACGGTAGCGCATAGGGCTGTGATGTTCTCGACAGCACTGAGACATCGCTGGCTAGCGCTGAAGGATGGTGTAAAGATGGGCGATCGATGGGTCGGATACGCGGCGGATGAGTGAAGACGTATGACAGTGCTATTGAAGTCAGTGCATTCCTTGAGACGTGGGCAAAGACAACTTACGTGTGAAAAGCTGCATGAAGCATGACCAAACCACTGTCAAGGTTCTGTCCCATTCCCGGCTTTGCGAACAATCTCGCCGAGTTGCCAAACTCCGCCGGAAGGTTGTATTTCCATTGTTCGATGGCATTATCGAGCTCCCGATACTCACTTTGCCAAGATTCGACATCAGATAAAGACGTGATGTCTACGGGCTTCTTGAGGAACTTGTGGATGCGCGTGAGAATTCCTAAGATCTCGACGTAGTAGGAAAATGTCCCCAAGTTTTCTGGTCTGTTCATGCTATAATCGGATCTTGTCGAGGTGTGGAACCACCGCGTCTCAACAGGAACGTTTCGCGCATACATGTCGTCTCGACAGGGCAACCGACGGTCGATCTCTTTCTCGTCCAGAGCGAACTCGAAAGCTGTTGCAACGGTCGCGTATCGGTCCAGGACGTAGATCATCCAGAAAAGCCTGCGTCGACTTTCTTCCTCAATCCAGTCTTTTGGCTCAGGAAGCGTCATGGCACGCAAAGTGTATATTGACGCAAACTGCGGTGCAACGCTTGGTGAGTAGCTTTCGACCGACAGTCCCAACTGGACTACGGAGCGCGTAATGAGAGCAAGCAGGTTCCACCCCGGGGGTCCATTGGAGCAACCAACGACGTCTAGCGCAAGGATCACGAGGGCTTGCAGTGACTTGACGGAGCTATTCTCGATGCCGTACAGCAAAACCTTCTCCTTGGAGCTCTTATGGTAGCGTGTGCGCTTCTCTGCTGTCAGGCGCTGGTCGGTAGAGAACTTGACAGTCGTTGCGACAACGGCGTGTAATATGATTCGATCCGCTTCGTCTAGGGTCGCGTCTCCAAACAGCGAATTCAATGTGCTTTGGCGGTGGAGGATGGGGCACCAGGTATTGATGTGCTTGAAGAAGAGGTCGACGAGACCGTACAGGAGGTCGTACGGGGGAAAGTCAGCATCTGCATGGCCGAGGTTCCTCGACATGGCGGGCTGATACTGCTCGTTGTAGGGTGTATAGACATCTCTCGACATGCCGCCGCTCATGCTGTTCATGTCTTCGGACTGGTAGCCATTCCCTGTGACAGAGGGCGTAGGCCTGTGATCCGTGACTCCGTTGCCATACTGGTTCTGTATTGCGTTCTGCGAAGGGAACGTGGGCTTCTGGATGAACAGGGCCGTTTCGGGACGCGGTATGTGAGGTGTTTGTATAACCGGCGGGCTCCGGAATGCGGCCACCTCTTGTGGTGAAGGACCGGAAGTGGCAACCTGGGTGCTGGAGAGATGGTTGATTTGCGACTGCTGCTGGACGAGGAGCGCTTCGAGCTTGTCTGGAAGGAACGAAACTGTTAGCTGTGGTCGCGATTGCGAAGTGGAGCTCCTGGCTCTCGGACAGAAGGAGCAGCCCACTCAGCCACGTTGCGCGACAGTTGAGACGCGCGTGGAAGCCTCGTGGTCATAGTAGTAGATGTGCGAAGTTTGACAGCAGTAACAGTAAGCTTCAGCCTACTTGATCCCGACCTCGGCTACTCCAGAACAGGGTGGTGAGGACACGCGACTTACCAAGTCTTGACTCCAACTCTCGTCCATAACCAGCGCGGAGGCCTGGCTTCTTGCGCGGGAGGTACACCTGGATGCGGTTGAGTATTGGGCTGATATCAGTGGACGGCGCAACTGACGCATGCTGAGTGATTTTTCAAGCACCAGGAACAAGCTGGCGCGCCTCTGTCGCATTTGACTTTTCGCTGCTCTACATATGGTAAGAACTCGATGCCTCTCATACTGCTGTGTTACACTTACTACACGTCTCACAACTCACGGATAGCGGCCGCTTCCGCTTGTTCGATGTGCCGCTCTGGCTTCTGTCGTTGGCCTCGTCGTCGCTGGAGCGTTCATCACCACTCCAGTCCTGCGCATCACCAGGCGAATGATTAGAAAGCTTCGCAGTGCCGTTTGGACTCGCCGTCTGCTGGTGGGCTGCACTGGTATCCATGGTGGAAGATGCGATTGGGGGCGTGCAGCTGTGCGCGAACGTCGGTGCAGCTGAGTCCGAGGTGTCCTCTCTTCTCAGCCCCGCCTACTTGCTTTAGACCCTTACCCCAGATATTGTATTTACCGGCCTACACTCCCTCCGCATGTCTCAATTGGTGGCATCGGGTGGGCCGCTGGCATTTCGGTACAATACGGATCTGCAAAAACACATGTTTCGGTCTTGTCCACATTCCGGCCATGCTGCCGAACGCCTAACAGCGACGCCTTCTCACGCGCGTGCGCTCCACTTCTTGGCCCAAGTATCAACGGACTCTTCCCCAGTCGTTGCAAATCGCAGCGAGATGGACCGAGGGACCCTCTTCAATGAGACGCAAAACCTGGCTTGTAGTTATGCCGCCGTTTAAATAACATTTCTGACCTGCTACCGTGCACTTATCTACCCCTCCTTCACTCTCCGTGGTTCTGTACTGTCCTCGTGTCACCTCTTCCTGATATCACAATGCCCTCAACCACAGAATCTGGCGCTGCGCGCTCGTTCCCCACCATCAAGCATGTGCGAACTTTCGTTACACAAGGCCCCGGCAGCGGCGGAGACTATCACAATGTTGCTGGTGGACATTGGCTCATTGACAGCAAGATTTCCACCCCCATGAGCCAGTATGAAGATTACCGCAAGTCAAGAACCAGCTGGGGTATTAATGTCTTGGGGTCCTTCTGTGTCGAGCTCGAGGCCACTGATGGCACCAAGGGCTTTGCTACTGGTTTCGGAGGACCGCCAGCGTGCTGGCTGGTGGCTGAGCACTTCGAGCGCTTCCTGATTGGTCAAGGTACGCACTCAGTTGAGTAATGCGCTGAGTAACAGTGCTAATTATTTCCAGATCCCAGAGATACCAATCACATGTTCGAGCAGATGTACCGCGCGTCCATGTTCTATGGTCGCAAAGGTCTCCCAGTCGCCGTCATTTCAGTTATCGATCTCGCTATCTGGGATCTGCTCGGCCACATTCGCAATGAGCCAGTATACAAGATGCTCGGCGGAGCAACAAGGGAGAGGCTCAACTTTTACTGCACCGGCCCCGAGCCAGCAGCAGCGAAGGAGATGGGCTTCTTCGGCGCCAAGGTACCACTGCCTTACGGCCCTGGTGAGGGTGTTGAAGGTCTTAAGAAGAACGTCGAATTCCTCACCAAGCACCGTGAGAGTGTCGGACCAGACTTCCCTCTCATGGTGGACTGCTACATGAGCTTGAACGTACCATACACAATTGAGGTCGTAAAGGCTACCGAGCACCTTAACCTGAACTGGTGGGAGGAGTGCTTGTCGCCTGATGATTCAGATGGCTTTGAGCAGATCAAGCGCGCTCACCCTCGCATGAAATTCACCACAGGCGAGCACGAGTACTCACGATATGGTTTCAGGAAGCTCATCGAGGGTCGCAACCTCGACATCCTCCAGCCCGATGTCATGTGGGTTGGTGGTATGACTGAACTCATCAAGATTTCGGCCATGGCCGCCGCCTACGACATTCCTGTTGTGCCCCACGCTAGTGGACCATACTCGTACCATTTCGTCGTTTCTCAGGCCAACTCGCCATTCCAAGAGTACCTCGCAAACTCACCGGACGGCAAGTCTGTCTTGCCTGTGTTTGGCAATCTGTAAGTTTCCGTCGAATTTTGTATCGAGTGTCATGCTGACAAAGTGCAGATTCACCAACGAGCCTATTCCCACCAAGGGTTACCTCGACGTCAAGACACTTGACCTCCCCGGCTTTGGTCTCAAGCTGAACCCCAACGCTGGCTTGATCGATGCCACTCGCATACTGAACCCAGCGCCCCAGAAAGCGCTTAAGCCTGCTGAGCCCGAGAAGGCGGAAGTCAACGGACATGCGTAATGTGGTTACGCGACATGATGGCGTTGCGGAGTTGCATATGGCTTGCTTTTTGAATAGCCTGGTGTTCATGCATTGCGCCGGAGCGGCAACTTTGTTCTTGGTCGTTTGTCGGCAACCAGAAGCATCTGGATGGGATTTTGAATTTGCGCTTGGTGGTGTAAGCGATGACTAACTGTAGTGGAAGCTTTATGATATAACTGTAGCTCATGAAAAAAGAAGTATAACGTGGTTCACCATCGAGCGCCCCACCCCATCGAGCGCCCCAGTTTCCCCACCAAAACGCCAGCGCAGCAACAACGCGTAATGTCTCAACACTACAAAGCCTCTAGACTCTACAATGAAGCTGATGTACAGCTTGCTATCTCTGATATCCAATGTAACCAACTAAAAAGTCTGCGACACGCTGAGGCAATTTACAACGTTCCCCGAAGGACAATACAGCGGCGACGCAACGCAACACACTCTCGACGCGAGTGTGAGCCGAATCGGAAGAGCCTTACAAAACTAGAAGAGGAGGCGATTGTACAGCGTGTACTCGACGAGTCTTTACGTGGCATACCGCCCTCGAAGGCACACGTACGAGATATGGCTGACAGACTGCTGCGAGAGCGTGGCGGGAAGCCTACAGGCAAGAACTGGGTGGACAGGTTTATCGCGCGTACACCTGAGCTGCGCACGCGGTGGAGCCGTCCGTACGATCGCCAGCGAGCTGTCTGCGAGGATCCAGCGGTTATCAGGCCCTGGTTCACGCTCGTTCAATTGATGAAGGCGAAGTATGGTATTGTAGATGAGGATACCTAGAACTTTGATAAGTCTAGCTTCATAATGGGCAAGATATCCTCTCAGCTTGTTGTCACAGGCTCAGAGAAACCTGGGAAACAGAAGAAACTACAGCCTGGCGATCGCGAGTGGGTTACTCTAGTACAAGGCGTCGCCGCAACAGGACGCGTTATCCCACCCTTCCTCATCTTTGCAGGCAAGGTCCTTATTACCTCCTGGTTCGCAGATCTACCTCGCAATTGGATTATCACTGTCTCTCCTACTGGCTGGATCAACAACGACCTCGCGCTAGCCTGGCTTAAGCACTTCGACGCCTATACAAAGGTGTCCTCCGCTGGGGCATATAGGCTGCTTATTATCGACGGCCATGATAGCCACTGCTCGATAGAATTTCAGGACTACTGCAAGGAGAACAAGATCATCGCTCTCTGCATGCCATCTCACTCATCGCACCTTCTGCAGCCTCTGGACGTCGTCCCCCACTCGCTGTTGAAGCGCCACTATGGCGATAGGATCTCGCTCTTGGCACGCAGCCGCGTCCACCATATTAACAAGGAAACCTTCCTACCAGCCTTTAAAGCAGCTTATAAGAAGACGTTTACACTAGAGAACGTTCGCGCAGGGTTTCGAGGTGCTAGGCTAGTCCCATACGACCCAGAGGTTGTGTTATCAAAGCTAGATGTGCAGCTGCGTACGCCGACGCCACCTGCACCAGGCACTGTCGCCTGGGAGGCGCAAACACCGCGCAACGCCCGCGAGATAGAGGCGCAATCTACGCTGATTCGAAATCGCATGCAAAAATACCAAGGGTCACCAGTAAGCTTATTAGATGAGCAGGTTAAGCAGCTAAGTAAAGGCGCTCAGCAGATAGCTCATAATATAGTGTTAATGCGAGAGGACGTAAGCCGCCTTCGAGACGCTGTTGACACGCTTACAAAGCGCAAGACTCGCAAAAGGCGGTACGTACGCGCAGAGGAGACTCTAACAGTTGGTGAGGTATCTGACTTAATTGCTAAAATGGACGGTAGTGGGCGTGAGGACAGCGAGACGCCTGCGAAGAGGGTGCGCGCAGAGAGGCGCTGCGGCCGTTGCAGCGAGGTTGGGCACAACTCCCGCACCTGTAGGGTAGAAATAGAGGATGTAGACAATAGCGATGCCTCTAATTAATATAATCCTGTTACATATAGTATAATAATCTGTTGTAGTGTTATACTGCGTTCCTGTATAGGCACTGCGCTGGTGCTTAGTGGGGCGCTCGATGGGGTGGGGCGCTCGATGGTGAACCACGTTATACAAAAAAAAAAGATCTATTATTAGTGACGATTTGCGGGCGCCGACGATCTCGGGAGGCTCTGGGCTCGTTCCTACCCATGTGCAGTAGGGACACACGCCGAGTGGGGCAACACGAGCGTCAGAGCTATGCTGTAGTGGATTCTTCATAAAGGCGCGGTGAGCCAGCAGAACAGTACCTTTCCCCAAACTCAGTGTATATCTCAGGCATACACTTTGAAATCAATCGCAGCATCTCTCTACATTACACAAATTACCCCACCAATACCCCACATCACCATGGACGCTATTAAGGATACCGTCAACAGCGCGCTCGAGAAGCTCAACATCACAGGGGGCGCATCTCAGGGCACACCGGCAAAGGAGCCATCAGAGGAGCAGTTGAACGAGCTCAAGTCCAAGTACCAAAAGGCTGGCCAAGAGCAAGTTTTCGTACGTGCAGCCCTGACGTTGTTGTAGACGAGTCTTGGAGCACCTCGCTGGCCATTGTGAGCACCAAATGGCTTGCTAAACTCCGTGACGAATTCTGAGACACTCCCTCACCTTGCAACTATTTGTTAACAGAAAGATTAGGCTTTCTACGACAAGCTCTCCGCTGCTGAGAAGGCTACCCTTTACGAGCAATTGAGCAACTTCAACCCCGACTACATCAACGAAATCACCGAGCGAGCCCTCCACCCCGCCGAGACCGAAGCCTCCGAGAACAAGCTCGAGCCCCTCCCCGAGAATGCCACATCCTCTGTCCTCTCCTCCCAGCAGGAAGATCTCGACAAATGGTACAGCAGCGGATTGGACCTGATCGCTAAGAACCAGGTCGCGGTCGTGCTGATGGCTGGTGGCCAGGGCACCCGTCTGGGCAGCTCAGCGCCAAAGGGATGTTTCGATATCGGACTTCCCAGCCAGAAGAGCCTGTTCCAACTGCAAGGTGAGAGGATCAGGAAGGCTGAGATGTTGGCCGCCAAGAAGCACAGCAAAGAGAGCGTAACCATCCCATGGTACGTAATGACCAGCGGACCTACTCGGGGCCCTACCGCCGACTTCTTCGAGAAGCACAACTACTTTGGTTTGAAGAAGGAGAACGTCGTCATCTTCGAGCAGGGTGTCTTGCCATGCATTTCCAATGAGGGCAAGATCCTGTTGGAGAGCAAGTCAAAGGTCGCTGTCGCTCCCGATGGCAACGGTGGCCTCTACCAAGCCCTTATCCAGTCCGGCGTCGTAGCAGACATGGGCAAGCGTGGCATTCAGCACATCCACGCATACTGTGTCGACAACTGCCTCGTCAAGGTCGCCGACCCCGCCTTCATCGGTTTCTCTGCGTCGAAGAACGTTGACATCGCGACCAAGGTCGTTCGCAAGCGCAATGCCAAAGAGTCTGTCGGTCTCATCCTGCAAAAGAACGGCAAACCAGATGTCGTCGAATACTCAGAAATCTCAAGCGAAGACGCAGAGGCCAAGGACTCCAAGGACTCCAGCCTACTCAAGTTCCGCGCTGCCAACATTGTTAACCACTACTACTCATACAAGTTCCTCGAGAGCATCCCAGAGTGGGCAAAGAAGCTTCCCCACCACGTTGCCCGCAAGAAGATTCCTTACGTAAACACCGAGACTGGTGAGACAGTCAAGCCAGAGAAGCCAAACGGTATCAAGCTGGAGCAGTTCGTCTTTGACTGCTTCCCCTTCCTGACTTTGGAGAAGTTCGCTTGTATGGAAGTAAAGCGCGAGGACGAATTCTCGCCCCTGAAGAACGCCAGGGGAACTGGTGAGGACGACCCCGACACCAGCAAGCAGGACATCATGACCCAGGGCAAGAAGTGGGTGCAAGCCGCCGGCGCCACTGTTGTCAGCGAGGAGGCAGAGGCTGGCATCGAAGTCTCACCATTGATCTCCTACGTAAGTCTTCAGAGCTACCTCCTGATCTGTGAGATTGAATGCTAATTGTAATGCAGGGTGGCGAAGGCCTTGATTTCCTCAAGACCAAGACGATCAAGGCTCCGGCCGTCATTGAGTCTGAAGACTAGAAGACCTACAAAGCTCGATACAATGTCCTGCAGCCCTGGGACCTTCTCTTCGGTACGATACAGGGTAGCAAGTAGACCACCAATCACTACTACAAAAATTGTCACTATCGTTGGCATTGAATAATAGATAGACACGAATGAATATGAATATCTCGGCCAACCACCTCTTCGACTCTGTCATTCCCCGGACTTCCCAAAGGGCGTTGAACTGCTAATGTTGAGAGAAGCTGACTTGGCCTCTTAGCTACAGGTATGCATGCGACTGCAACAATAGTGTCATGGTGGGGGGGGCGGAGGAAGCAGCTCTCAACCTGGCGGCACCAGCGGAGGGGCAAAAAGAAGCCAGGGCCCCACGGCATGGTGAAAGCGCCTTTGATGCACGACGATAGGAGGCGGAACTTTTCTAGAGTGAACACGGCATGGTCGCGCTCCATGAAACGGCGCATGATGCAATTTGGAGCCGTTTACGGTTCAGTTCGACCTCGGGAAGAACCAGATTGCGCATTTCGCTAGCGCAACCGAAGCAGGGACCACGGCTATGAGAGATGCATTTTGCCCGTTGCCCGAACATTCCACGATCTCCAAATTCTCTCACCACAATCACCATTGGCAGGAGGTTGAAGAAGTGTTGCAGTGGGAAGGTTAGGAAAGTTGAAAGTAGGTTGCGCCCGCCGAGAATCTGTCCTCTACAATGCGCGCCAGGTTCCGCCCTGGCGCGTGCTTCGTCCGCGTTCCTTTACCCCTCGACGACGACCCCTCGAAAAATCTGCGACTGACTGGCAAACGCAGGCGAAGGAAATTGAAGAAGTAAACGAAGCAGGTACCTGCGCCCTATCCGTTCTACTAGTCTCGCGCGCATTCCCTCAAACAAACAAGGAGCAGAGCAGACGTCGCAGCAAACACACCACCCAAAACCACCCCTCATCCGCGATCCACTCCCTTCGCAGTTCACGCAACCACCGACTACATACTCACACGTTACTTAGATATACACGGAGAAACAACAACATGTCTTCTCTATCTCGTCGTGCGTGCTTCAAGTGCGGAAACGTCGGTCACTACGCCGGTAAGCCATACTCGCGCATCGACTTGTGGCGCATGCTGCAGTTGCATTGTCAGAGGACAAATTGCAGATGGTCTTTCTGACTGGAGGATCTGTGTCGCGCAGCCATGAGCAGTGTGGCAGCATTCATGAGAGAACATGCGACTGACGGAGATATGCAGAGGTTTGCTCCTCGTCTGAGAGGCTGTGCTACAACTGTAAGACCACCCTCAAAACTCCTTACGACCATGAACTAACCTAGCTCCAGGCAAGCAGCCAGGCCACGAGTCCAACGGATGCCCGCATCCCCGCACTACCGAGAGTATGTCACTCCAGTCCACACTGCCCTCTCCCATATCGAGGACTTGCTCCAGCAATGGCCCTTGCGCACTTTCGAGAACACAGAAAGCGATACGATGAAGGGATAGAGAGCTGACAAAGGAACAGCCAAGCAGTGCTACCACTGCCAGGGTCTTGGACACGTCCAGGCTGACTGCCCAACTCTGCGCCTGAGCGGAGCTGGCACAAGCGGACGCTGCTACAGCTGCGGTATCGCTGGCCACCTTGCCCGCAACTGCCCCAACCCTGGAATGGGTCGTGGAGCTGGCGGTCCTCCCCGTGGTGGTTACGGAGGAGGTTTCCGTGGCGGTTTCGCTGGCGGCGCTCGCCCGGCCACCTGCTACAAGTGCGGTGGACCCAACCACTTTGCTCGTGATTGCCAGGCCCAAGCAATGAAGTGCTACGCCTGCGGCAAACTGGGTGAGTGGATTGGACGCGTTTCAGCATACAACTTCTGACCTAGACTAGGCCACATCTCCCGCGACTGCACCGCTCCCAACGGCGGACCTTTGAACACTGCCGGCAAGACTTGCTACCGTTGCGGCGAGACCGGCCACATCTCTCGGGACTGCACGCAGGCTGAGGTCAACGGTGATGCCGCCGCCTCTGCCGCCGCTGCCCCTACCCCTGCTGCTCCCGTCCCGGCTGCAGCACCCACCACTGCCGTCGCTTAGGCGACATCGAGCTTCGCCGGAATCTCGCCATGAGTAGTATCGTGGCGAGTACTGGCTCACATGACATGCATTTACATGTCTTGCATTTACTTGCCATCTCATCACGATCATTTTCCTAGTCACTCTCAGCATCATTTCGGCATATCTTACGCATTCACGAGCCATCAACGGATATGAGAAAAGTTCTTCACGATTCTTATACTGATACCCCACGAACGTTATATCCCTTACTTCAACCATTCTACCATTATTTCGACAGACGACGGCTTGGCGATTTGGATGGCGGCCTGTCTATGTACAAGTGATTTGGATCGGCTGCACCTTCGGCAGAAGCGTTGCTGATGCGGATCTGCTTGGACAGACCAGGCTCGCCTATGGAGCTGGAAGGCGGCTGTGGTGGTTTGGTGCGAAAGCTTATTCTCAGGGGATGGAAGTGGTATGGACGAGGAATAGTGAAGGAGACGTGTGTGTGTATGTCGGAGCTGAGTCGGTGCATCTGTCTGTGCTATTATTATGTTTACACGGTACTGTGCTTGCATACGATGGATTTAGATTGCATGATCTATTTCGAATATATGCAGTCACATAAACATTCAGTTTCCAAATTTCGGTTTCGTCTTTGCTGACTCTAGGGTAATATTTACGAGCAACCACGCTATGAAGCTCCAAGAGCTGTCACGATGTACACAGGTGCAAGTGTTAGATAAGATGACTCCAGTGTGTTTGACCGCCCAGGTGAACACAAAACCGGCCCCCATGGTGGGTTTCCCAACAATGGATATGGCCTCGCCCAGCCACTGTGTATCTAGGCTCTCAACGTGGGCAAATTCCTCCGTTGATGTCGTCGAACTCGGCTTATTCTTTCCACGATACGCATGTGTTCTTTTCTCCTTATTACGAGGTTGTCACGTTGATGGTGGTGGTTGTGCCTTCCCTCCCTCTCAGTTTCTCACACGTGGAACAGAGTTCAGTGCTCCTTCCCGTGGTGCCTTCCGTCGCCGCCTCACCTTTGCAGACTTTTCTCTTTCTTCTTCTTGCATCCTCCAAATTCTCATTTTTCCATCTGTCGCACCCACACGCAGCATTCATACTTTCACTCGTATCGTTCTCTTTCATCTTATATCGCGTCAGCAGCTACTATGGGTGCTTCTTCAGTTGCCAGTGACGACTCGAACAACGACGTGAGTGACTGCCTCTTACTGCACAGGGATGAATGTTGGCTGATCACACACAGGACGGTTTCATTGTCGATATTGATGCCATCCAGGCTCATGGTATCGGTGCTGTCGATATCTCGAAGCTGAAGTCAAATGGTTACTACACGATCGCATCGGTACATTCGGCTACTCGTCGCAATCTATTGAAGATCAAAGGTTTCAGTGAGATTAAGGTCGACAAGGTCAAGGATGCCATCGCCAAATGCCAGGTACATCACTACACCCGTTCAAAACTTGAGGGTGAATCACTGACATGCAGCACAGCCTTCCGGAGGAGGCTTCCAGACTGCTCATGAGCTTGGACATCTACGTAAGCGTGTCATCAAGATCTCCACTGGCAGCAAGGCGCTCGATACTGTTCTCGGAGGGTAAGTACCCGTTCCAGTTCGCATTCTGAGCATCGACACCAACAATTCACAGTGGTTTCCAAACGATGAGCATCAGCGAGGTCTTCGGAGAGTTCCGCTGCGGAAAGACTCAGCTGTCACATACCATGTCTGTTATCGCACAGCTGCCGAAGGATATGGGCGGTGCAGAAGGCAAGGTGGCATACATCGGTAGGTTGAATGCCGCTGCCTTCGAACTCTTCTCACAGCAATGTAGATACCGAAGGAACCTTCCGACCCGAGAGAATAGCCCAGATCGCAGAGCGGTTCGGAGTCGACCCTGAGACTGGTACGTAGCCTCATAATCCCGCCAGTATTTTCACTGACAGTCTATAGCCCAAGACAACATAACCTATGCTCGCGCAGTGAACTCGGAGCATCAGATGGAACTTCTCAACAAAGTCGCCGAGTTCTTTGTCAGCAATAAGTATCGGCTGCTCATCATCGACAGTATCATGGCTCTCTTTCGTGTCGACTACACGGGCCGCGGTGAACTCAATGAGCGGCAGCAGAAGCTGAACCAATTCCTCTCGAAGTTGACGCATGTCGCTGAAGGTACGCCAAAGATCCCTGGATTACTTCGATGTCGTCTGACGATACATAGAGTTCAACGTGGCTGTGCTCTTGACAAACCAAGTCCAGAGTGATCCTGGAGCAAGCGCTCTCTTCGCTGGTGCAGATGGCCGCAAGCCAATTGGTGGTCACATCCTCGCCCACGCTTCCGCTACGAGGATTCTTCTTCGCAAAGGTCGGGGTGAAGAGCGAGTTGCCAAGATTCAAGACTCTCCTGGTATGTCATGATCCATTAGTAACCATTACACACACTGATACACTATTGCAGACATGCCGGAGAAGGAGGCAACTTATATCATCACGAACGGCGGCATCAATGATCCAGAGAAGGTGTGACAGATATGCAGCGATCTCGCTTTCGTACGTTTATGATGGGCGATCTTCAAACAGGTGGTGCTATGTGAGGCGAAGTAATATACATTCCCATTGTTCAGTTACAAGAAGCTATTGTGTGAGTCAGTCCAACTTAGGACGATTGCAACTCTTTCGTGTTTCGGTAAATATGTAGCATATTAAAGTAAACCCTGGCAGTCTGCAAACATGTGTACCGCCCAAGTTATGAGTGATTGTCAATGCTATTGTATTACACTGGTATACAGACAACAAGCCTATAGCTTTATGGTAAGGTTGTACATATCAAGGCCCACTGCAACCGCAGTCACAGTAGCAATGTACGCGACCAGTATCCCCATGGACTGGAACACACTCATGTGCAGGGTCGGGAATGTCATGTTGACAAGGCCCGTGAGTAGATTCGCCACAAGGAAGACTGCGAGACCATTGCGGTTGTAAGCATAGAGTACAGTGCTGGTAGCGTCCCTACTCCTCCGAGATTCCTCTTCTTTGGTTGTCGCTTTGTACAAGTTTGGAAAGAGAAAACTCTCAATGGCGTAGCAGATGGTGATTTGGTAGCTGTTGAACGAGGACACCCAGAGGAAGTAGGGGAGGTTTGCTAGACGTCGCGATACGGGGAGTCGCAGGCCATAGTAGCTAGTTGAGAAGTAGAACAGAACCGTCCAAAACACGGAGGTCATGATCAGCTTTCCGAAAGTAGACTGCTGAAGCTTGGTCTGGATCGATGCGTTCTTTGCGATGGGCTGTTGTCTTGGTAGTGCGGACGCACCCAAAGACTGTCCTGCAAGGAAAATGGCGAGATAGCCGAAGAATGAGAATATGCCTTCTCGGTTCTGAGAAAACAGGTTGGTCCGTGGGGCGACTAGTATAAAGGACCCGAGCGAGGTCCAGTCTAATGCAATCTCATATACAGCAGCCAGGACAAAAGAGAGAACGGCATAGGACGGCACCAAGTCAAAGGCTGATTGGAAGAGAGCGGTAAATGGGGGCAAGAAGCCTAGGGTGAAGAAGAAGTTCCAATGTACACCATACTCGGTGACATGTTCAGCATAGTCCAGTCCTTTTACAGAGATGAGCCGTATTGTACCTAGGGCAAGAAGGGGGATAGCATGTCTGAACGACGCTGTGAGGCGCTTCCATAGCGGCTGACGGCTAGCCCCTTCTTTGAGAGACGCCCGGACAGACACTACTCCAGCCGTGAAGACGAAGGATCCCACACCCATATCCATGAGCGAAGTACCCCAGTTCTCCACTTTTGCAAAGCGCCGAGGAAAGACGCGGAAGTCGACTGCCAGGATGGCAACACATGTAATGACCATCATCGCACCACGGTAATTCGTAATGAACGGCTTGACGGGGAGTGCGTCGAGCTTCGTGTCCTTTTCAGTCTTGTTGATCTTCGGTGGTCGCGGAGTATCTTTCGCTGGAGCCGGCTTCTCGAATACGTAAAGGGTGATTGCCGGTAGCAGTAGAAGTAGGTTCAGAATCCATGGCGAAGAGGAGTATATGGTAGTCGCGAACAACGTGGCTCCACAGTTGAGCAGGAAGTCAACGAAGAAGGCAGGTGGTGTGTAAGGTGTGAAAAGGCGCATGCGCGACTGTATGACCGACCAAAGTAGAATGCTCAGCTATGCATGCAGTCAGTAAAGGTTCGTTGCTTGAGTAGCGGGTGTGTGTACGGTACAGGCATTGCGAGCGAGACGCTATTAACGTCTGCCACGGAGCTCCCGGTGTGTCCAGACACCCAGGCCTCCTTCATTTGCTTATATGTCTTCGCCATGATACCAAAATGAGTGTTAAACGAGTTGGTCGTCTATCATGCAATACAATGGTTGGTGCATCCGACGCGTCGCGCTGGCCTCTTTGCAAACGGAACGTGGCCCAAGCTTTGATGACCTCACACATCGCGACTTCCACACCTCCTCTTCTGTCGAACATCAACACTACACTATCATGTAATATGGCCAAAATACTAGGGATAGAAGCTAATATGTCCAACTTCATTATGAAATGTCGAGTAATCTCTACCCGGGATGCCAGAAAGGGTAGGATTGCACTGCACGTGCCTGGACTTCCTCTTTCACCATCACTGCTTGTCTACGAGAAGACGCGCCCGTGCACAGAGATTAGAATTTGGCAATTACAATAAAACTTCCAGGCGCTTTCCCACTTCACCGTCGAACACCCCGCATACCGACACGTGCCGAAACCTCTGCCTGTGACCTCTTGACAGTTTCAAGAAGCTGTCAACATATGCAAACATGACCACTACTAACAAATCAAAGATACCTAGTATTCGGCCGGCCTCGGTGGGGGCGAGGGGGGCATTGCCTGAAAAGGTGATGTCGCCTACAGCTCGCACAACAACGACGCCTACGGGCAATTCGCGACTCCCTCGTCGCCCTCAAAGCGACAAACCGTTGCCTAGTCCGCCTGTCGCTCAGGTGATAGATCCCAACTCGCCTCCAAAGGCTTCGCGAACCTTGGTGGACGCTTTTACCCCAAGCCCGACGCTGAAGGAGTGGCCGGTCATGCGCCCAGAGAACATCCCTCCTCGCCTGAGCTCGAAGAGGAGCTCGCTCCCTACGCGGAGCCCAATCAATTCTCGTTCTCAAACCACCCTCAATGGATATGAGAGCACCCGGGTGAAACGACTCTCCTGGCACTCATCGGGTTCAGGCTCAAGCTCAGGAACCGGTCCCATTCTTACGATCTCTGGCGATGCCGATGCAGTGATTCTCGGCCAGCGCGACTACATCCCAGCAGTACCTGCCATCCCTACGATGCTACTAGAACGTACTACTCAGACGCGTTCTTTCAGCGCTCTCACTAGCCGCATCTCCAAAACGACGACTTCCCGAGCGGAGTTGAGGATCACGACAGCGTCACCGGTATCAAGTACGAAAGAGCTAACGGTAAATGAAAGTCCCGTTGTTAAAATCAGCCCCATTCGATCGATGCAGCCACCGAGGCAGCCCAGTCTAGATGCCAATTCTCCCAGATCGCCCTCGTCAGTGTATTCGACTATCCCAGACATCACAACTATCAGCAGGACATCAGTGGTGCTTTCGACTGCTGAACGAAGTGTCTCGCCGATTTCAGACAGGCCTGCAACGCCTACGCCAGAGCCCAAACCACCTGCTCCGCCGCTTCGAGACGCACCCGAGCCGCCAACTAGTTCTGTAGAAGTACATAAGGTATGCAATCTCTATCTTTTGACATGACGATATTGACAGCTAATCTAGGAACTGTCTGAGGAAACATCCGAGCCTACCATTGTACCCGGACCCGATGACTTCCTCAGCGTGAGCAAGTCCAGAAAGACAACATCAGCTCTGGAGAATGCCAGTCCTTCGCTGAGTTCAATCAACTATCCAAGCAACGACAACTCAACCCCAAACATCAGCACCGCTGAATTGAACTCACCATCCTTGCCTCGAGTTAAGCATTCACGCGATACTGTCCGCACCCAGGGACCTTCTAAGCCAAGAGTCTCGGAGACAGCCAGATCGATTAGCATTGATAGTCCATTGGGCCGCGGAACACCTAAGAGCTGTCCGTCGCATCGCCAGCCGTACATACCTGTGGTCTCGTCTTCCCCTACAGACAAAACCCCTTCCAAGAATCAAGGCAAGGAGACATTAGTGACGAAAATCATGGCTAAACGCAACATTCGCGGCATATTCAATCGCGAGAGGGCACGCGCCAAAACACCAGAGACGGTCGCTTCTAAGCAAGGGTTTATGAGTGCTACGCGAAGCTCGCTCGCTAAGGTCATGCGCGATTCTAAAAGTCTATCCAAGGTCCATCTGCCTAGAAAGACTGAGTCGAGATTGGAGACTGAGTCTGATCACGCCATCAACATGAAGAGCATCGAAGCGGGCATATTCGCCACTTTCGACAACAACAGCAAAGCCACTCCAGCACAAGAAGCAATGCCTCAAAGGCGAAGTCATGCGGATGAAGTGCTTCACGACATCGTCGACCGCATAGATGCACAGCCTGAAGACTCGCCAGAGCGTCTGCGCCACGTGCAGATCGCAGAGGTATGTGAAACTCTCCGATTACGCTCTATCATGTTGGAAGAGCTCCTTTTGACAGTACAAAATAAACAGTGCATCATCCTTGCTGCTGAGTACTCCCGCAACGCCAACATCAGTGCTTTGGAGGCGAAGAAGAGTGCCCGCGATGCAGAGCTTTATGCAGATCGGGCCCAGCTTGAGTTCAAGCGGTTGCACACGCTACTGGATGGAGCAGACATCGATGCCCAGTCCATGAAACTCATTACAAATCTTCTTCCTGGTTCTGTTCGTAATGGAACTGGGGAAGAGACGCGTCGGGGGATTTTTTCAGGCATGCGTACAACACGTTAAAGGTAGTTTGGATTTCCCAGCTACTATCAGAGACCAAAAACTTACAAAGTTCAGTATGTCTTGGACCACAATTTGTGTCATTTGCTACAGGATACCTTTGGCCATTGTCTAGTGCTTGTTACGTAGCATTAGCGTATGAGTTGCATTTACGATCTGATCTTGTCGAACAGATCTAGCTCGTCTGGCTTCTCTTAAATGGCGATTATCTACCACACGCCCCTCCTTTCATTGACCCTTCTCTCAAATCAGAAAAATACCACGACAAAACGACTGTGCGATACAACGTGATCACACGATTTTACGGTTTCACGATGCCATGGCTGCATGAGATCATGAACACATACGACGTCTGACTCAAATTTGAGCACTGTTTGATGATAATGAGACGGAAGGACTGAGCGTCGAATCGATTGCTCAGACTGGATATATGTACCAAGACGTACGGTGTGACACTGGGAGCTACCCCTATTACATAGACTAATTGATTTGAAAACATAAACTTTGTATTGTACATGTCCTTCAAATCGTGTCATATCATTGCAGAGGCCGTGACAAGAAGGACCAAGTGTTGACAGGCCGAAGCAGAGTGTAAAGCAATGATTTAGCATCTTCGTTTCGAGACACCGACGATGCCAAAGACTTATGGAGCAACAAGGCGTCCTCACTCTCGAATATCTGGTTTTCAGCGGTCCATCACAAAGACTCCGAGGCATGTCCATATCGCCCCATCCTCCACATCTTACCCCTCAATATAGGGTTTTTTCTTTTACATTCCACCACCGAACATACCACCTCCACCACCCTGCTTTCCTTGTGCCTCGCCCTGCATCTTCTCGCTAACCTTGACATTGACCTCGAAGAACTTGGATACGCAGCGGTCGAGGCATACTGATTCGCCCTTGTTAAGATCGGCTTCGCGGTAGTTTGTGTCTATGCATTTGGATGTGCAGGATTTGACGAGGCTAGGAGGGTAGATAGGTTAGTATTCATGTTTCTTATTTAAGAAGAGTATTTAAGGGCATTGTGTGATGGGGAGAGGGAGGGGAGACTTGGAGCAAGACATATGACATGCGCGAGAGGATATTGAAAGATTTAAACTCACCGGCTGTACATATCGCTAACCATATCGATCTCAGCTTCCGCCTGCGCAATCTTTTGCTCCGAAGAGATTTGGGGTTTTTGACCGAAGAACATTGACATCTTGACTGATGGTTTCTCTTTTCTTTCTCTTTATCCGGTTTAGGGATGCGCAATTGGCGATTGTTATAGCCGGCGAGTACTGTTTTGGAGCGTGGAGGGCTTGTTAAGGTGGAGTGGCCGTGGTGATGGATTTGGACATGGGTGACGGCGGGCGATGATGTCGCGCGAGCAGGAATTTGGAGCTGGGTGCGCATTGAGGGACGTGCGAGATAGGTGGCTGAGGTGACGCGGGACGCCAGTGACACTGACCTCCATCACTATCTTGCCGACTTTGGAACACTTTCAACAACTATTCAGGACGATGGCTCCTAATTGTACATGCCGTTCGATGTCTTCGATACGCAACACGTCGCATACCGGTTGTCTGTCTTTATGGAATTATTTTGCATACTTCCGATAGCATTAGCCCTAGTATGTGGGATTTGGAGTAGAAAGTGTATCCAAAACTCATTGCGATGGTATGCTCAAACCGTATAGATGTGCTACTTTTACTCACCGTCATAACTGCTCCGTTGCAGTCGGTACTGCAATTGGGATTTACGGGAAGCCGACCGCCACCATTGTACCGACCACGGCCGGCGTACGTTAGCCTTCACCGCGTCCAGAAACAACCTGCTATCTCTGCTACTCAACCTCGCCATTGTACAATCCAGACTTTATGGTGCTGTCGTACCCAGCATCTACCTTTCAAACACGTTCGTGTTCGTTTTCAGATCACGTATCAAACGTACAAGTCTAGATTTCTTTCAGGGTTTCACGCTGGTTGGAAATGGATGCATCCGGAATTTCGAATACTCCCAGGGCTATAAGAAATGTACGAACAGCACTGCGGTGGATGAAAGCTGTTTATTTCGAGCTGCGGTTCAATGTACCGGAAAGGACATCTTTGGAAAGCTTACGCATCAGCATCGCCAATTTCCTGCGAACGACAACAGGAGACGAGCCCTTTACTGCCACCATCGAATACGCACATACTTGTCATAGGAAAGGTGGTCGCACCGCGCACTATGATACGACGTTCACTTTTCGCTACATGCAGCTGAACACTTTCATCATCTTATCCCACTTACTGGAGACCCAACCAAGCAAGAGAAATTATAGATGTCCAAACGTTTACATCAACGGCTTTGGCGTTGCGGTGGAAATCACGTATCCAGATTAGAAAAAAGGGCCACGGTTTCACAGTTCCATTCGCGATATGAGCATCCCGAGTAGGGCAGAAGAGAAGGGCAAGTATTATGCTGGGTAGCTCAAGCATCTAGTGCTTATAGACGGTGGAAGCCAGTATAATGAGAAGACTGAAGATGAGCTTCGACAGGGGGTAGCTTGATCAGGATATGGGATGATTCGACGATCGTGCTTTGGGGAGAAGGTCTGAGAGCTGCCTGGTGAGTGTGACTAGTGACTTGCTGGGTTACCTTGATCCAAACCACTTTTCGAAATGGCGCACATTCGAAGCAGCGGAAGAGTATTAACGTAGATTGCGGTATGTACCAGAACCCGCCATGATCCGTCTTCTACCAAAGGGCTGCATGTCACTTTGGGCCACGTGGAACAGCATTGGAGACATGCTAAGGCCTTTGTTGGAAAAGTCTGATTGCCCAGACTGGGACAGCCGCATCTCTGAATCTGAATGGTCATAAGAGTACAGCCACAAGCCTTCATTCAGTTTAGCGACACAAAGATGGAGCTACACTCTGCGAAGACAATCTACAATATAACTAGAAATCAATTAATTCAAACAAGATGGTCGTACACCATGTCACCTGTCAATGCTACCCAATAGATCCAGCATGTGTCTCTGACGTCTCATCCGTGCTGATGTAGTATTGTTGCTAGCGTATGGGACTTGTGTAGCCTGTGATGAAATTGGACGATTCCGCTCAATACTTGATTGTACCGTAGTAGGAGGGATGCGTGGTGAAGAATGTGAGGACACTGTACGACGCGTTGGTGGCCATGGATCTGACGATGTAGCGGACACAGACCAAGGTCTACTGGTTGCAGCTTGGCGTTGAGTGTTCAAGGGCACGTACGTACGGGATGGTTCAGAGTCGAGCTCCAATGCTGGCAGCGGGTTTGATGATTTGTTGGAGATGACGATTGGCTCACTGACGGTATGCGAAAATATAGGTCTGCGTGTCGGGGTAGCAGGTAATTCGGATAGTGATGTCTGAAACCCATTACTATTTTGAGTCGCACGCGATCTCTGGCTAGGGAGTTGTGATAAATCCCGACTTAAACGCGCGCTGTGACTTGATGGGTGAATTGGAACACTGCCAGGAAGCTCTATAGCAAGACTTGTATCCCCTAGCAACTCTGACAGTGTCTCAGTCTTCTTGTCATGGACGACGTTAGATCCTGGCGCTAGCGCTGGCATCGTAGATTGAAAGGCATGGGGGTTGACAGGTCCATCTGAATTTGTGCCACTCATGGAATAGTCGCCTGCCAGTTCAGCGATGGTTTGGTGCCTCCCCGGATGCATGTAAGCCCATGTATCCGTTTGGACTAACGGCGTCGTAGATACGTCATCGGGCACTTTCCTCATTGACAGCCGCGAACTTTTATGTCTCAAGCATTCAGTATCGAAACGCTGCTTGATATCTCCTTGAGATGTTTGTGAGCGGGGACGTTGCTGCCCAGCCGATGCATAGGTAGGAGGCGGACTATTTGGTAGACTGGGAGGTGACGGGTATCCCTTGTCGAAGTTGGTGTAGCCCAACGTGGAGTAGCTCGACTTTGTTTCTTTATACCCGCCCAATAGCTGCGAAGCCGACTGCACCGGATCCGTAGTCCATATATCTTGCGTATAAAATGCTTCGGGATGGAGAGAGGTCTTGTTTATCGGCTCGGCCCTGTCGGCAGCATCGCGCCAGGCCGTATGGGCGTTGTTGTCCTTCATCACTCTGACTGTTGTGTCTTCCAGTTGATGCTGACTGACTATTCTCTTATGTCGCGACACGATATCGTCGAAGTAGGTGGTATCTTGATAGGTTGGTAGCTCTTTGCTAGTCGGTAGGTCTTCCAGGCGGTTGAGGAAGCTCAGTACGTTCGACAGTTGCTGATGACACGCCATAAGTTCGCTTTTGCGGTCCGCTAGTCGTTCACGGTCGTCAAGAATAAATCGTAGTTTCTGAGATTGATCCAAGATATTAGAATTCTGCCCGACGTCGCCGCGATCCACCCATTTCCCGATCTCCTCCAATGCAGAGGTAGTGTTCTCGATAGCGCTTCTGATCCAAGGAAGTCTCCCGGGTGTATATGCAAGTTTTGTCCGCACTGAGCCAACGGCTACTAATCGCTCAACCTCGAAGAGATCGTTACGAACAATCCGTATAGTTCGTAAGAAGACTTCACTCTCGCTCCCGATATCTGCGCTACGTATCGCAAGATCAGCAAACCTAAACGCTGTGCTGACACTAGCGGATCGTGTAGGTACACCTGTTACAAAGTAAGCGCTGCGTCATGACATGTTCAAAGAGTTTGGTGTATATTGTGCATACCAATCGCTCTGTTCATGGTAAGAAAGTCTGACTAGTACGAATGGTGGTAGATCAACTCGATGTCGACAATTGATGCCCATACTGCAGTGGGGGGTGCAGGTCATGAACAACGATTCCACGGACATGCTAGCCCGCCGGCGGGCGGCTCATAGACCCCCAATATTGGGTAAGCAATACAAAAAAGGCCACAATGCTGAGCATGTGGGCACTGGCATACCCCTCATGCTGTGCTGCGGTGCCTCGAGAACGGATGTGCAGCTCAATGCTTCTTTCCACGGGCTATGGTCATGCGCCCATCCCCAAACATAGTTTGACTACTCCAGTGGTCATATAACCGAGCCAACACCCGATCCAAGGTCTTCGAACTATCTATATCGGACAATCGGGTGGCTGTGGTGTGTCTCACAACGCGAAGGCTTGCAGATTGGACGGGAGAGAATATGACACTCCTTTCCGCCAGTGGCACCAACGCTAAACAATATGGAGTATAGTGCAAAAGGAAACCTTAAGCTCGACTCTCAGCCTTGTCACTCTCTACCCATCATTTCAGCTCGCGACCTTTAGCGATAGCCCAGAGGCGTCTCAGCCGTACAATGGCTGCATTAAATGCTGCATGAACTATTGTTGAAACGCCATTTTCGCCGCCATCTCCCCGATCCTCATGCTGCGATCTCCTTCTCCAGAAGCACGCGCGACTGCCCCAGCACTTGCCCCTGGTCTCCGATCGTCTGTACCAGACCTGGAAACACTACCAACCCCCCATGCTCGCTCGAGAACTCAAAGTGGAATGTACCAGGTTGTGAAAAGAGTAGGAACGTGAAGTTTGCCGATCGCGTGAGAATCATGTCCAGATTCTTGCTACGCTGAGCTTCCAAGCCACTCTGCACAAAGGGCGCCACGATAGATTCCAGATCCACAGTCGCGCCAGCGAACCTTTGCTTTCGGGCTGGATCCTGTGCGTTCTGGCCGATTCGTTCATGCAACAGAGCTCCAGTTATGGTCTTCCATTTGCTGTACATGGCTGACTGAGCTGGATCGTGGCGTTAGCCTCCCACTGCCGAATTGATGAGGCTGAGAATAAACTTACCAACATTGTTACCATCTCTTCCTGGTATGGCTGTGGCAATCGTCGCAAGCTCTTCAGGCAACAAACTCTCATTACGCTCTCCGGTGCATCGAGATAGCACAACCCAGGCGACAACGAGGCGAAGCGTCTCGGCTCGGGTCGAGATGTTCGAGAGCATGCTCGCAAGCATGGCAGAACTTGTGCCAGTTGCGGCCGCTAGCTCTCCCATGTCCGCCTGGTTGATACTGGCTACCGGAACAGGAGAGACATGATAGTAAGTGCGGACGTGGTTCTTGATGTTGTCCCGAATTTTCAGGGCTGCGTCTGTGATAGTGTCGTCTGCCACGGGCTGAGGTAGCATATCATCGATGTTCGTAGCATAAGCGCTGGTGACAACTGTTGGGCCTTTCTCCGAGATCCCAGCAGCGCCATTGCCGAGTGCATGAGGTGGTGGGTATGCTTGGACTGAGTCGTATCGTTTCTTATTCTGACGGCGTAGCAAGAAGAAGAATACGGCTCCGGCGATGAGCAAACCGACGATCAACATTCCAATAGCCACCCCGGCAACCGCGCCTCCAGATAATCCATTGGCAGCTCGTGGCGTATCAGAAGGCTTGTCAACTGGACCCGTAGCATTGTTATTCTGAGGTGGTTGAAGGGCTATGGATGAAATCGTGGACTTTGGATCGGCTGTCTGTACAGCGGGCGTACCAGGTGTCGACACCACGGATGGTGAGCCCTCAGGAGTTACTGCAGTTGAGGAACATACATTTTTTTTCAACGACTCAACCCAAGCACAATCGGGTGGATTGACAGGTAGGGTCTCGGCTGGCACTATCGGCGTCGATGCTGGAGCCGGCGTAATTGCGCTTGGGATAGTCGACTGCAATGTTGTTGCTGATGATACTGGAGTTGCTACACCGTCAGCCAATGGAGACGATGCCTGCCTTCGCGCAAACTCCATTTTGAGGTTCAGATGTACAAAGACTGGAAGAGAGGTGAGTTTGCGCAAATGTAGAGACTGCTCCCGACTGAATTTGCGATGCTGTACTATAAGGCATTCGTGCCACTACTCGCTAGCACAGCCCGGTCAGAGATATGCACGCTTCAGCTGTACTACAATGAGGCAGGCTGCAAGCTCAGGTGATATTGTTTTTCGCCGGAAACGGTAAAGGTTAACGAGGCAGAAAACAGCAACCTGGTGTCGAGCTGCATGGTGTGGGATCCGAATGTAGTTTTATCGAACGGTCATCGGTACAAGGTAACGTGGCGTGCTCCAGCTGCGTCTAAATCTGTCACACCAAATAGAATTCGTGCAACACCACCACAAATGAATCGGCATGAAAGCGGGCCCCACACTATATCATTCCAGATCGGTCTCGACGCGGGGGCTGAATCGGAGCGCGAGGCTGAGCTGGAAACAACTTGTCAATATCCAAAGGAAGAGCTATCGCATCTCGGCCTCACTAGTCTTCTACGTCCAGATTCTACATACACTCGATAGTGATACCCTTTTGTTGCTGAGACTACGGAAAGCTATACTATCTAGGATATAGTTACAACAAACCAGGCATTGCCCATCTTTACGACGCATACTTTCACCATGGAAGAATTCCAGTCCCGACCGGATCTGGTTGTATCCATCGACTTTGGGATGACATGTAGGTAGTGTCTTGTTGTTTGGCAATATCGCAGTACTTACATAGCTTATAGGCACTGGTGTTGCGTATTGCAATGTAGCGACCGGATCTGATAGTGTGCGGCACATTCAACGCTGGCCAGGAAGAACACAAGCAAATGAAAACAAAGTGAGGAAGCAGATGGAACGCTATGAGGCCTGAACTGAACTTTTGCAGGTGCCAACACTGCTCGTATACCCGCAGGACTCCACAACACCGTCATCATGGGGCTTTCTGGCCGAAACCGCACAGGAAATTAGTGGTGTAGGTTATGAGAGCAGGGAGTGGTTCAAGATCATGCTTGATGAGGACCTGCTAGAACAAATGCGGATGAAGTCTAGTGAGCCATCCAAAGTACCACAAATACACGAAGTAGAGAAATGGTAAGTCGTTCGTGAACGGCTACTCTCGAAAGCAGCTTACCAACAACGCAGGTACACCGATTATTTCCATTATCTCTATCGTACGATCGAAGCAAGACTACGAGGCGAACTCGCAAGCAGATGGGAAGATGCGAAAATCGAGTTCATCTTCTCGGTACCCACAACCTGGAAGCCAATACCGACCGTGGAGCGATTTAGGAAGACTATCTCTGCAGCCGGGTTTGGCTCATGTTCCAACCACACAGCGTCAATTGGGCTGACGGAGGCCGAGGCGGCTGCCGTACATACAGCACGTAGTATGCCAGGTATCTTCAAGGAAAACGAGATACTCTTCGTGTGCGACGTAGGAGGAGGTACAACGGATCTATCGGTCTTTCGCGTGAAGAACATACACGGTGGCTCTCTCAACCTTGAACAGATTGACGTAGTGTTCGGCGCCACTATCGGAGCCGCACAACTCGACAGCCTATTTGAGAAGGAGGTGCTACAGCGACTACAGCATGCCGATAGCCTCCAGCCGATGGGTCTGATGGATATCAATCAGGCGGCATGGGAGATGCGAATCTCGAAGGAATACCAAAACGCAAAATGCGACTATGGCTCGGAAGAGTCTTTCATGGACACTGAGACCTTCGCAGTGCGGGTACCCAAGCTCGACAGAGCGTATATAAACCGAGAATGCGCTATCAGTGGAGGGGACATACACTTCCAAAGAGACGATCTAAAGATCTTTTTCGACACTCAAGTGTCTAAACTTTTTGACATGATGGACAAGCAGCTGGCTCGTGTCCGGCAGAAGTTCCCAACGGAACAAGTCTCTCATCTCGTTCTCTCTGGAGGTCTCGGCAATTCCGCATATGTTCAACACTGTTTACGAAGCCGATATGCGTTTGGAAGTACGCCACACTCTAACGCGCAGAATATGCAGATCCGCATCGCTCCCGATCCCCAACTCGTCGTTTGCAAGGGCAACGTAGCCGATCGCGTTCAGAAGCTAAAAACTGGACAGTCGGTTCTTGGGTGGCGGTGTTGTCGCGCATCTTACGGTACGATGTGTAAAATTTTGTACGATCCTTACGACCCTGCCCACAATGGGCTGAGGACGGAAGTGGATCCATTGGATAAGAGGACGTACGTCATGGACTGCATCGACTGGTTCATCAAGCAGGTAAAGACATTTTGAAAGCTTGGACTGAAGACGGAGAGCTGATCAACTTAGGGCGAACCAGTATCGAGTGACCATCCGATAGTGAAGAGTTTCCAACGGAAGTGCCCACCAGCCTCATCCAAGAATCCCAATCCGCCAAGGATCTACCCTACAGAAGTGATATGCACTGAAGTTGACAAGTCTCAGCTTCCTCTAGTGAAGAACAGTGGTACGTATACCTTCTTCTCCACATGTACGAGCGTAATACTGATAATCTCAGCGTGCCGTTCGATCTGTAAGATCGAGTCAGATTTCTCATCCCTCCCTCTTTCCCTCTTTAAACTCAAAAATCGACACTGGTGGAACTCTGGACCAAAGTACCATCGCATCAACTACGTCGTCAAAGTCAACCTTGGGGCTGCCGATGTATCCTTCGAACTGTGGCATAATGGCGTCAAGCTGTCTAAAGACAACTCCATCAAAGTCGAGTGGCAAGCAAGTGCACCACCTGATCCAAATGCGACGGTCATAGCGCCCGACTTCCCGATGAACAGCTTGCCGGCAGTATCGACTCACAATATGGCTCGTCACCGCACAAGAGTGGTGAGTGGCGACGGTAATGGTAGAATGGCGATGAACTGGGGGAAGTGGGAGAACAAGAATGGCGTTCGGTCTCAAGTGATGTTGGCTCCGCAGAATGGGTCAAGGGTGTGGTAGGCTAAGGTTATTTAACGCCATCTGTATACACCTTTGATGAGCTTACGGGTAGTGAGCTCTTTGTACGTGTAAGGTATTCTCATTACGAATATCGATGAAACGTGGTATATGCTCGTTCCTCGTCCCCCAATATTAGTTCACTCTACTTCCGAGAAGATAACTTCATAGAGAACCCACCACGATATCTTATCCACCCAAATGCGAAGCCCCAGGGCCAGACCTGTGACCAATGCGAAGATAGCACGGTCGCACCATTTCCCGAGCTTCCAGTGTATGCCAGTAAGAAATGAAACAGCTAGTGTCATCAAAAAAGACTCCATTACGCCCACCCGCAAAAGCTTGCCTGATGGAGTGAGACCTGTTCTCTTCATCACCCAGGCCTTGTGCCAAATTGCCCAGATCTTTGCACTGTGGAAGCCAGACTGAATGACTTGGAGAGACAGCATCGCGCACGTCATGTCCAAGCTTGGATTCTTCGCATACACGTTGGTAAGGCGTCGTAGCAAGAGGTTGATGTAGTAGCACGTGTTGTACATCCAATACCAGCAGCGAACTAGAAACGTCATCCACGTCGGAACTCGATGCCAGATGGCATCGAGTTTGAATAAGAGGAGAATTAACAGAAGTAGTAGATAATCAATGCCGTCCAGGAATATGCGTTCAATGCAAGTTCGAAGAGAGGGCCGGAACCATGACGATCGACAGATTGGACAGTGATCTCCATTCGGGGCGTTGATCATTTGTTCAAGGAAATCACGTCCGGATACGTGGTTGCAAGGCCGCACACGATCAGCTCTATGATTTTTCATCGTATGGACCCCAGCCTAGAGTCGTTAGTGTGCATGAAGTATTCACCTGGTGAAGGGTACGTACAGAAGGTGCACTTGTTGTCATAGAACTTATCATTGACATTACCGCGAACAACGTGCTTTTCGAGGAAGATATTCTTTGAGATTCCAAACACATTCTCGAACATGATGGTGGCTCTCGGTGATCTCGAGTAGTAGTGCAGTTGCGTAGGAAGGGGGTCGTGTATAGCAGGAATATTGGAACGAGAATGAGCAATTCGCATAGAAACACAAACAGTGGGGCATGAACGACGGAGTGAAACGACAAAGGCATACAGCTAAGAGTGTTGCTTACGAAGGGACTAGCATCGAATCAACAACGGAGGGAAAGGCAACCACAGGCGATGCGTGTAGTGATGGTAAACCTTGATTGACGCGAGACTGTCTCATTGCAGGAAATCATCTCTGTCAACGAGAATGACATGTTACCTCGTCTACATGTAGTCGGTCATCACTCTCGTTCTTTCCTGACAGCTGCAGAGTCGGACGGTCAATCGAAGGGAAAGCACGACCAACCACTGCTGGGATGGCAAGCTTTGGAGAACAAGGGCAGATCCCACGTGGATTGGCGTCACGGGCGCAGTTTAGCCGACACTAGCGCGCCGGCGCGCAGAGCTACAAAACCCCGCCAAAAATGTTTCTTGCTTCTGCAACGGCCTGCCTTGCCAACGCTGCGTTTCTTTGCACACATCCAGACCCTCTTTACAGAGCTTGTCTTACCCTGCAAATGAGAAATTCGGAGTAATCTTCACTATCATCAAGCCCTCTTGTGGCTGTACTGCTCGTAAGAGCCTGGCGTGACTCACGTCTGCATCCGGCATCAGAAAACTCAGGGCCCAGGAAGCGCGCTTCTGCTTCGGTGGGAGTGTGTGCAACTGGTGTCCCTATGGGAGTCGGTGCGAAGATTGTGTGCCTTGACCCTTAGGGAGACAGGTGACACTGTAGTACAATACGCAGCGTACTTGACCTTGAGTAGCCCTTGGGCGAAAGAGGGCACGGTATCATTCGATTCTGATTACTCTGGCGAGGCAGGCCGTTCAATTTATTTTTCACCATGTAAGTGCGCGATTTGCGCAATCTACTCTAGTTCAAGGATACTACTAACAAAAAACTACGCGGAACCATCGAAACCAAGCGACGGCATCCTGCGCGATTTTCTTCTCGTCCTCCACTCGGAACGTCTACTCCTCCGGCTCCGATGCTACGTCCTTCTGCATCGCATACATGATGTCTGTCCGTAGCGTGTATTTGATCCCCTTCACAACGTCGTCACCAGAATGTATAAGGTTGCGATGCTGGAAGAGCAGGACGCGCCCAGTCTTTGGCACAACATCGATGCGGCGGTCCATGCGGCCGTTGAAGAATGTAGTGGCGCCGCCTTCGAGCTGCTTCTCTCCGCTTTTCAGTACTGCATCGTTCAGGTAGAGGTGCAGGGTGAAGTAAGAGCGCTCAGTGCGGTCTGGCGTCTCGTAGGTACCATCGCAATGCGCTGACTTAGTCAGTAGCAGTAATGTCAACATCTAATGAAAACGTACGTTTGAAATACTCTCCACCGGTGTACTTGAGATAGCGCCCACGTTCATTCAGTCTCGTTACTCTCCAAGTTTCTCCCCGCTTTGCTGGGCCATTGCCTGTAACGAGCGCCCAGTTCTGCAAGCGATGAATCTCAGGTACCGACGCTTCTATCCTCGCCCATAACTTGGCCATGATGTCTTTGTTGTCCCAAATGATACGACCACACTTCCTGGTGTCCTCGTACATTGCTTGCATGCCGCCACCAATGTTCACCATTGCTCTTTCCCACTTGCCATTAGTAGTCGCTTCCGCTGCTTGTACCAAGATGTTGCACTCGTCTTCAGACAGGACACCATCAAGTATGACGGCCCATGCTTTTTCATTCTCTAATATTCCCGCCTTCTTGAAATCAACTATGGATTTGGTTAAGTTGGGTGCTGGACCTTCGAGGAAGCCATCGGGGAGGGTAAATGTGGAAGGAGGAAGGCTAGGCTCAATGGGGTTTCGACGGTCATGAGTACGAAGCAGGTCCTCCTTCAAGCCCGCAGGTAAGACTTTGTTAGCTGCCATTGTTGATAAATATCGCAGCGAAGCTCGGGTCGCGTGCAAAGAAATCATGTATCAAAATCAAGGAGGTAATGTAGAGGTGGCGCTGGGCTGTGCAACCAGGGGTCTCCGAGGACTGCTGCCTTGAGACACCTTCGCCCTCTATAGTCATTGGCAGGTGCTTCAGGCGGTGTTCATCCTTCATTGGAGACGCCCATTAAGGAAACGCAAGAGCCGCAAGGCATAACTGTATGTCTTATACATTGATCGCTCTCGAAAAAACAAGCAGTAGCTCCAAACGCCTAGAGGTCATATCGACCTGTGCAAGGGACAATGATCGCCAAAAGAAAATACGTCACACCCACAAGGGCTCTAAAATGCGACTAGAGATACGACTACCTATTTGTGTGTTGCGCACTTGAAGCTTCGTCTGTCATTATCAACGATTGCCATTTGACGTTGTCGCTGGGTGCTGGGATGGCTGGGACTATCACGTGAAAATGGCAGTCGCGGCCCTTCTCGACCTTGAGCCTCGCGTTTCAGGCACACGGGCTGCATCTGGCATACACCATCATCATCAACACGCACAATTGACCCACAGGCTCATTTGAACGACTCGGGCGTGCATAGCGACGGCAGTTTCATGTGACTTGTTGCTTCTTATCGTCAACACCATCGTGCAGTGCGCGACTCAACTCCATTGCAAGCCACTGCCGCTCGCTCCACCAACCGTCGCGCCAAGCTAGAGGTTCCGACCTCACTCCTAATTTCCCGCCTTCACGCCAGCTTCGACAACACGTAGAGGCGCACGCGACGCCCAGAAGACAGCTTCCCCCTACCGCAATCATCGTCGCCCTCTTCTCTCCAGCTATCACCACGCCGCCCCTCAAGCCCCGACCCGTCTGATCATCAAGCTCGCCGTCGTACGCTCAGCAATCACAGCACTAGTCAAGCAAACACGCCGGGCGCCAGCCCTACGCCAGGCCCTGCGTCTATCGATAACTGCCGTTATTCACGTCATTGCGACCATCGTCGCGCGCCTCTCGTTACCATAGTATACCCGGACCGACCGCAATCATGTTGTACGAGGATCCCCAGGATTACCAACATCCCGCGCAAACGCGCAACCGCTTCCCAACGCTCTTCGAAGTGCTGAGCCGTAAGACGACAGCACCGCTGGATCTCTTCTCCTTCTACATCTACATGCGAGACCAGCAACGGTCTGTCGACTACTTGGACTTCTGGTAAGACACTCAGCGCCCGGGATCGCGGAAGAAACTAACAGCCACCAGGCTCGATGTATCGCAACACCTGCAGCTATGCCGGCTCTATGTGCGACGGCTGCACAGGAGTATGATTGAGGAGACGCCAGATCTTGAGGTTAAAAGCAAGCGTTCGTCCTACATATTGGACAACGCTGGAGAAGGCCCCTCTAACGAGAAAGCCGACAACATGTCTGACCAGCGCTTGTCCGCCTTTCTTCGTTCCGACCGACCAAGCCGCAACCACTCGCCACAGAACAGTCAGGGCAGCAACCAGAGCCGAGAGTTCCCGCGTCCAAGCCTGAACTTGCTAGATACCCCAGGTGATTCGAGCTCGCCCGGCCAGAACTCGTCCCTTGACAACTCACAACCACGGAGGGAGGATTTGCGTGCATCGGCGGAGAAGATTCTGTACACGTACTTGCTTCCTGGGTCAGAGAGAGAAATCATCATCCCTCAGAGCATCCTCGCCGAGGTTCAAGAGGCCATTGAGGGAACGGAGCAACGTGCAGATCCTGAACTCTTCGACAATGCCAAAGACTACGTCTTTCAAGCTATGGAGCGCGACGCATATCCAGGCTTCTTACAGAATAAGGGTCTTGGCAACCTCGTTCCCCAGAGCATGATGCTACGTCTCATCGTAGGGTTGATCAGCTTCTTCGCCGCTGTGTGGACTTCCTTCATTCTCATCTTCTTGGACAAGTCAAGAGCAACGCGTTGCTGGGTATGTGGTCCCCCGCTGTTTAGTCAGGAATATTAACTAACGTCATACGCAGATCATCCTTCCATTTACGATCGCTATCTATCTCATCTTCACACACCAGTACATGCTCGACCCCATCATCGCCCTTGCCGGATACAGCGAGTACACTTTCTTTGACTTCAACAAGATTAGGGAACCTTTTGTGAAGAAGACGCTTAACAGGCGCTCGCTCACTGTCCTGGTTATGTTCTTGGCCGTCACGGTAGCTATCTGCTGCCTCTTCATATTCGTACCTGGTAAGCGCCTGTGATTGAGGGCGGTTACATGGTCTCTTTGTTTTTTGTTATCGAATGTAATGTTTGTCTATTGTTTGGCGTTGTCAGCTGCACAAAATGGGAGCAATCCCGGAGGCGGCAGATGGAGAAGCGCGGAGGTAATTCAAGACCAGCGGGGACATGGAGAAGATACCCCCTCGCTTCGTCGCCACCGACCTACAGCAGGCTTTCTTTTGTTTTTGAACCGAGACTTGAATTGGACATGTTCTAGTTACGGACGGCTGTTCTCAGCCTGGAGCATGGTGTTTGGGCGCTTGAGCGTTTTTATGAGACATCCAACAGCGAGTCTCCAACGAGATATAACACCCAATAGACGATATTCATCTTCAACAGTACCAGCATGACATGTGAAAATAGTCAAGCGCAAGATGTATGCACCCCTGATTGACGTTTGGCGAGCCGTTAGCATGTGGAGTCGAGCTGCAACGCTGCATGCACGCCAAGGCGCAATGACGTTAACCGCGGCCGGGTTTGACGACGTCGAATTGTACCTCAACGTCCATCATCGGCCAAAGACGCGCCGCAACAGCCGCAGTCTGTAGTATACCTACCAAAGCCCATTGTCACACATCCACAAGAAGCTCCTTGGTCTCTCAATTGCTTGTAATCGCGACATTCGCAGTGCCAACCTTTCTTCCAACTACTGCCACTAGTGCAGTGGATAGCAGCAACCAGCAAAATGAGCGGACCAACTGCTAAGAGCAAGAGAGGGCCGACTGTGCTCATGACCGATACCCGTGACACTGCACCTCGAGCACCTCAACGACCAGGTGCTGGACAGAGACAAGCTACGGGCGCGCGATTGATCTCGGTAGACAACATCCTGCAGTACGCTTCCGACATTCCCTCGCAACAACAGCGACGCGGCCCACCTGGCCACCGGCCCATGATGCACACGCGCACTCCCAGCGGAAGACATCCGCTCGATCCCAGGCTCTCCGGCCGCCTGATACCCCAGCACATGCCGACGCGATCAAGCAAGCTCAGCGAAAAGCTCGTCCTTCTGCCCGAGACAGAAGGACAGGAGGACGATGAAAAGGGAGACTTTGACGAAGACGAATACGAAGGTCCGCCCACAGACGAAGACCTCGCGCGACGGACACCCAAAGGCGGTCCAAACGACAAAAGCTATGCAGAGCGGCTGCCCAAAGCAAAGAGGACGGATAAGCTCTCGCGCGTCACCGCCTACTGCACCGCCCAAGCCTACAAGATGAAGAGCACTGCCCAATTTGTAAAGGATACGCACAATGCGCGCACCAAGCTATACGACGACTGCCTCTACACCGTATACCATCTCCCGCTGCTGCCGGGGAGCGACGGCTACCGAGTCCGCAGTAGCCCTGCGCTCAAGAGCCCGGGTGGAAAGACGGTGCTAGACGAAGAAATTGAGCGCAACGAGCAGCGCGATCACCACGAAGGCTACTTTGGCGATGAGGAGACCTACTACGTTCGCGACGACCACGAGCTCGACCAACCCTGGGACGGCATGCACGACCGCCGAGACTCGACCGAGAACTCAAGAATTGCGCCCAACGCTTTGACCTTTGGCGAAATGTTCGTCTTTTCATATGGCATAGTAGTCTTTTGGAATTTTACCGAGAAGCAGGAGAAGGACATTCTGGCCGATCTTACCTTCTCGGCCACCGCTACCGGCATTTCCATTGCGACAAGACCCTTGCCCGAGTCCGACTTTGAAACTGAAGAGTTTCATTTCGAGTACAACCCGGAAATCCAGCGTCCACGTGTGTACAATGATATGATCACCCTCAAAAGCGGAGACCACATGATCAAGTTAGCCATGAGCCACGCCATTGCGCAGAGCACCAAACTAAGTCTCTTCGAGGAAGGCATGAGCCGAACCATGCTTGCTGCGCAATACGTACCAAAACGCTTAGCGTTGACGGGCAAATTGGGTATGGGAAGGACAGACGTGGTCAAGATGATTGGACAGCTCTTCACCAGCCGTGTGGAAGTAAACCTATGTACGTATCCAGCCACCTCTCATAACGCACCAATGACTAACGACCCTCCTAGCATCGAATATGCTCGACACTCCAAGCTTCTTCTGGGACTCTGAGCCCACCCTCCATCCACTATATACCGCCGTCCGCGAATACCTCGAAATCAAACCCCGCATCCAAGTTCTCAACGAGCGCTGCCAGGTCTTCTTGGATTTGGGTGAGATACTGTCCGACTCCATCAGCGATAAGAAGATGACCAAGATTACGTGGATTGTTATTGCACTCATTGTGCTGAGTATCTGTATAACGTGTCTGGAGGTACTGCTTCGTTTTGCGATTCTACAAAAGGGTAGGACCAATGTTCCTGTTGCTGGAGACTTGGAGGTTAGAGGGTTGGGTGGACTCAAGGGAATTGGCCCACCTGCTTATGCTGGACCTGGCTTACTTGCTGCGAGAAGTTTGGTTTGGGTCGGCAGTGGAGTCAAAAGTTTGTTGGTCGGTTGAGTATGGGATGCAGCAACACGGAACGGCAGGCAATGGGATTACTGGAGCTACGCTGCCGTTTTGATAGTCGTAATTCTTAGGTTCTGGGGATGTTGGGTCGCTTTATCATCATTTTCCTCGGCATTAGCGATGGGCATTATCCGGCTGGCGCAATATGTATTTTCTTGGGTCGCATGACATTGTAATAGAATTTGTATAATTTCTGATCCGTTATCTCTAGATGAACGCTCAAGAGTTAGTTACTTGAATTTGCATTGGTTCTTATTCGAGAGCCTCCTATTGCATGTGGAGCGTATGGATTGCGAAAGTCATGAGTGGTTTATCGTTAACGGGGTATCTAAGTACCACAGGATGGAGTGGATAAAGTGGATGACAACCACAGTATTGCTTCGCAAATACGCGTACACCGCGACTGTGTTATATAAAAAGCGCAGCACAGTGTCTTCGTTGCTTCCACAACTCTCTCTCTCATTCACACACACCATATCTAAGGGCCGCCCCTCATCTCCCCAGACCATACCCATTATACTCTCCATCTTGCCCGCTTCTTCCCTGCCCTCCATTCTCCACAATGAGACCATTCAACATATTCGTCCCATGTCTCCTCGCACTTACATGTTGGATTCTCCCCCTTGCAATCGCTCACAAGGATAAAAGCCAACCCGTAATCGAGAAAAATCTCTCACCTGAGTCCATGTTAGTAAACCGCATGGTAAGTAGAGCCATGGACAAATTACATGTGAAACATAGGCTGACTTTGTACACGAACATTTCAGGTCTTCGGCTATTCCCTTGCAGACTTCATGGATATGTGGAACAGGCATGTGGGAGACAACGGTTACACGGATTTGGATTGGACATCCGATGCCTGTACTGGTGTTGATGATTCACCGTTTGGTTGGGACTGTAAGTCTGACTGTCTCGAAACTTTGTTGATCTTTGATATGTCTAGGGACGTAGTAGTCAGCTAATAAAAATGGACCAGTCAAACCGGCATGTATCCGACACGACTTTGCGTATAGGAATTTTTGGAGAGAGCAGAGGTTGACTAAAGTAGGTTCCTTCGTGTTGCTTCCCCTTTTCCATTTCGTCACTCCTTCTCGTTCGTCCTCATCCTTTACATTCCACATCCTCACTTCGTTATGATATTTACAACTGATACTCTTGGTTTTGTAGGCACTCTATAAGAAAATCGACCTCAACTTCAAAAAAGACATGTACTATGTATGCGAAAAACATTCCCATCGCAAGGCCTGCAAGGTCACGGCAAAACTATATTACAAGGCAGTTAGGCTAGCGGGGAAGTTAGGGGGAAAACGAAAAAGAGACCTGTATCTCATCTCGATTAACGCCATCTCCACCAACACGACGAACACTATCGCTACCATCCCCACCGACTCGGAAGCAGATACTAGCAGCGAAGAAAGAGATGTGGTAGAGATAACAGAGCGTCAGTTGCAGTAGGACACATGTAAGTGAGATGGTTGGTGCGGGGATGGAGGAGATGGAGAAGAGACGAAACCAGCAAACGGTTTGGTAGTTGGAGGGATTGTAACGTATTAGCCTGTTGTATTATACCGGTGCACATAGTGAAGCCCTAATGCAGACGCGGGCCTATACTCAACAACAGATCTCGAAGGCTTGAGTAGGAACTCAACATCAACATACTGGCGGTACGCGTTACTCTAGATTGAAAATTTACAAAATAAGATTCCCTTCTTACCAACTCTATCTCCGCACCAGCTGTACTTCTTGCTTCGTCTAGACATGGTGTCTGCTCTCTGCTCTACACCCTTGCAATGTCATTCGGCAGCGCTGGGCGTGAGTCCTAGACAACTTCCTCCAACCCCCCTTACTCTTTATCCACAGCAAAAGCCTTCAAATCATCCATACTCACACCCTTCAACGCCTGTTCATTCGTCGCCTTCATAACAACCTTGGGCACCTTCTTATCATCCATGCCCGTCCTAGCATCAAAAGCCTCCTTCCACCTGTTCACACAGAGACACCATTTGCAGCCATCTGTAAGTCCCACTTGACGCAAATCGTTACCGCGTGCGGCAGAGAAGTCAAGGAACTCTTTCGACACGATACCTGCGATGGCGTGGTTACCGACGTCTGAAGCGGGGACTTCGCAGTAGCCTGAGCGGGTGAAGCCAGTCAAGGGCTGTGTAGAATGGAGCGCGAGGGGTTGCTTGAAGACTGGTGTGGAGTGTTAGTTACTGTGTTCTGGGCATCGGTCGATGACCCTTGTAGTTCGTTCGTTCATCGTAAAGATCGCAAACAGCCCCTAGCTTCCTTTGTAGCAATGCATGAACGGCACGACGTTGGGGATGCTGAAACGCGAGCCTGGAGATCTCTGGTCCAGTGACGAAACTGTTTCACGCAAATGAACAGGATGCGGACATCGCATAACCGTTTAGGCCCCAAGCGTCTCGGTTGTCTAGTGCGCGGGCCTGGCACACTGCTCCCCGAATACTCGATGGTATCATATACATACCGTTCAAAGACATACTGCCAGCTTCTTCTTCTTGTTGTTGCTTTTTCCCGTTCTGTACCGGCGTTCTTTCCCACTTGATCTGTACGTCGTGGACGTGAGCAAAGTCGCGTTTCGGAGCTGTACGTGTAAAGTTGGAGATGAGATTCCGTAGTAAGCGCATGAGGAAAGACGAGAGCAAGAATATCTTTAATTGATGATTCGTAGAATGTTGTGCTCAAGATGGCGTCAAGAAAGTGCTAAAGCGGAGATTTAGCGCGTAGGGCTGGGTTGATGACGTTTGGCAGGGATGTAGCTGCCGCAGATCTCAAGTTATGGGGGTGCGCGATCGGCTGTTACACCATCGTAGCCGCCGCATAGGTTTGCCGAGTTGCGGGCCCCGGAGCAGCGATCGGCATGCGCTGATCTAGATTCTACGATGCGACAGCGAAAATCAGTAGGAACAAAGTGGATGATTTGTGTAAGACAGCATTGATTCGTGAGTATTCGAGATACAGATGCTATACTGATGCGGAGGTTGTAAACAACTATTTTACGTGACCAACGGCATTAAAACCTCATAGCGGTCGTGGATGTAGTGAGCGATCGATCGTAAGCGACCTGTACGTATTGATAGACGTAGAAAAGCAATAACTATGCATGAACACCGTATCCCAAATGCACCCTTCACTAGTCTTGCCGCACAAACGCCGTTGGTAGGAAAGATCCAAAACACCATTTTGGGGTATGCAAATCGTCGCCATGCTTATGGGACTGGTAGGCCGTGGGTATATATGCAAGCTGTACTGTAGTAAATCATGCGCGCACTAGGCGCAGCGTCGTGGACGACAGGGTGGCGTGAGTCTTCATCGGTGCACGCCGGCACCAGCCTTGATCTCTCTCTTCATCTCCTCAAGCTTTTTGTGCATCTTTAGGAGATCATTCCTCTGCGCCTCGGTCGGGGGCTTCTCCGCTTCGGTCAGCTGCCAGTACAGCTCTTCGTATCTCTTGTAGTACTTCTGGAACTTCTGCGAGAGCTCGACTGTTTGTCGGAAACTCAAGCTGGGCATCGAGGGTGAGGTAGTCGAAGTTGATGAAGCGCCTGGAGATGCGCGAGGGTTATTGTGATGGTAACGCGAAGCGAGGCCAGTGTCGATGTTGGCAACCTTACGGACCTTGGGCGCGGTAGTGGGAGTATTGGAAGAGGATGAGTCGTCGGACTTGCGCTTCAGGGAGCTAGTGCTGGAGGGCGTAGAGCCAGTGGCCTTGCCATTGGTATGCGAGGGTGTGTGAGTCGGGGTCGGACGGTCAACGTGCTGCTTCTTCACAGCTAAATGGTTGTGGATGTCGCTGTCGATGTTGTTGGCCTTGCGCTTCAACGAACTGTCCGAGTTGCCGGCAGCGGATTTGGCCGGCGAAGGAGCCGCAGCAAGAGCCTTGTGAACTGGGTGCGAATCCTCGAAGTCGCTGGCGTTGACAGGCGGTGAAGCCGAAAGCGGTGAAGGGTTCTTCGGCTTGGTGTTGACAGGCATGGTAGGCTTGAAGGGCCTGTTGGTAGGGCGGTCCCTTTGTGAATCGCGGCCAGACATCTTGGGCTTGGCACGTGGGTTCATGTTGCCTTCTGGAGCAGGTGCTTTCTTGGTACGAATCTTGGAGGCGTCAGTCGCAGGTGTGTTGGGCTTGGAAGGTGCGACAGGTCGAGTCGAGCTTGAAGGTGTGGATGTGGTGGCAGCAGTAGCTATCGTGGGTTCTTCCTTGACCTCTTTCACGTTCACCGCTGCTTTCTCTTTCTCTCTCTCCTTCTCCTTCTCCTTCTCCTTCTCACGAGCCAAGTATTTCTCCTTGATCGACGACTTGGGCTTGATTTCTGGTTCCTTTGCGACCTTGGGCTTCTTCTCAACCGCAGGCTTATCAGCAGCCTTCTTTGCGACAGGCTTCTTCTTGGTGAGGTCGGATATCTTGTGCATTGGCGTGCTCGCTTTGGCTTTGGGCTTGGCTTCTGGCGCCTTCACTGTCGAACGTGAGAGGCATATGCCTTGGCCTCTCTGGTCATGAGGAAGCAGAATCTGCCATAGTTTGTCGTCCTTAGCCAGCCGTTGGCGGTCAAACGATTTGATTGCGCCATCAATGGCTTGTTGTCGGTGCTCGGCGCTCTGGTAGGGGAACTTGAAGGGGTTCACCTCACGAAACGACTTGTCTGTCAGCTGCCACTTGTCTGCATCGGCCGTGGAGCGTTTGGCTATCTTGGGCAAAACGTCCTTTATGATGGCGAGAGATGTACGGCAGGTGGCGGCGAGAGAGGCCTCGGTGGCTGGCTCGCGGGCCAGGAGGTGGATGATGGGAACTCGGAGGGCGCTGACAATCATGTCATGGCTGTTGCTCGGCTGCGAAGTCGGTGGCCGCTTGTGCATGGGCGAGGAAGGAGCGCCGAGCAGCGGCGAGCCCATCATGGAAGGAGCGAGGTGCGACGCCTTGAAGCCCGTCGAAGGGAAGCGACGATGGGCTGGTGTGCGCCCGGGAGCAGCGTCGCCGACAATGGTTCTGCAACAATCTTTGTCAGTTCTGGTATACACAACATGGTTTCAACATGGCAACCATCTGCGACAGGGGTGCTCGAGTCTCTCGACTGGATATGCCAAAGATCGTGGGCAGCCATGGGAACACCGGGGAGGCATACTTGTTGGCTTCCTTGAACTCTGATATCGCTGCCATGTTACTCCTGAGCTGCTCCAGCGCCGAGTCTACGCCTGCCGTCACATCTTCCGCCTTGTGGACCAAGAGGCCGTGGTTGATCAAGCCCGCAAACTCGAGGCTGCCATCGCCGCCAGTCCCGCTCGACTTGTACAATTCGTATCGGTGAAGTTCGGTGCTGCTCTGCAGCATGTGTGTTTTGTCGCCGTACTTGAGTTGCTGTTGTTGTGGTTAGCCCAGCTCGCGCCTTCCCCAACCCCCAAGTCGAACCACTCATGACAAGGAGCATAACATCGAGTGTGCACACATACAGGAGTCCGTCCGAAGATTATCTGCGGCGGTTTCCCGCTCCTGGCGCTTTCTAGGAGCTCGTCGACAATGTCTTGGGTAATGTCCACCTGCATGGCCTGCACAGGCGCTTGTTTGCCGTCCTTAAGTCCGGCGTCGCTATCCGGCGCCCCGACAAGGGCAATACCCGCCGAGGGAAGCATCGAGGTCGCCATGTTGGTATCGCTGGCCGTCTATATTATGGAAAGAGGTGGAACAGGCGTGAAGCTCGCACCCAGATGTTGCTAGGAGAGGCAATGCATGGAGAGAGCACCCAGGCACTGAGCGGAGAGCAAGCAGTGCTGCCGGGTACGAGGCAGAGGCCTGTCACAGAGGTCTCTGGTGTTTGGGTGAGGCGTTGGTAGGTTCGAGGAGGACGAAGGAACGAACAAAGGGCGCTCTCGGAGGACCGTCAGACAGGTCAGACAGGTCAGACTGTCAATGTCATAGCGCGCCCGGAATCCAGCGAGCAAGCGTGCACGGATATCAAGGTACGGTGATGAAACGATTGGTTGTCGCGCAGAGGACCAAAGGCTGGGAGAACCAGACAATACTATTGCAACAACAATCCAGTGCAATCACACACGACAATAGAGAGTGGTAGGCTCGACGGAAGCTGAGCGGGTTGTAATGTTGGGCGAGCTCGCATTCCTCAGAGGGCGGTGGTGCCGACCAGGGCGGTCGAGGCATAGCACGATTACGCTTCAGGGTGCCAAATCCAGCGGCGGCCCGCTTGCAAGGTACCTCGTGCTACCTCAATCTGTGGCCGCTGCAAGGCATTGCCATACACGCCCGCTGGTCCCATTTCGTTTTATTAAAACAGCCATCCTCTTCACAACACGCTTCAGTCTTCACTACATTCAAAAAAACATAGACGGCTAGTTTTCGACTCGAGTCTTGAAGCTCCAGTACTGCGCCATATGCCAACACGCTGACCGACCGACGCTGCACGGTGTGCTGAGTCTGGCAAGCCTGGGCGGGCCCACCATCACTCGTGGCAGAACTGCGGGCAGCAAATGGCTATGCGTTTAAAAACGACGGGCGCGGAATTTGGGAGCCGGGAGCTCCAGGCAGGGTAGGGTATGTGCTGTACCTGTTTCGAATCCGACCTGCCCTGTCTGTGTTTGAGCCCAGAGCATTGCCATGCCTCACGTTGGCCTGCAATTGCCTTCTTAATCTTGTCAGTGAGGCTTTCTCATCCACCAAGGCGCATCGCCTGACCACAAAGAAACCTCACGGGTTGTGGCTTTTGGTTGGGGGCATCGCGTCACCCGCGCTGTCATCCGGCGTGGCGGGTTCGGTGCTGGTTAGATCAGCTTCATCGGGAGGCGCCATAACAGGGTCATCCAAGCCTGACCTATTTTGGTGTCTGCGGAACCATCCACCGCGAGTGGGGAGCTTGCTTTGTCGAACGACTCACTTATGAAAGCTACCACAGCATCATCGACTTTGCAAATACGAGCAACTGCGCAAGCTTTCATGAGTGTCTCATATCAACTTCTTTCCTGATTACTCTGCTCGACAAAGTTTCCATGCGAGTCATGCCATCCTTCCTCAACACCCCACCTCTAGCAGTCAGCCACAGTCTTGCGACTACGACGAACCATTCCAACGAGCGTGCGCCAGCAGGCAGGCCCGATTCTATGATTCGTAGAGTGCCGTCGGCTGCAGCGTCAAGCGATATGGAAGACACCAAACCAAGGACTAGAATCCATCCGCATCGGAACCTCGCGTCCGGTTCGGCGGCCACCAACCATAACCGAATGCGTGAGCGAACAGGTTACTCGACCTCTGCATGAGTAACGACGGCTGCAGACCGACGAGCAGCGTGTATTCATGGTTGCCTCTGACCTTCCCGAGCACCTGCAGCAATATCAGCGCTGACCTGCATACACAATCCGTATCGCTTGACTATGTTGCTTACCTTAGAAAACCACAGCGAGCAAACCATGCGAACCGTTGATGTTATCGGATCGACATAGATCAGCCATGGCTTCCAAACCCACCGGTTATGCAGAGTGCCTTCCAATATGGAGAGCTTCCGCGTTCTGGAAGGTATCCGAGGTATAATATCTGCACCCCTGACCCCGTCTTTTGGCGATATTGCCATTGCGAGTCCATGGCGGGGTACATAGATGAGGTACCACAAGCTTCCGTCACAAGATCATCAAATCTCTATGGAAAGTGCGTACAACGATGTCAGTGCTGTTGCTTTTCGATGAGTTTGCCCATCGTTCGTGCAACGTTGTCTCGAAAAGCAACGCATTGCAACTCTGAGATCGAGACTGCAAACCACCGATCTAGCCCTTCAAAACAAATATCCCAAATCTCGTTCAGAGAGTATACAAGTGTGCAGGTGACTGTACTGGGGAGATTGAGTATTCGCTTTCCGCTTAATTTGTGTTACCCGCTCAAACCGGGCGTGTCCACCATCGGATCTATTCTTCATCCTTGACAAATGAGGCTGATACCCGCTCCGCAAAATCACTTTACTTTTCTCCGCGATCTTGCGGCACTGAAAGCCGCACATATCATCCATGACGGGATCTGGAATTACCCCTTTACTGTATGAAGAATTATTAACATAGGAAGTCTCGGCTTAGCGAAAAGAATCGGCAATGAAGACTACGTCAGCACAGTCGCAGGTTACTCTTCTGCTACATGGCTGCAGGTCCGTATCATTTCCTGGCTACGCGCGCGACGCATACGAGGCTTCGGGAGATTGGGCACCGGATAGCGACAGCCACCTCAGCCTTGCGCTGATGTGCCTTATTACTCGTGCCAACCTATAGACTTTTGGTCTGCCTCAATAATTGCGGCGGAATTCATGGCGTCTCACTCAGACCTTCCAATTCAGCGTTCCCAAGGCCGAGTTTTCCCAGCCTCCCAAGCTCACTGCCACAACACCATCTCGGAACGCCATCATGCACGCGCCCTGACCTATCTAATCTCTATTAAGAAGTCCATAACGCATCACATAGCTTAATCGTCGTAAACGCTGGAAGTCCGCCGTCTACCTTCATCACTATACGGTGTACCCAAGTTTCACTGTTCGTCTGGAGGCTTTGCAAATCCGGAAAAGCAAACCAGGACTATATGACCTGATCGGCGAATGTAAGGTGATCAACTGATGCGCAGGTCGGGCCCTGGCGGCGGCGCTGAGCGCGTGGGCGTGTTGGCGCAAGGACAAACTCCGAAGGTGCATAACCCCGGTCCTGATCCCACGTTGAGCGGCAGTGGCGTGGGGCGAGGCCATCTCGCTGGCAAGGCCACCGTCGTTGGGCTGGAGGCGCGAGGTCGCCAAGTTTTGCGCACGCGAGCAGTTACTATTTGCCTTGAATTCAATTTGTCTCCGAATGGAAACTTGTGTTCTCGATAGATTTTACGGATTTTTCGCACGTTAAGATGTTGGCTGAAGATGGTGGTGTGATAAGCAGCCACTTGCTGCATGGTACTGCTACGTCACTCAACCGAACATGGGCAACAAGGAAGGCCTGTCATGAGTCGAAGATTCGTTGTAGGTATTCGTGTACTTTGGAGACGTAACGGGCAAGACATCAGTGTCAACCACTGTAACCATCTTCTAACACTATCCAACGCCATTGCAATGCGAACTAATACAAAGCGCCTGGTGCAACTCGATGCCAAAGGCCAAAAGACATTCCGGAACGTCAAGTCCCCTCATTATCTTGAGTGCGGACTCAGCCTTGGGGCGCACAAGCCGACATTACAAGCCTTTTCGTGCCACCAAGAGTTACCAAAAAAGCAAAATTCGTTTCATAATCCGATCGCTGAGTTCCAGGCGCATGTCGTCGAAAGATGACGACAAGAATTTAGCCTGCGCCCAACGCCTTGCTGAAGATGCGCAACGACTGTGCCGTCAGGCGCGTGCCGGACCGAATGTCAGACGCACCGAGCCGTGAGGCACCGTCGGATCGAAATGGATGCGGCGAAGGCACTCAGGCGTCCAGTTCCTCAGGTGCCTTGTGGCGGGCAAGAACAAGGCGCTTGTACTCGGCGGGGTCTTTGTCCCAGAGCTCTGCGGCCTGGCCATTGAGCGGACTCGAGCTGTTTCGTTGTCAGCACACTTGAAGGTAAGCGTTGGCACAAGACTCTTTGTCTACTCACTTGTTCGGCTCTCCCAATAAGCTCTGGAGACTCAACAGGACAGTCGTAATGTTGTAGATGGCGCTCCATTTGTCCTTCAAGATGTCCAGACAGATGCGGCCCGAGAAGTCGACATTAGGGTGGTAGATGGGTGTCTTGTAAAGGACGGTGGGTGGGCTGTAGGGGTAGTTGTTGGCAAACTCCATGGACAGCTTGAAGACGAGGTTGGCGTAGGGTGTGTCGGCCGGGCCGTCGATTGTGGCGGTCCACACGGTCATGTTCTCGTCGTCAGGAAACGCGGTTATGCCGGGCGTGGGCTTGGTCATAATGTCCATGAGCTCCTTTTGGAGACTAACAGGTAGTCAGCATATAGACCGGATGATGGATCAGTGCGTCGACATGAAGCGAGCAGTCGACTCTGAACTGGTTGAAGATGGGATGACTGACCGCTGAGCTACGTTTGCGTTTGCACCATTTCCACGTCCATTTGATGAAAGCGCCATCTTATCTGTGCTGATATCGAATCAAGTCGTCGAAGCGGTTATGTTGCGTATATGCACGTTCTGCCACGAAGTCACTGGATGCAGTGGGGTAACAGTTGCTTTCCGATGGAGGAGAAAGTGGTAAACACCGGAGCCGTCTGCCAGCGTCAAGAAAAAGGTAGGCGGGCGTGATGTAGACTTGTTTTGTGCTGATGTCCAAGGAGGCGGGAGGGTGCGGGAGACAGCGAGTCTAATGCAGGCACGGCGTGTATTTGATGTTGTGTTGATTTCCCTGCGTCTGCCCGGCAACGAGGCTCTGACACGTGGGATCCCTGCACGCGTTTCCCCGCTCACTAAAAGATCGCCCGCAACCAATCATAGCGCGTTGAGTTCGCGTTCTTTCACGCAAGTTTAGTGTCGCGCTCACTGCGTTTCACGAAAGGAATGGTGAATGGTGAATATGAGGAGGCATATAATTATACCAAGGACGCCATTAAAATCATCCAAAAAGCACTTGAAACAGTACAATAATGAGCTCGGTATCTATGCCAGCAGCATCAGTCTTCGTCCAATCCCTTAACCCTCTGCTCTTCCACTAGTCTCCTTTCCAAGCTACACCTCAGTACCCGTTTATCCTTCCCCATCCCTTGCTCCTTCAAACAATCGTCTTCCCGATCCCAGTACACAGCCCAGCCATACCCACCCCTCTCCTCTTCCACAGCAACAAGACACTCTTCCCCATCCAACGTCAATCCCTGTTCATCATCCGTCCAGTCCCAAGGGCCGACTGTGTGTTTCTTTGCTTCTGAACGTGGACCGTAACGCAATTCGCGCGTCGTGTTGTCAGCATAGAGCCAGTTGAGCTTAGGCTTTGCAGGTTCCAAGGGTGCTTTGGAAGGCGTAGGAGACGGCGTAGAGGGCGCAGATGAAGCGGGCGATGCAGGTGGTGAGGGTGGTAGGGTACTGACGAGACCCAGGACTGGTGCCGCGGGCATGGGACGGTGCGGTAGATCGGAAGACGGAAAAGGTAGATAGAATCCGGTAAAGGGATGTGGTGAAGGCTCATCGTTCGGACCGGGCTTTGGCAATCCTGTGCCTGCGTCTTTGGGCCAGAGTCGTATCTATAGACTTGTCAGCCTAGTACATGGAGAGATAGTTGTAGGCATATACCTTTCCGTCCTTCAATACTACAATCGCGCCATGTACCTCATCTCTCTTCCTACTCTTCGCATCACAGAAAACATCTAGGTAGAACTCTTCTTGGCGCTCATCACTTTCTGCTTCTTCGTCTAGCAGCCGCTGTTGGTGTACCGCTTCGTTGGCGCCAATGGAGATGGGAATTCCGGCTAGTGTCAGCGCGTACATTGTATGCTTCACGTGGTGGAATAGTCAATAGAAGTAGTCGGTGCACGAGCGATTTGATCGACAAATGTGGAGGACATGTTGCGGGTTGTTGTAGTAAGCAGGATGTCAGGCTGCGCAAGCTGGGATGGGGAGGTGGAGTTCGGCACGATGGTGTCATAGTGGGACAGCGGGAGTTCGGCTAAAGTTGCCATCCTTTCTCCCTCTCTCATTCGAAGCTCATGACTTGTTGCCATTGTCATCTACTCTACAGTAATTGGTCAGTATTGCGATCGCCTGCTGTAATTTTGCATTGTTACTTTGCTTCCCTATACCGGGTGAAGCATAACGGAGTTGGCACCATATCGAGATACATGGAAGAAGGTTAAGTTGCACGTCTACACCAATCGGGCAACAGTCAAACCTAAAGGCGGCATACTCCTCTGGTTGGGTTGCACGCCTATATCTAGCTTGACACTCTTCTGCAAGCCCTAGAGCCCATGTCGTACCTCATGCTGCAGACCTAAGGTAAGGAGATAGCATATAATCGTACCAAGTGGGTGTATGAGGTACTTCCGAAACGTGTATCGTCCACGAAAGCCCCATACAATGGGCGTGAGGGCTCACCCCAGAGCTTCTTCCATCGCCACATATCTTTCTTGGAAGGTGTTAGCATCAAGTGCCTTCCCCAAAGTTTTGTTCATGTACGATGGCCTCACATCCTTAGATCATTGGGTTCGCATCGATATTTCTTGCTTTCTGGTCTTGCTTCACATAGCACAAACATCTAAAGCTCCATCATCTCAAGATTCTCTCGTATCGGATATACCTTCACTTATAGCACTACGTCTTTCAGCCGTCAGGTTATCGATGTTGCTGCAGGAGACCATGTGATCCTATCAACTTGTCGACGACGCAGCGAACGATAGAAGATGAGGGAGAAACCCCTCTCTTTAGATGCAGAAAATCGTGCACAGCAGGAACTCTGCTCTATAGAGAATAAGAGCAGCCGCAATCGCAATGTGACTGCTACACCGTTACGTAGAAATTCTGAACCTGGAAACCGTGAATTAACAACACGGCGATTGCGAACAACCCTGTTTGACTAGGTAACTACACCCTCAGTTCGGTGCGAGCATCATGTCTATGTATACTCCTTACAAGTATTGTTGGTCATCACAGTGCACAGCATCCATCGTTATCTCGTCCATCACTATCTATGCACGACACCACGTTACATGAAATGAAGCCCTCAGACGAAAAAGCCTTAAACATAGCACCGTCAAGCTTTCGATCAGCGATGCTTCAACCAATTAGTCCACACCACCTGCCTGAAGCCGAACCAGTCGAGGCGCTTTTCCTACCTGCCAACGCGCGACGACGTTGGTACCTCGGCTATCTACATCACTGGAAACACTACCAGCGAAACGTAACAGACCATTGGGAGAGTGATGGGTGCAAGAGAGTTTTCGATGAACTCAAAGAGTGCGAATTGGACGAGTCGCGGTCCGCAGCGACCACCGAGGGCGAGAATCACACTACCAGCGAATACAATACCGCAGGTAAACACAATACTGCCAGCAAAAATGATGCTAGTGGCGAAGATAACACTGCCGGTGAAGACAACACTGCTGGCGAAGATAATACAGGCCCTGCGAAACTGGAAGAAAAGTTTCGGCATGAGGTAGCGGATATTGTGGAGATTGTCTACAACAAAATGCTCACTACGTGGACGATGAAGCAACTGGATGCGTACAAGCAACCAGAGCGCATCTTCCTTCGAAAGGCTGGATCGTACAGCAAAGTCAAACCTAGATTCTGGTTTCGCGCGAAGCCGTGGGACAAGCCCTAGAGTCGAAGTCGAGACTGATCGGCCATGTGGAGTATCTAGGAGGAAGACCCGGAGCGTTGACATGGGCGGTTGAGGAGGCGGCCAAGAACTCTTGGGGAAGTCTGAGAAGCGTATTGGGTAGGTCAATTGTTCTCCCACGGCAACACTTGCTGACTGTTGTCATAGGAGATATAGCTTGGCGTATGCTCAAGACCAGCACAAGCTATGGCTTTGTCGTGAGCAGTGACGAGATCATGTTTCTGCGTTTCGACGTCAACACCTGTATCTAACAGGTAGATGTCAACATCCTCCGACCCGAGCTGTTTCCACTGTTTGACTGGGTCGATGTCTTGGAAGAACCACATTTCTGGTACTCAGATCCCATCAAGTTCACCGATGTCTTTGATCCAGCAGAAGGCAGGATTACGGCGAGGTTGGGTCTACTACACCTGGTCCATGAGGTGACAGTCAAGGAATGGAAGATGCAGGATGACAAAGGCAGGTGTGCGATGTATTTTCGGAAGACGGGAGCTGGAGAGAAATGTGAACTAAAGCCACCGAGGAGGCGGTAAGAGGCTATCAAGTGACTGAAGTTGTATGTTTTGAAGAACTGAGAGTATTTTATTGCCAGGCAACGATGCTAGTGAAGCCTGAGCGGCACAGGATTACGTACTTCACGACCCCATTGAATGCGAGAGCTGTCGAGTGAAAGTTAAGACCGGTACATTGTTAATTCACCTTCCACGCATAGCCAGTCAGGAAGGTGGAAGCGAGTCTTTCCCCGCCCGGGTTCTGAGTCTACCTATCCGTGCGTCTCATCTTGCTTGTGGCTTGCGTTTAGGTTTACCCAGCTCCTTGGCCGCTCGGTCTGGCAGCGCGTTGCCTCGGAACATGTTCGCTCGTCGGCCAGCTCATTGGCAGAACTGCAAAATCATAATCTCGTGGGTGTGAAAGGGATTCTTGGAGTCGTCTGATGTTCAGCGCCCAACGAGTAAATGTCGGAACAGTTTATTGAGGTCTGTTAGAGTGCCTCGGCTCGTCTTTTCATGTACCAGTTACGATTGGTGACAGCAACCGAGTTCTCGTGGTCGTGAAGCCTTCTAGGCTACACCCTGAGCTATTCGTGGCACACATGTTGGATGCATGCGCGAAGCTGATAGCTTGGTGTTGGTAGCTTGAGGGACTGAGTTTTGGGACCTCGGTCACTAAAGTGAAACCGCGATGCTCATCGGAGAGTACTATTTGAAAGCCAGAATCTGGGGAAAGTTACCGATTAGGCTCCCAAGCACCGGGTTACGATGCGATGATCGCCACGTTCCAATCTCCTGGTTACGACCGCCAGCATGCTATTCCTTCGAACTATAGCCCAGACACCAGAACCAAAACGGATACGTTTACGCGCGAGTGTGCAGTCGACTATGCAGCGTAGCCTTTGAACCATTTGGGCAGTGACCACGAATGCGTTTCACTGCTCTATCTGGTAACTGCTTCGATCTGTGGACAAGATGCTTGCGTTCGTTCTCTCATGTCTAAGATATGTTATGTCCAAATGGGTTCGCGTATAGTGTAAATCTTCGGTGGTGTGATTACGCCACGTCGTCGATGCTGCACACACATGCACAACATCCCGTGGTGTCGAGCCTAGTGACGGATAGCGAAGGAATCATAAGCGAGTCCTCTGTGACTGCGGCGGGTTCGCGACAAGTCTGCTGGTCTAGACTGGAGGCGCCGCCAATAGTCTGATCATTGCGTGCTTGTTGTCCGAGGGTGTCAATGTATAGAGCTTTAACGTATTTCATTTTCTCACCAGAAGCCCATACATTGGCGATTTTCAAATCTAGTGTAGTATCGTACCATCCTGTTAGAAGCCGGAGCAGGTCTGCTTTCATTATCCCTCTTGATGCAGTGTGAAAAACTTGGTTGTGTGCCTCAGCCTCTACCACTTAGTCGATTTACGGAGGTACGCGTGCCGCAAGCGTCCTCAAGGAAATCTTCGTCTACGTCAAACATCGCGAATAGGACCAAAATGACGCCGGCAATACTCTGCCAAGTCACCGGAGGCTTGGTACGGGAAATCAGTGCCAATGCCCCCTGCTCAGATGCGGCTCGAAACCACATGCGCTTCGAAGCAAGCCGGGGGAATTGCCTGCTCGGGATAAGGTCTGGAAAGTGAGATGTGCCCATGTGGAGTGGTTACAGCGCCAGGGACGCCTGGTTACCCCGCGCGTGTCGTTGAAACGTGGTTACGCCGATCGCTTGACAGCTGGGTTGCACGACAGCGACTATGAAAAAAGGAAGCAACGTCAATCGGTCCTTGTCAACTCTTCAAGTCTTGTTCCTGTGCGTAGTGCCGCCATGGCGGGTGATAAGAAACTAGTGGCATGCTCACAAGAAGGCTTCTCTCGTAGGTCATTTGGCTTGTTGTGGATCCGGGACGAACGGCGGCTTTGGCTAGGATATGCGGGGTCTCCACACGCCAAGACTCTCCCCAGCTTTCGTCGCCCTTTTGGCTTCGTCCCGCGGATTTCCCTCTCCTGTCGCTAGGATCATACAGCACTCGAATAGTGGCCACAAAGCACCCCGGACGAATGAGTGGTGAATTCCCGTGCCTCGGTACTTTCCCAACGATGCCTTTTCTTTCCAATGCATCCACTGTGCTTGGCAGTGTGCAGGCGGGGAGGCAAACGGCAAGAGCCTTTGACATATAACGTGTGTATCGTGTGCCTATCCTGCTCCTGGCCGGACTCACCACCTTCACCTCCTACTTTTCCAAAGGTCAACGACCAACCTACATACCCACCATGGCTCACCAAGAGTCTGTTATGCGTCACGACGACGCGCTCGAGAAGAGGCCGGTCTCGCTCAAAGAGAACATGGACGGCTCCCAAGATGGCTCCGGATACGAGTGCGAGTTCAGCGAGCGAGAACAGAGAAAGATCATCCATCGCATCGACCGGCGTCTTGTCGTAACTGTTGGCGTGCTGTACTGCATCAGTTTGATGGACCGCACTAATCTCAGCGCTGCTGCTATTGCTGGGTTCGTTACTTGAAAATCAAAAGTTGCACGTTGTCGAAGCTGACAGCCAATAGCATGACAGTCGAGCTGAAGCTGAATGTCCTACAAGGCTCCATATCTCACTACTCCATCGTCACCATCGTCTTCTTCGCGTCCTACATCGTCTTTCAGCCCCCAGCTACAGTCATCTGTCGCTACCTTGGACCTCGGAATTTCCTCTCGGTTATCGTAGTGCTATGGGGTGGTGTCATGATTGGGATGGGCTTTGCAGACAGCTATGGAACTCTAGCCGCACTACGAGTTGTTCTTGGAATACTAGAAGCTGGCTTTTTCCCAAGCTGTGTCTACTTGCTGTCGACCTGGTGTAAGTGCGCCATGGGACTCGATCCCTCGCACGACGCTGACATTCCTCTCAGACACCCGATATGACATCGGAAAGCGGTACTCATGTTTCTACATCCTTGGAAGTCTCGCATCTGCTTGCGCCGGTATCCTCGCCTACGGCTTGATGCAATTGAAGGGTCGAGAGGGCCTTAACGGTTGGCGATGTGAGTTGTCATCCAGTTACACCTTACATTGCAACAACGCTGACATACCGTCCTCCAATCAGGGATCTTCATCATCGAAGGCGCCTTAACATGCTTTCTCGGTATCGTCGGTTACTGGGCTCTGGTCGATTTCCCCGACAAGGCGCATAAATCTTGGAACTTCCTGACTGAGCGTGAAGCCATGTACATCATCGACCGCGTCAACAGGGATCGTGGTGATGCTAAGCCGGAGCCATGGTCTCTTGCCAAGTTCTTCAAGGGCGGTGCTGATATTAAAATCTGGGGTTTCGCGTTGGTATGCATCCGGACATCTGTTCGAATGCCATGAAACTGACAGGTATAGATCTTTTTCAACACAACGACGGTTACCTACGCACTGGCCTACTTCTTGCCTATCATTCTGACAGGCAACATGGGCTTCAGCGTCGGCGCAGCCCAATGTCTTGTTGCACCACCTTACGCATTCGCCGCCATCGTCATGTACACGACCGGTTGGCTTGGAGACAAGTACCATCTCCGTGGACCTATTATCCTGTTCAACATGGTTCTCTGCCTCGTCGGTCTGCCCATCATGGGCTTCCACAGCAACTCGAACGTCAGGTATTTCGGTGTCTTCCTGACTACTGCTGGCGCAAACAGCAACATCCCTGCGACGATGTCATACCAGGCAAACAACATTAGAGGCCAGTGGAAGCGCGCGTTCTGTTCTGCCATCTTGGTGGGAATGGGCGGCGTCGGTGGTATCGCAGGAGGTCTCGTTTTCAGGTACGTTTTTCTTTTAGTTCTCACCCTAGCAGGGGTGACACTCTGACGCCATGTAGGGAACAAGACAAACCCGGATACGAGCCAGGACTGTACGCTTGTATCGCTTGCTGCTTACTCACGATCGTCGTCGTCATTCTGATAACGTTGAGGTCGTGGAGCTTGAACAAGCGTGCCGATCGGGGTGAGCTTGAGCTAGAGTACAACGATGTAGGTCTCTTCCCTTCTTATCTCTTACCGCAAGGTGTTAACATGTGCACAGGATGGCGACCAGAAGGGCTTCAGGTATACTTACTGAACGCGCACATGGAGGGTGATCGACAAAGCAAAGACGATCCTTGCGAAGGATGCCAGAATTCACGTCGTCAGACCGGTATCTCAGTGCAGACTCCTGTACCACTTGTCGTAGTATTCAAATATTAATGACGTTATGTGCCATTGTTTCCCCTACGTTGCGCTTCCATCGTTCAGCCCCTGTATTCTGTGTGAATGTGACCAAATTTTGGAGTAGAGAGGCTGCCCAGGTTTTCGTGATGTAGTGTCAATGATTGCCTCGCGCATTGCACTGTCGCGATCTAGCGATGGTTAAATGGTATTTGGACAGCCTCGGGATGAGTAATCGATATTTGCGTGCTGTGGGCGCGTACATCATGCCCAGCCGTGACTGAACGACAGATTACTCAACGTATGATATCTGGTCGCCTGGCATTGATTCGTAACAGTGAAGGGTACTGAGACAAGGCAATGCTTGGGTTGTTAAATGCCCAGGCTTTACGTCCGGTTTTGAAGTCCTGCACCCAACTGGTACAATTATGATATGCGACATGAAAGGAGAATGAAGAGAGAAGAGAGACGGAGATCTTAAAGTGCATTGGGTCGCAGTGTAAACTACAGGAGGCAAGAGCTTGCAATGATACTCGACAGCTCAGACACGGGGTGAAAAAGTAATACATGATCAAGAGTAGCGGAAGGCGATCTAGGTGTGGGTGTGTGCAATGCTCGAATGTTACTTCACAGCAATATGCGATAAAGTGATAGACAAGCCTCATCTTTCGACGTGCAATGTAGTATTGTGATAAGGCACTGCATGGAGCTTCTATAATACTCGGTAATAACTCCCGCTAAACGAAGGCGCATCAAGCTTGCCCTATGTAAACGCAAATGTGAGAGTTTAAAATGCGACGCCATGACCACCAAGACTCCATCCTTCGCTATGCAAACGTTCTGAGGAAAGGAAATGACACAACAGAGACGCGAAGCGAATCCACAAAGCAGCAAATGAGTATCTAGACAGTCCAACTCCGGAACGCGTGTCGCGGCGATCATTTACTAGTAAGATTTGTATTTCTGCGCAAGTGTTAGTCACCTTCCTGCCTAGCAGTGAGATCAGGGTACTTACATCTTCAATCTTACGCCTTGATCCAGCATCAAGTGCGTTACCAACACCTAGCAAGGCATTACTTAGCGCTTTTGTAGCACCCAGCGCAGGCCGTAGTATAACAGTTGGTGCATGTCGAGCAAGCGCCCTTGCAACACCCGTTCCGCTACCCTCTTCCATAACCTCTGCAGGTATCGCTATTACCGCGTCTCGAGCAGTAAGCAAGTCACGCTCAAGGTGTCGAGCTGCACTACGGAGACCAGCGCGCACGCCAATTGGCTGATTAGCGTAATTTGACACGGCACGTGGCTCTTCGGTATCAGAATTGGGATCTTCACCATCCCAGTCGAGAGATTGGTGGCCACTTGGCGAGGCAGTCTGTGGATTCAGGAATACCTCAGCGCCCTCGAGCAGGTTCTGAGTACCGATTGCTACTTTCGCACCTAGACGCGCTACCTCCGATGTGGTATTTTTGGCGAATGCGTACACGCCCTTCTGTAGACTTCGCACGATCCGACCGTCTTTCTTGTACTCACGCATTGGCACAACAACGAGGTCTTTGAGGCCGGAACCGACGTTCACGAGGGGTCGCACAGCTGCCAAGCCCGACAGTACGCCCGGTAACTGGTTGTCCATAACATCCGGCATCCAGACATCGTTAAGAGTCTTGTGAAGCTTGTCAAATGACGTGATTCCATACACGATAGCATGGCGCAAGATGATATCCGAACCGTCTAGTATCAGGAAGTTTTTGAACTCGGTTGTGTGACCGGACCGAAGACTGCGATAGTCCACACGCTTGGGCTTGTAGTCCAGCTTCATGTTGACCGCCATCACCTCTAACCGCTGAATGAAGGGTTCGTCGACAGCAGGGGTGCTAGCTGGCGTGGAATCATCTTTGAACTCGAAGAAACGTGTAATGAAGTCTAACGCGTCTTGATCGACATGCAAGCGGAGTGGAAGTACGGTTACCTGTTGGTCGAATTAGTGAGAGATATAGCTTTCATTACATACAAGAGCCTACCTTGATGACAAGTTCAGATGCAGCCAGATCGGTGACTGGCTTGACTGTGACGAGTTCGAGATTAATCATCGGTCGAATGAGTTCTCTCGTATCTGGATCGATGGCGCATGTGACAAATTTCTTCCATGAAGAACTGGGAACGTGGTCGAAAACCTCCAGGTCTTGCACGCGTACGTTGATGGAATTGATCGTCTCACCCGTGTCAGACGGAAAGACGACGAGGTCGACGGCGACGCCCTTGAGTGAGATTGCAATCTTTTTGTGTTTGCTGCGCTGGAGCTTGAGACGACGCTTGGACTTAGTTGTGCTACGGGGCCGCACAGTAGCTCCTGTGGAGCGCGTTGCCGTCGAAGTTGCGTAGCTGCCCGATTCGCTGGCAAGATCGTCGATATCGTGGTTAATACGCCGAGCAAGAGCTCCCTTCTCCTCCTTGACAGGCACACCAATCCAAACAGAGTTGAAGAGGAAGTCTTCTTCGATGAAGTCATCGTCATCATCCTCTTCTTTTGCTTTGCGACGCCGCTCCTCTGCGCGAGCCTCTACATCATCCACGGCTTGGGTGATGACGCTTCGTGTTCGAGGCCAATCGTAGCCATCGTACAGATTCCAGATGACGTTGACGTCGCGCACTCGCACTTTCAGCGGTGCGTCTGGGGTCTTAAACTCATTTGAAAGGTGATATTGGTTCTTGGCAGAGTCCCATTTACGGGCTTTACCCTTTGGTTCTACCTTTGACTCTCCAAAGTATTCGTCGCTGAAATCGAAGTCTTCTTCGCCTTGGGTGATCTCGTACTTTTCCTGGAAGCTTTCTAGAAGAGCTCGATCGCCACGTTGACGGGTCATGGGTGGCGTAGCTAAAGCGCTAAGATCGTCTTCGCCAAGTAAGCTGTCACCCATTTCCTCATGCGTAGGTAAGGACTGCGAGTTGTAGATGCTTCCGACAAACTCAAGATTCGTTGGCACATCGTCCTCGACTAGATCAGCATTACTCATGAAGTCGACAGCTCCAAGTTCTTCGTCTTGAACCAATTCGTCGCCAGTGAACGACTCCATCATCTGTTGCAGAGGTACTACTGTCCGATATTGCTCTGCAGTGGAAGGTGCTGTTGGTGGCTGCAGGCCATTCAGAATTGTGATGAGCGTCTGTGTAGAATCTGCGCATGATTCAATAACAAATAACTCATTCTTGAACTCGACATCCACCAACTGTGGCTTTTCTTTGCCATCGCCTCCAATGTTGACGTACACTTTAGCGGCCGAAATTGAGCTTAAAGAGACGTAGCCTAGTTTATTGAGCGCTTGGAGATGGCCATTTGAAGGGGGAAATGGTGAAGCAGGTTCGTGCTCCTCTTCCAGACGCGCTGTGTCGTCTATAGCGTGCATCGAAGCTTTCCGGAGGTCTACCGTAATGGAGTAGTCGTCTTTTGCTTGTTTGCCCGCAACGTGTGCTTCTGTAAGTATGAATAGACCTTTAGATTTCGACTTTCGAGGATTTAGGCCGATCGCACAATTCCTCAATAGCAGGTCGATCTGCAGCGGCTGAGGAGTGGCTGTTGTTGGCGAAATCGCTTGAGAAGATTTTCGACTGAGAGTTTTGGGCGAGGATGCACCTGTGATGGTTGCGACGCTCGATGCTAGGCCCTGAGCAATCTCGTCGACTGTGCCATCCTCGGATATTCCCAAAGCTGCCATAACAGTGCTAACTCGGTACTCAACGCAGAGGTTGAAGAATTTTAATTTCGCCATGGGCTCCATCTCATCACCCACCATTCTCAGCATGAGAACGGGTAACTGTTCTGATTGGCGGAGCTTTACAACTTCATGGATCAATACTTCGTCGTCTCGACAAACAGTTACCTTGCCAACTTCAACAGCCAGTAAAGCCGGAACACCGACGTGTGCGAGTGCAGCTTCTCGCAGGACGACCGAAATATTCCCTAGCTTCTCGTTTACCAATACCCGGGCATCCAACTGCTTCACTGATACAAGGCTGAGGAGGCCAGGTCGATCGTCGTCTGGCAAATATTTTGTAACCTTTGACAATCGCACTAGCTCTGCACCAAGATTTTCTAGAGTCTTCATGTGCTGAATATCCGAGATCCGAACTCCAACTTCGGTAATCTCAGCTCGGATCACTGAACCCTTTCTCCGTTGGCGTAGTAACGTTTCGATTAGGATGTCATCGTTATTTTCATAAGGATCCTTTGATGGCGTAATCAAGGAGATGAGTCTCGCTAGATCGGTCTCTTCGGGTGCAAATAGAAAATTTATCGTAGTGCCCTTCAACTCTGCAACCAAAGGTGCGGTTTTTTGAACAGGCTCTGTATAGGGACCAGAGAGCTGGATCTCGGAGACTTTGAGGCGCACGTTGCTTTGCCGTACAGCAATGCGCACAGATGTCGTCTGCAGCTGCATAGAACAAGTCTTTCCCTTAAGCGTGAAGGAGACTTCGCCGAACTGGACTTGGATCTTAGGAGGCTTTGCGGATGGTGGCGGTAATTTTGCGGGTGGAGGTAAACCGTCACCGAAGTGAACGCCGCGAGGCCGAGAACGTGCTGGAGACAAGACAGGACTCTGAATTGTGCTAGTCGAGTTGATAGAGTTACTCAATTCAAGCATGCCACTGAAGCCTCCGAAAGAGCCGAGTGCCTCATCCAACTTCTGGATATCGAACATGACCTTCAATGGACGTGTAACGATGGTGATGCGATTGTCTTTCCCTTGCTCATAGTCAACTTCTATGTCGTGACTGGGCTGTTCCGGCAAACTATTGGCTGAGCGTTTGGATCTCGGTCGCGAGCTGTGGAAATAGATGATATCTTTGTCCAAGGACGCGAGGACAAATTGACCAATCCGGACTTGCGATCGCGAAGTATGACTGCTGCTCTGACTATTGAGGTGTATCGTGGAGAGATTGATTCTCAGAATTGCATCCATCGGTTTGAGATCGAGCTGCTGATTCGCAACTCGCCCTTCCTGGAAAGACTCGGTCAAGATGTTCTCTAACCACGATAGAGCAACGTGCTGAATAGTGATTCCAAGACTCCTAGCAGAATCCTTCTCAGCTGCTGTCGATTCGGGGTCTACCACCTTCTCCTCCGAAGGCGGCGCACCATTTAGAGCTTGCATTACCCGAGCAAACATGCCAGCCATGGTGCGACCAGTCGAAAGATCTATGTGTCCCACTACATTGCCAAGATCGATAACAATTGAAGGTGTACTTGCCAGCTTCGGCTGTACTGGTGGACGGGAGGCATGTAATGCTTCCGGAGTGGGCCGTCCACGGGATGATGCTTCTAACGAGGGCTTTTGTCGATGCGAAGAAGCATACGCATAGTTGGAAAAAGACCCAGGCATCTCGGCAAAGATGGAATCTTCACCCAGGTGTGATGGCTTGAAGTCGAAACCTGCTGTTGGTGTAGCATCCACACTTGTAGCGTCACTGCGCTCTTTGTCATCAAGGGCCAGAGGGAACCAAACAGTTATCTCATCGATGGTAAGAAATCGTTTCGCTTGCTTTCGAAGAGCTGGAACGTCGGGCAGAGGGGATTTTGCAGGCTCGGAGCTTGGCGGTGAGATCGAACTCTGGCGACTTCCCGGGCGAGGAGTCTCGCAACCTTCGTCTGTTTCTGGTAGAGGCGCTAGTATGCTATGGTAGGTCATACCCTGTGGTATGGATGCCGACCTCTGTGAATTGGAATCCTTACTGGAAGCCGATGATGAGTCCCAGCCTCCAGGAACATGCCCGGAGTGCGAGCTCTCGGCTGGAGTCGCGCTCACGGCGCTCATGTACATGCTCTCAGCCTCATCGTGCGTGAAGAATTTGGACTCGGCCAAATCTTGTTCTGGCGATGGTGATGATTCGAACTGCTGATGTGTACTCTCGGGAGAATCTTCTGTCTCCTGAGTTATGTGCTCATGTGCTGCCGCTAGATTGTCAGTGGAGGAGTAGGTTGCTTGGGCATACCTCGATCCAGATGATGAGTCGGTCGCACTTGGAGCATGGAAAGAGCGGCCCAGAGCAGACACAGTGGGTAAACTGGATATCGAGGCCTCGCTAGCGGCTTCTGAGACATAAGTGTGCCGACTTGAGCTGGCGCCATCTACCTGCCAAGCCTCCATTTCTGACGATTGTTCAACTGCTGGTGTGTCATCGAAGTGAGAGTCGAGCATATTATTCTGCATGGCGTAATCAAGCAAGCCGTCGTCGTCGTATAGTATACTGCTTCCATTCAGACCACGCACGTGTGAAAGTCGATGGGTTTGATCGGGCAGACTCCCCACGGAAGGTACTTCTAGGCCGTCATCGGAACTAGCGTCTGCAAAACGATCGTCGTCTACAGTATGTACCGAGGATTCCAGCATCGCCAGCTCGGGGGTTCTGGAACGGTCTGGCGACACAATCCCTTCACTAGAGTATACATTGTGGACCTGTGTTGGCGAGGCTCTCGGGCTAGAATGCGCCTCTTCGTCTACCGGCAACTGCACGGGGCTAATTCCTTCCTCTTGCATGGACCGGTCAGACTGCATGGACTGGCTAGACTGCACAGACTGGCCTTGAATGCGGCTCGATGCAGGTTCGCTGGTGGTGGCTTCGCTAATTGACACTTGGGATCGAGTTGTGATCGGAGACGATGGCTGCGAAAATCTCGATACAGATGCGAAGTTTTCGACATCAAATACCAAGCGCCCGCAAATGTTGTCTACGCGCATTCTCCGCTTACCTAGCTTCGTAGTATCGGGAGATGATGTTGCGGACCCAACTTCGACGCGTACATCTTTGGAAGTTATCGAATCTATTGCTATACGCTCGACGTGGAAGTTGAGAGATACAGGCGAGCTCTGATCTAGCTTTAACGGATCCACGGCGTCTCTCAACAAGTGATCCTCCACTTCCATGTCAATATCATTAACGGTTATACTCAGGCGATCTAGTGCGGTGTTCAGAATATTGCGCAGGTATGCCGGAAGCGCCAGAGGAGCCCCGATGCCTGCAGAAGCTTCGTCACCATCGTCACTCGATGCGACGGATTCTTGCATGTACTCTGACTGAGACTCTAGCTCCTGCTGCAGCTCGCGAATCTCCTCAACAGGCTCCGTTTTTATGAATGACTTGGCCAACTCGTCCACTGTCGGCACATGCTCGTCGTCGTCGTCAGAGCCATTGTCGCTCTGGTTGCTGCGGGTAACGGAAGCCGAAACTGACCTTGGAGGTGGCGAAGACGGTGACCGGGTGTGTTGCTGATTGGGATGAGATGACAATGTATCCTCGGTAGTCTCTATTAGCCTGGCTTGGATTTGTATGCCGTCTACCTCTATCGATATCTGGGGAACGCCGAAGTCGAGGACGAAGGTAACACGGAGTAGGGAGGCTCGCGCTTTCGACAGATGGATTTCGGGAGGGAGTTTGAGGTGTAATAGTGTTACCAGTTTCTACGAGGTCATGTAAGTAAAATGCGCAGGCAGAATCAACACCTCCAGTGCGTACCTTGATGTGCAACCCGACGTCCCGAACCTCGAGTGTAGTCCGTTTTCCTACGTCGACGCTCACGAAGTCGGCAGGGTCCTTGTCAAATATATCGATATGGCGTAGCCCATAGAGGAGCAGCCGCCGGCCGATAGAGCTTGAGAGCCCGGAGAAGAAAGCCATGGCGGTCTAGAGGCTGGCGACTGGGTTGAAAGATTTGCTGACTGTAGGCCGGTCGAACGCCTATCGTTATGATAGAAGAGGCTCCATGAGTGGTGGGGTGTGCCGTTTCGTAGCGCGTGCAACGATTGCGGAGCGCGAAGAGCCTTCACTCTATCTGAATAGTGATGCAGAGTGGTGCCTGCCAAGTCTAGCTCCTTGACAAGCCGCGGTTCGATAACGTGCGAAGGTCCAAGTTCTAGAAAGATGGATACTGTAGGAGCATCAGCAACAGGATTAGTGAGGGCGCAGGTTCCCGTGGCAAATAAAAAGACGTCGTTGATCACAAGGCGAGGTTCCGAGGTTTAGCGTGTAGGTTCAGGTGCGTACAAGTAGCAGATGATGTGTTACGCGATCGCAGGCGACCGTGCAGCAGCACCCCATCACTCGCTGCGGCCCCGCGCATGCATCAGGGCCGCACTAGGCAATCGATAAGCAGGCGGCAACGCGTCGAGAGCGCGAGCAGCCACCTAAACATCGGGCATTGTGATTGTAGAGCCGTGTAAAGTCATCTCTTCACGAACAGGCAACGTCCATTCACCTGTTCTCGTGCGCTCCGCCCGCTGTAGTACTGTTTTCTCTGGTTTCCATGCCTCGACGCTCTTGGCATTATTTGGAGCCCCATTACGTCAGCGCTGGCTAGCTCAGTTCGGGAAGGAAGTCGCGGAATTGACCGATAAGGCCTGTCGACTTGGCTGTCATACACCAAATCCTCGTCCGATTATTTTCTCGTCTTCACTTCATTCACATTCACGAGCACTATCATGGCGACCAACGACGCTGCAAACGACGATGAGTGGGCGCAGGCCGAGGGTGTCCCTAGTCTTACCGACCCTTTCATCCAACAGTATCTCCAAGGCCGAGATGCACTGGTACAGCAAGAGAAGAGACAACGAAGTGGTTGGTGACCCAAAAGTCATCGCATCAACGCGCCATGTTTATGGGTCTGACAGCCTTCAGACTATCTTTTCCGCCAAAACCTATCGCCTATGGCACAGGAAGCATGCGCCATCGTCTCTCAGATCCGATTCGAGGAGCAACAAACACTATGGACAAAAGAGTACGAGGACAGCCTATTAACTGACCATGTCGACGTCTTTCCGGGAATGATGTTCTCACTTGCCAAGGAGCGTATGGAGAAGAGCAAGTTATGGCAGATTGTCAAGAAGATGCCCAAGGGCGCACTCCTGCACTGCCATTTGGAAGCCATGGTCGATCTAGACTGGGCGCTTGAAGAGGCTTTCAATACTGAGGGTGTATGTGTGGTCGCTGATGGCCCAATCACCGACGACCAGACCAGGCGCAAAACCGGCTTCTCTTTCGTTTACTCCAAAGACGCGAAAAGCGAGGCTTCGATTTGGGACGACAAGTACACCGCCAACGCCCCGATTCCCGTGAACCAAGCTGCAGATAGTTTCCCAGACGGAGGAAAGACAGCTTTCGTCGAGTGGATCCGCTCCCGTGTCACCATTACCGCGTCAGAGCACCTCTCCCACCATGAAGGACCCAACGAAGTGTGGCGCAAGTTCATGTCATGCTTCCCTATACTCGGCTCGCTCATCTACTATGAGCCCATCTTCCGCAAATTCATTCGCAGAATGTGCAAAGCCTTGGTCGACGACGGTGTATATTATGTTGATCTGCGCTCAGCGTTCTATACGCCCTATCGCAGCACCAAGAAGGAGAACTGGGACGAAGACTGGTTCAACATGCTGGAGCACCTGGCTGATGAGATTGAAAAGTTCAAAGCCAGCGAAGAGGGCAAAGACTTCTGGGGAGCGAGGATGATATGGACTACGATTAGACAATTTGGGAAGAAGCAGGTTATCGAGAGTAAGTCTGACAGCATATTTACACAACGACATCCATCATCAAATCCACCAGGAGCATCGTCTTGCATCGGACTAACAGTCGCTAGGCATGAAACAATGCATAGAGATGAAACTCGAATTTCCTGAGATAATCGCTGGTTACGACCTGGTAGGTCAGGAAGATCTCGGCCGCCCGCTATCCGATCTTGCCCCTGAGCTGTTCTGGTTCCGAAAGGCCTGCGCTCAAGAAGGCGTCGACATACCCTTCTTCTTCCATGCCGGTGAAACACTGGGCGACGGTGATTCCACTGATGAAAATCTCTTCGACGCCATCATCTTGGGCACAAGACGTATTGGACATGGCTTCAGCCTCTACAAACACCCGCTACTCATCGACATGGTCAAGGAAAAGAGGATTTTGGTTGAAAGTTGCCCGGTATCCAATGAAGTACTGCGACTATGTGGAAGCATCATGTCCCATCCTTTACCAGCGCTACTAGCCCGCGGCGTCCCTTGTTCGCTTTGCAACGACGATCCTACGATCCTCGGCCAAGGCCTATCTGGCATGTCGCATGACTTTTGGCAAGCGCTTCAGGGTTGGGACAATCTTGGCTTAGAGGGTTTGGGTTCTTTGGCAGAGAACAGTGTGCGCTGGGCGAGTCTAGACGACTATAGTGCGAAGGATTGGACCCAGGATGTCAAAGATGGCATGTTTGGAAAGGGCGTGCGCGCACAAAGGTTGAAGGAGTGGGTAAGCAAGTGGGAGAGGTTCTGTGCGTGGATCGTAGAAGAGTACGGCGTTGATGAAAACGTGGAGCCCGAGGAGTAGCTCGAAAGCTTCGCATAGGTTTACGTCGAAAATGTAGAGCGGCATCAAGAATAACATGAAATGATCCGAAAACTATTGCTCGAATCCCTGGGTTCTGCAACATCCTCGAAGATCGTAAATGAAATAGAAGCACGACCTAAGTAATTATACTGATCGCAAGACCTCAGCTATACCACGATCTCCATGCTATATATACAAGATTAGATTCGCCATTGGCAGCCATCGCAAGCTACGTCTCTCATCTCACAGAGATGGGAAGAACCGGATGGCCTGGAGCAGCTGGGTTTCTGTTCAATTCCCTGAGGCCGTGGTTGATCGCCGCGGCGATATCCTGGTTGTTCTTCTCCAGGAACATGAAGTGCCCATTGCCCCTGATACCAATGTCGGCAAGCCTGATCCATTGATAGTTGGTGATGTCCATCTGCTTGAAGTACTCGATGAAGCAGTGGTCGTACGTGATATGCGGGCTGGCCTCACCTGTAATCATGATGTAAGGCACTTTGCTGAGCTGGGTGAGCTTGTGGATCGTGCCCGACTGGAGAATGCAGGAGCGCTTGGCCGGAACGTCTGGCCCAACCTCAACGGTAGTAATGGCCGAACAGTTCGTTACTGGTGGATCGAACTGCAGCGGCGTGTATGTGAGACCACACAGTCGAGCAGCGGTACGACCAACCCCAGCAACGGTGGTATTTCCGACCAGAGAAGTGAAAGGTATGTTACCAGGCTCAATGTTAATGTTGGCACGCAGCAGATCCGGGCATGCGTCAGACCAGATCGCTGTATAAGTGCAACCCGCAGAATGGCACACTGTGTATGACTGGCCAATCATGCTGAGAAGCTGGCAGCCGGATGTGCGCATAGTGCCCTCCACGTTCATGTTAGATGAAGAGATAGGAACGTTGCCGGCAGTAAAGGCGTCAAAAACGGGATCTCCCCGAGATCCATTGCCCGGCCATTGTGTATGTAGGTTTGCCTGTGGGTACTGGTCGAAGTCTTCCGGAGCTGTGAAACCCTGCTCGTTGATCATGTCTGTGGAACCAATGCGTAGAGGGTACTTGGAGAGAAGCTGCTGACCACTTCGGCCGTTGGCAGCGATATCAACGATATAGACTTGGTAGCCTTGGTCCAGGTGGTAGGAGGCCCATCCCTTGCGATTGTCTGGCGTATTCAGCCATTCTGCGCCAGCGTTGACACCTGCGGAGATGAAGACCATCGGGTAAGGCTTGTTGACCTTCTTGGCGGGCGTCAGCTTCTCCACGTAGAGTTGATCACTCCAAATCTGCTGGCCTGGGATGCCGGAGTCGACGTAGCCACCACCGATGTAGAAGGAGTCTCGCTGGTACGCAGATTCTTGGCTGCTACATTTTGGGCTGATGCCTTTGGCACCAGTGCAGTCGGTTGTTGTTGGACTAGGTTTTGATGGGTCAAACTTCGGAGACGTGAAGCTTGCGACGTTCATACCATCTTGTGCTGAAGTTAAGCAGGGCAATGCCCCCAACAGCAGGCCTGAGAAAATGGTACGTGGATACATGGCCAAGTGAAAACCAGGATGACTGGAACGAATGAACCACTAGTATCAACAAAGGAGTGAAGTTGGCTACTGATAGAATAGCTGATGAAAAGAGAGGAGAAGAAGCTTGGGCCTTAGTCTTTCCATTCTCGCATCCTTTGCATATCCTTCTAAACCTACATGATTCGGAAGACATTCGCGCGGCTAGATCGGCAGCCTGCATGCGCTTCCAGCTTGAGGGACGCGCTCCCATCTTAACGTGCTGCGCTATTGGCTGTAGTCACTCAGATGGGTGGTAGGATCAGTCTAAGATCAATTCTGCGACTGTTAAAACTGCCCTTCGGCCGCTTCCGTGGGCTTATGAAAGAAGCGGACATTAGTTACTATAAACAGACTAGTGTAACGGTTCATGTTGCCTCCTTGATCGTCCGGTCTCCAGATCGCATAATCACGACGGAGGTGGTTCTTAGTGATCAAACAGTGCCGGCGCACAGGTCACCAAAATCCTTCCGTCCCGCCTTTAAGAACCACCTTCTTCGTACGAAGTAGTTACCTGGCTAGTTTTTTAACGTCCAACCACTTCTGGCCCGTGCTCTAATACACGTGTTAACATCACTTGCATCGACTTTTAGAGTATCTGCAGGCCCTCGCACTTGTTAAGTATACCTCTTATGTGTCAAAACTGCTCGGATACAAGGAGAATAAGTTTGTATGGTCTCCTAAGACTAGTTGCACTAAGATGACTATGACTAGGTGCGCGTTCGCGGTGCAGGCAATTAATGCAATCAAGCATGCGTAGCTATAGATCTAGCGGCTGCAAAGATCGTCTAAAGATAATCTAGGGTTAGCTCTTAGAGAATAAGTAGGTAACGATAGACAGAGGGGGTGCACTAGCACGATTAGTAGATCGATGTAATAGTACAAGGGTTTAAGGACTAGGTAGTAATCCTTAGATTAAGATTAAAGTCAAATATAATAAACTGTAAGGAGCTTAGTACCTAATCCTATATACTAAGGGTAATAGTAATAATATAAGTAGGCACAGCTATTGCACTAGTGCACAGGGTTCCCTAGTGCGTTCCTATCTAATACTTAACTATTAGAACTATAACGTAGTTTGTAAGCGAGTAACGGACCTAAGCAAGTAATGCACTTTTGCTAAGACCTTACTAAAACTACGACTACACATATCTGTACAGCACTGTTAACAATAGTAATTAGAAATTGTAATACACTATTCTACTTAGGATCTACTTCTACATCCTACATATATATAAGTTGTATCCTACCTAGCTACCGCGTCTACAGCATCTTTAAGACAATTCGCCTACTTTAACGCGCGCCTTTTTCTTTACTTTCTTCTTATTACTACGCGCGCTAAACTCCTTTAAAGTTATTAGTTAAAGACCTTCCTTTACTACAAAGGTGCTCTGCTTTTAAAACTATTTTCTTTTATATAATTTACGTTACGTAGGAGCCATATTAGCTACTTTAAGTATAGTAATACGCTTTTATAATAATACCAAAGTATGCGCTATCATCTCTGCGCCTTTAGTAAAGCTTTTTACTGCCTTAACTATTAAGTAGGTAAGCTATCTGTATACTTCTAAAACCTCTTAAGAACTAGCTCTATTTAAGACCTTAGTTCTATAGTATTACTTACGGTTTATAACTACTAGAGACTGTCCTTAATAGTAAGTAATAGTAGAGTAATTATATAAATATTAAGTACTAATGCTACGAGATACTACGAGCATGTGTTTAAGAGCTTACTAGAAGCGTTAATTGTAGCTACGTATAATATCTAGTGTAATACAAGACGTTACGTAAGGAAGTACAACTAGTATAAATAAGTAGTAAGAAGTTATTAATAAGGAACCGTGTGCGTAGCGCATAGCCCAGCTAGCTGATTAGCAGAATCTAGGTACTTAGCAGAGCACCTAGATTCTGTAGCGCATTTAGTGTTAAGGGAACTACAGTAGTTACTATAACAGATTCTCTCCTTAAAATAGAAAGTAGGTTAGAGGTTACCTACGTCTAGATAAGAAGGTAAGAATTATTGTAAGGCTAGGGGTTACGTAATAGACTATCCCGCTATGGCTAGCTATCTAGAATAGTAAGGTAAAAAAGGATAACGTAGTTTATAAGCGAGCGGCTACCCTAAGCAAGTGGCCACCCCAACACTATCGCAGCGCACGCGCAGCAATATCGTCTTATGTCTTAATAATGCAACGTATAACTAGCTTATACTAAAGGAGATATAATCCTAGCTATCTCTGATGTTAAATTAAACCAGAACCTAAGTGTAAAGCGTCCTGTAGTAATCTACAACGTCCCCTAAACGACTGTACGCCGCTAACGCGCTAGACAACGCTCTTGACGCGAATGCAAGCTAAACTTAAAGCGCCTTACAAAGTTTAAAGAGGAGGTGATTGTGCAGCGCATACTAGATAAATCTCAACAAGGTGTACTACCCTTAAAGGCACACGTACAAGATATAGCTAATAGACTGCTAAGAGAGCGTAGTAGGAAGCCTATAGGTAAGAACTAGGTTAATAACTTTATTAAGCGTAGACCTAAGCTGCGAACGCGATAGAGCTGTCTGTACGATTACCAGCGAGCTGTCTGCGAGAACCTAGCGATTATTAGGCCCTAGTTTACGCTTGTATAATCGATGAAGGCGAAGTATAGCATCGTAGATGAGGATACCTAGAACTTTAATAAGTCTAGCTTTATAATAGGCAAGATATCCTCTTAGCTTGTTGTTACAGGCTTAGAGAAACCTAGGAAACAGAAGAAACTACAGCCTAGCGATCGCGAGTAGGTGACTCTAGTACAAGGCGTCTCTGCGACAGGGCGCGTTATCCTGCCCTTCCTTATCTTTGCAGGGAAGGTCCTTGTTACCTCCTAGTTTGCAGATCTACCTCGCGATTAGATTATTACTATCTCTCCTACTAGCTGGATCAACAACGACCTCGCGCTTGCGTAGCTTAAGCACTTTGATGCTTATACAAAGGCGTCTTCTGCTAGGGCGTACAGGATGCTTATTATCAACGGCTATAAGAGCTACTGCTTAACAGAATTCTAGGACTACTGCAAGGAGAACAAGATTATCGCTCTCTGCATGCCATCTCACTCGTCGCACCTCCTGCAGCCTCTTAACGTTGTCCTCTACTTGCTGTTAAAGCGCTACTACGGCAATAGGATCTCGCTCTTAGCACGCAACCGCATCTACTGTGTTAACAAGGAAACCTTCCTACTAGCCTTTAAAGAAGCTTATAAGAAGACCTTTACACTAGAGAACGTTCGCGCAGGCTTTCGAGGTACTAGACTAGTCCTATATAACCTAGAGGCTGTGTTATTAAAGCTAGATGTGCAGCTGCGTACGCCGACGCCGCCTGCACTAGGCACTGTCGTCTAGGAGGCGCAAACACTACGCAACGCCCGCGAGATAGAGGCGCAATCTACGCTAATTCGAAATCGCGTGTAAAACTACCGCGGGTTACTAGCAAGCTTATTAGACGAGCAGGTTAAGCAGCTAAGTAAAGGCGCTCAGCAGATAGCTTATAATATAGTGTTAGTGCAGGAAGAAATAGGTCGCCTTCGAGACGCTGTTGACACGCTTACAAAGCGTAAGACTCGCAAAAGGCAGTATATACGCGCAGTAGAGACTCTAATAGTTAGTATGGTATCTTACTTAATTACTAAAACAGATAGTAGTAGGCGTAAGGATAGTAAGACGCCTACAAAGAGGGTACACGCAGAGAGGCGCTGCGGCCGTTGCAGCGAGGTCAGGTATAACTCTCACACCTATAAGGTAGAAATAGAGGATGTAGATAATGGCGAAGCTTCTAAATAATACTACACTATCGCGACAGTAAAAAAATATGTTATAGTAATGTACTGCATTGCTACTTAGGCATTTTAGTAGGGTAAAGTAGCCCGCTTAGTTAGGTAGCTAACTTAGTTGTGAACTACGTTATAATAAATAAGCTTAGTATTAAGTAGCTAGAGTACTTTAATAGTGTAGTAGAGTGTCTTAGTAGTCCTCTATTAGTACGTGTGCTTAATGCAGGTAAGTAGAGTATGTTGTTTGTGTTGTATGTGTGGTGTTTGTTGTCTGAACCTAGTTTAGACATTCATGTCCCTTTTCTACTCTCTGTGTTACCTCTAAGTCCGATAGCCCTTTAGATCTGCGGATCCCTTAGATTCTCTGCTACAATAGGTATATAAAGGGGAAAGATATTAGTAGCTACTACCTACTAGTTCTTAATAGTTATAAGAGCTATAGCTTAATCATTACCCTCTATATACCTCTACACTCCTTACACCCACTATAGCTACTTAACGTTAGCTATTTTACGCTACTAAAGAAAGCGTATAAGTACTAAGCTAAGAAGCTAATGCGTAATAAGATTACCTATATTATGAAAATAGAGTTCTTGCTATGCTTTATTACTACCTAGAAGGCCTCTATCATAAGGAGTTATATCTTAAGAGGCTTATAACGCGCTAGCTTAGTCCTTTTTAATCTAGAAGCTATTATATTAATACTTAACGTCTACCTACGTATTTTATTATTATCTATAGTTAAGGATAGTCCCTAGTAGTAAACGTGTTTTAGAAGCAAGTTGTCCTTTTAAGCGAGTCGTCTACCTTACTAACTTTAATTACCTTTAAAAATTAAATTAGTTATGCCTTAACGCTAATAAGCTCTATTGCGCTTATCTAAAGCTAATATATAGCGTACTATATTATCTATTAATAGCTACTAGATTAAGACTAAGAAAGCTGCTACTTGCGCTTTTAACGTTCCTTACATAACGCTACGCAACTAACGCGCTAGTAGGCCTACACGACGTAGTTGCTAGCCTAACTTAAAGAAGCTTGCCTAGCTAGAGGAGGAGATAATTATTAGACATATTGTGCTAGTGCACAGGGTTCCCTGG